TGTTGTCGTCGTCGTCGTCGTGCGTCGCGCGTCGCGCGTCGTGGGTCGTGCGTCTTGCGACGTGCGTCGTGCGTCGGGCGTCGGGCGTCTTTCGTCGGGCGTCGGGCGTCGGGCGTCGGGCGTCGGCGTCGGGTGTCGTCGTCGTCGTCGTCGGGCGTCGTCGTCGTCGTCGTGCGTCGTGCTTCGGGCGTCGTACGTCTCGCGCGTCGTGCGTCGTGCGCGGCGTCGTCGTCGTCGTGCGAAGTCGTCGTCGCGTGTCGTCGTGGTGACGCGTCGTCGTCGTCGTCGTGCGCGTCGTCGTGGGCGTCGTCGGCGTCGTCGCGCATCGTCGTCGTTGTCTTACGTCGTGCGTTGTACGTTTACTCTATAAAATACGCTACACGTCGGAGTGCTCCATCCGTAAAATTTTACGGAAATTTCTGGTTCTGAGTAGCCCGAAACTTCGGTCTCTAAATTTCCGGAAAATTTACTTCATCATTTTCTTAAATTTTCAGAAAGTTTATACGCCCAGAATTTTCAGGAAATTTACGTTAACCGCTGATACTGTAAGTTTCATCTTAGGGGCGAGCGACATCTACGTCTAAAAGCACTCATTATAGATGCTCGAGGATTTCAAAAATCCACGAAGATCGTGCAGAACAGAATGAAATTTAGGAAATGGATGAATCCTTCTTATCTTGGATGCCCGTATCTATGAAACAGAGCGTATATCATGATCAACTCATCTTTACGCAATATAGCCGATCTTCTTATCTTGGATGCCCGTGCTTTGGCTATATGAAACAAAATATCTATCATGGTCAAGCAAGCTCTACGTAGCATAACACATAGAGAACGGACGCGGTCTTCTTCTACTTCTTATATTGGAAGTTTTGTTGATGGATATCCGTGTTCCTGTTGTATGAAACCGAGCGTTTGTCATGGTCAAGCAGGCTCTATGCAGCAAAGCACGTGTCGTCGTGCGTCGTGCGCCGTCGTCGTCGTCTTGCGCGCCGCTGCTGGAAGCAGCGGGTCAACTCTAGTATTTCAAATTTTCCCAATTTTTGTCGACCTTCAAAATATTGATTTCCAATATTCTTTGAAAAATTCTATTTTATATTCTGAAGATATGAGAATTTCTCCATTTTATTAATTTTCCTCAACCAAATTCAAATGAATAAAATTTCGTGAAATATTTCATCATTCTTTATAGCTTCCAAAATCTATAAAAATATAAGAAAGTATATGAATAATGAAAAACTAGAGTTGACCCGCTGCTTCCAGCAGCGGCGCGCAAGACGACGACGACGGCGCACGACGCACGACGACACGTGCTTTGCTGCATAGAGCCTGCTTGACCATGACAAACGCTCGGTTTCATACAACAGGAACACGGGTATCCATCAACAAAACTTCCAATATAAGAAGTAGAAGAAGACCGCATCCGTTCTCTATGTGTTATGCTACGTAGAGCTTGCTTGACCATGATAGATATTTTGTTTCATATAGCCAAAGCACGGGCATCCAAGATAAGAAGATCGGCTATATTGCGTAAAGATGAGTTGATCATGATATACGCTCTGTTTCATAGATACGGGCATCCAAGATAAGAAGGATTCATCCATTTCCTAAATTTCATTCTGTGCTGCACGATCTTCGTGGATTTTTGAAATCCTCGAGCATCTATAATGAGTGCTTTTAGACGTAGATGTCGCTGGCCCCTAAGATGAAACTTACAGTATCAGCGGTTAACGTAAATTTCCTGAAAATTCTGGGCGTATAAATTTTCTGAAAATTTAAGAAAATGATGAAGTAAATTTTCCGGAAATTTAGAGACCGAAGTTTCGGGCTACTCAGAACCAGAAATTTCCGTAAAATTTTAGGGATGGAGCACTCCGACGTGTAGCGTACGTATAAGACTAAGTTGATCGTAACATTTTATAGAGTCGACGTACAACGCACGACGTAAGACAACGACGACGATGCGCGACGACGCCGACGACGCGCACGACGACGCGCACGACGACGACGACGACGCGTCACCACGACGACACGCGACGACGACTTCGCACGACGACGGCGACGCCGCACACGACGCACGACGCGCGAGACGTACGACGCCCGAAGCACGACGCACGACGACGACGACGACGCCCGACGACGACGACGACACCCGACGCCGACGCCCGACGCCCGACGCCCGACGCCCGACGAAAGACGCCCGACGCCCGACGCACGACGCACGTCGCAAGACGCACGACCCACGACGCGCGACGTGCGACGCACAACGACGACGACAACACCCGACGACGACCACGACGACGACGACGACGACGACGACGACGACGACGAACGACGAACGACGCACGACGCACGACGCACGACCCACGACGCACGACGCACGACGCACGGCGGACGACGCACGACGGACGACGCACGACGCACGACGCACGACGCACGACGCACGACGCACGACGCACGACGACGACGACGACGACGACGACGACGACGACGACGACGACGCACGACGACGACGACGACGACGACGACGACGACGACGACGACGACGACCTGGTAATGCCAGGTAATGCGCTTTGTAATGCCATAAAACAAAGCACGCTCGTAATATCCTGGTAATGCCAGGTGATGCGCTCATCTCGGAAGTGAAGTAAAAGTCCTGTTTAATATTTTAGCTTTGTAATGCCACAAAACAAAGCACGATTGAAAACAATGAAAGCATGCAATGAAAGCATGCAGCAACATGGCAAATGATCAACACCTGAACTCAACGGTTCAAGCGGTCAACAATGCTTCGACATTTTCGGCCACCCAGCACCCTAAATTTTCCGGAAATTTAGGGAGCTGGGCCGTGGCTTCTGAACATGATCAGGCTGCATCCGTTTCCTAAATTTCCTGAAAATTTTGGGTGTGTAAATTTTCGGAAAATTTAGGAAAGCGATGAAGCAAATTTTCCGGAAATTTAGGGACCGAGGCTTCGGGCTACCCGGAACCAGAAATTTTCCAGAAATTTAGGGGAGCGAATCCGGCTTGCGGCCGTCGAAGAGGCCCAGCCTTTCAAAGGGCACAGCCCAAGCCCCAAAATTTCCCGGAAATTTTGGGTCCCGGGTAGGCCAAAGCGGCTTGCTCGCCGGGGTCCAGAAATTTCCGGAAAATTTTGGGGCTGGGGCACTCCGAGGCGTGACGCACCGCATAGGGCTGGTTTGACCGTAGCGTTTTACAGAGTAGATAAAAAAATTCGAGAACCTTCCTGCCCGAGTAGTCCCCCCTAAATAGTAGTAGGAATTGAATCAGATTCTATCAGTGTTTATGATTCTATCAGTATGTATAATATCCGAGATTATTTTTATTGAAATTTGAATTGGAAAGTTCAGAACATCGAAAAAATATTGATTCTTCATTTTTTTCAATTATTTGTTTTTTGTGTACGTATGACGATACTTATGAAAATAGTTCATCTGGTAGATCTAACCAGAATTTGAAAATGCGGCTATTGTCACTATCGTAGCTCTCCAGAGAGCCGATAACGCACCGTCGAAAGTAAGTTTCCGGAGGTCTTGGGCCTGTAGTGTATGCAAATGTTCTCTCACCTGCCATATGGCTGAAAAGCATGCCAAGCACTGTTTCTGAGGGCGGCGCTAAGCTGAACGAAGGAGGCCGAGAACCTCTAAGCCCTAAGCCAACCCCTAACCCCTACTTATGAGGGCGGCACAAGCCCGGGACCCGGAGATGTCACGAGTGCGGGGACATGAGCGCGTGGGGCACAAGGAGCAGCGGTGGCGGAGGCTTATTCGCCGCGTTCTTCGCCGGCATTCCACCACTTCGACCCTTCATCTCGAGCGAAGCCTTTGGTGAAGAGCCAGATCGGCAGGATGACTTCAAATAAGCCACCTGGCACTGACAGCATGACTCCGATTGAGAAGCCAAAGATTTCTGCTATCGTGCCCACCGCAAACACTGCATATCCAACGAGACCCCAAAGGCTGAGCCAGGCAGGCAATAGCCCCGAACGCAATAGTGTGTAACAGACAGGCACGCTGCCAAAACCAAGGATGCACATAGCCATCTGGTAAGCAAAGAAGTTCGCTTTCTGCAGGACTGCAAATAATACAGCTGTCGGGTCACTCGCCACTTCTGTGAGCGCCTGCTGCGATAGCAAGCTGACGATGCCGACGATCAGCAATATCCCCTCGAAGCATCGCACCACAACATATCCCAAAGCAACGTTCTCATCATACTCGTGCAATATGGGATACATCAGCACCCCGATGACCGCAACGCATACTGAGTTTCCAAGCATCAGGAGGGCACCAAAGGCCATCGCATGACGATCGACGCTGCCGTGGACAACAGCGGACTCAGCAATGCCGGACCCAGTCCCGTAGCATGCCATCGCAAGCAGGAACAGGGCGCCGATCAGACCATCGCGCATGTCTGTGTTCCGACAGAGCCGATCTCACACTACCACAAGTGTTGGTGTTAGTTCTCCCGCCATGGTTCTCGGAGAAAACGCTTGAGCCGACGTGCAAAATTCGACCCGAGACTCGCCACTTCAAAGTTCAAGTCACTCAAAACGGTGCCGTTTCGGTTTGTCGACCTTTTTTCCTGAGGGGGGGTCAGGGACGGGGGGGGACGCAGAGTCAGACAGGAGGACAGATGTCGAGCCTTGTGCCAACGATTTCAATGCGAGTGTCGCTTCAGTGAGATAACCTGTCACACTGTGCAGTGGGCGAATTAGCTGTTGTAGTCAGTTGTAGTCCCCAGTTCTGCGGTGAGATGTGTTGAGCATCTTGACATGAATCCAACTTTAAGTACAACCAGCCGACCGATCCACCAGGCCAACCCAACCCAAAACGCCACAACATAACAAATACAAACACCCAATCGCCCAAAAAGAACAATCAAGACAATAGGCCACCCATCGGTCCATCAAGATTCAAGTTTCTTCTTCAAGGTTATTTATTGAGGATGTGTTGAGAACTCCCATTCATGAATGCAGTCAATTTCTTGATTTCTCGGACGCCTCTTGGCATGAAGTTGTAGCCCTCCTACTTCACTCACGCGCGTCCGGAGCCAGTCTTCATCTCGAACAACTCCGGACATCCTGTGCAAAGGGAACTCGACAGCTCAAAACATGTCCAAGATTCTGCACTATGATGGCGAACCCAAGGGTGAACCCCAAAAGAGAAATGCATGCGTCACGCCTCCGCCCGTCCACGCTAACATCGTAATTCCGCTGTAACAGGAATGTGGTCGAAGGCCAGAGCTGGTGGGCTTCAGCCTCGTTGCACTCAAGACTGAGCTCTGCTCATGGTACCACGAGACGCAAAGACTTCTCGGCTCCCTCAAAAAAGCAGCGCGTAGCAGCCTTGGGCTCGAGCCGAGTGTAAGATCACCACCTGGACCTTCCGCACCCAGAATGAATGGAGATGAATGGAGCCCCGGGTTGAAAACGGTTAACTCAAGACAGAGTTCTGAAGTGCAGAGTACCTGCCGATTGTAGTTCTGCCCCCATTCCCACCTGGTGTTGTGAAAAAAGGCTCTCGGCACCGTCCAGGATTTGGCGTTCTCCGCCATTTGTGTGGATCTTCAGGATGTCAACCTGGCACCACGCATAAACCTCCGCATTCAACTAGAGCTACTTGTACCTGTGCCAACTGGCTCTGAATCGGGGGGGAATGGCACACATGTATCATCTATACTCTGCACACCATCTACACCGACTCAGATCGAGATCCCAACATCCTCTCCCACCAAGGAGTCCAAACCTCACATCTCCGTGCATCACAGATCGGGAGAACTACTCGTTTTCGACATCGAACTGAGCTGCAGGCGGCGCCACGGGATGGAGGCGGACGTGCCTGTCGCTGAGCCTGTATGGCGACAAGCCGCAAGCTCTGACATAAGCAGCTTATAAGTTTGCAGGGTCTGGGTTGAGGGTTCATCTGATGGAGTCCGGCCTTCAGTGTTCTCTGAACCGAGCCAGGCATGGTGCAGGTCCTTAGCGGGCAGTGGCCCAATCCTTCAACAGCGCCTCTTCGGATCATTTCTTCTAGCTCCTCAGAGATTCTTCAGTGGACGTGGTTTCCGATGCCAAGGCACGATCATGGCCTCAAAGCGATTTGCCGCAATGCTGCGACGGAAAAGAGACACGACCTGCTGAGAGGAACGTTCCAAAATCGTTAAAGCACCCATCCACAAGAGGGCATTGTGCAACTCGCAAAGGGCCTGTGCCACAGGCTCGACGGCTGTTGCCCGAACTCGCCCATGAAACTCTGCAGCCGCCCAGAGCATGCAGTCACCTGCAGGGCTTCAAGCTCTGCGGGCCCATCTTTCGACTGACACAGCATGGACGCAAGCAGGAGCAGATCTGCTCTACACACGCTCCTACAAACCACGACCAGAACAAAGCAGACGAGCCTATGTGGGGGCCGGCCTCAGCCGTAACACTTGGGTACCCCGCCACTGAGCCCCGACTGAACACGCACAATCGTGGCGACACCACATCCCATCAAGGCGGATTTCCCACTGAGTTCGTGATGCCATCCGATGTTTTTTGCCGTCTGGCGCCCAGCGTTGCCAGATGAAAGACGAAGCAAAAACAGGCCCTTCTGACTCCGCAGTAAGTCCTGCGAGCTTAGGACGGAGCTTCGACCATCCGCAGCTTCCTGACATCAGCGTGGGGCCGTGCAGAAAAGAACAGCCGAAACTACAAGTGTTTTGCCTAAAACGTGTTTCTCTTGTGACTCTGTGGATGTCACAGCACAAGACCATCTCCGTCGCCCAGCCAGCCCTCCCTGTTTGCTAAGGGAAATGTGCTTGCCTCGACGACTGCGCAGACAGCCGTCTGACCTCGAATCAGCGAGTCAGCGTTTCACGTAGGATGGTGGTTCTGCAGCAAGCTGATTGTGAGACCCCCTGACTGTCTTGCACATTCGCTAAGAACAGGTGCCTGTACGATGCTACCATCAAAACAATTACGTGCACACTGGTGGCCGAAGCATCTGGGGGAAATTAGGGGTACCTTATTGGGGACCATACTATAACGGAATCCAATTAGAGGGTCCCTTAGTTTCGTACATCCCCATCGCACTTTGACAGCATCAAACATCAAGCGCCTCATCTTGGAAGAGCTGCAAGCAATAAGCCTGCAAGAGGAGCACTGCCAGAGGGGCCACCGAGCATCCGAAGGTAGGCAAGAGTTGTGTTGAAGGATGCTGTAGGTGTAGGAGCGAACGATTTACTGAATCTACTGCGCCTTCGACGTGGCACGGATGCGATTGGAGATGATGCCATCAGACCGGACCCTGGCAGTCAGAAACTGTACCGGGCGAACGTTCCAACGTCCAGAGCTCAGTGCAATCTTGATCCGTTCACCTAGACCGAGGAAGCTGCGAGCACCCTCTGCTATGCCACGGCTTCAGATGCAACGTTGCTGAGTTGAAGTACAGGATTCGGGAGTCTGATGTTGAGGCTCCGATTTCACTTTGCCTTTCCTGCAGAATCCAGAAGGCTTCAAAGAGGCCTTTCAAACCAAAACAATCACAGGCGCATCTGCCTGCCAAGGTGCTTTCTGGACCCAACCCCTCGCTCAATTATGAGAGATAGCAGCTTCCATAAAGCACCAGTAGGTGCTGTGGCCACATGCCAGGCCTGTGAGGAAAGACATACATCCAGAACCAGTTGGCACCAGAGCTGACGTTGACAGCCTCACGATGCGCTTTGGCATGCTGGTTGATTGACCACTCTCTCACGAACAACTGCAACGCCTCTGACCGATCAGCGCCTGGAAACCTATGTGGGTAAACAAACCCCCCTGGTGATGATTTGAGAGCACACAGTGTCAACAAGATCAGGCTGCCAACACAACGCAGAACGACGCTTAGCTGCACACTGGGAGCATGCTGCATGAAGGCTTGATCGGTGCTTGTGCTGTGGAATCATTGGATTCAGGGTGCCTAGAGGGCATATCATGGAACACGGAAGGGTGCCTCCGCGGCACCGAGGCGATCTGCCAAACGCCACACGGGCCAGCGTGTGGTCAGCAGAGACCAGCGCGACTGCGGTTGCTGCGACCGCACCAACGCCTCCAGGAGACGGAGGCTGGGGGCTAAGGAAGGGGCTGAAGCGTTACAGTAGGGATTCTTTTTAAGCACTTTTAAGCCTTAAAGGCGACCCTCTCTACGCTTTCCGTAAGCCCTAATGCTTAAGCCCGCCCTTCGGCCTTAGGCCCCAGAGACTTCAGCATTTGCCTTGAGTGCTGCAGTGCTTAGATCAGAAACGGGAGGTCTCAGCTTGATGTCCTGCAGACTTGATGCATCGAGGGGTATACTGATCTGTGTGGGCTGAACTCGGAGCAGTGCGAGCATCGCAAGAATTCGCCGGGCTTCGCAGGCCCCCCTACGCCCCACTCAAGACACGAGTCACCAAAATTGTCATCCGCTTAAGAGCTTGGCAGTGCGAGCACTGCCAAGTCCGGCCTGAGAAAGCCGATCGTAGTAGCAACACTGTAACGGCACCCCCCGCAGCGCGCCTCGGCCTGCGCGAGAAGGTGTTCGGCGTCCCGCTCCGGTGGCTGACTGGGACAGAACTCAGAATACATTCACACGTTCCCCGAGTGGCATTGACACGAGTCATGATATAACGATGTGGAGGCATGCCTCCCCATCCTGAGTATGGCGGTCAACGAGTGAAGCAGGTGCGCGTAAGCCGGCCGCACCCAGTGCAACAATACCATGCGGCCTTTCAGGTGCGGCGGAAGTAAACTGGTAGTACCTGCGCAGAGGTGAAACTGCCATGAAACGCTGATCGCATGTGCATCTTACCGCCACCCTGCTACAGATCAATACGGGCCCCTAAACCGTCCAACCTTTCCCAAGAAGCCTCTGCCCTTGCACGCGCCTGTTGCGGTGCTGTTGCCATACGGTGGTCCTCAAGCCATCTGCCAGCGCCAGCAAGGATGAGGCCACCACTTCGGGACACTGTGCTGCCTGTCCACCGGCGGTTTCCATTCTCATTGCAGGCTCCGATAGCTGTACTGGCCTCCAGCAGCAGTGTAGCACACTGGTCTGCAGAGACCTCAAAGGCAGAGAAGACGTTTGAAGCGAGATTACATAGGAGAGGCTTGCCACACACACCCTCACCAAGTCAGTGCAAGTCACACAAACCACAGCGCTGAAGATCTCAGAAACAACCGTCTGACCGAATGGATTGACTAGACTAGTATAACTTGTGCTTGCCGTGTGCTGACATGAAGCATTCGAATTCGAAAACACTGCTAAACAGAGTAAGAACCGCAGCAGCAATCGCAGAGTCTCCGACCACAACGGCATTGTCGAAAGACTCAATGAATGGGGACAGCTGCGCCTCCGTTGTACAAATCTTCTGGCCTAGGCCAGGCTGGGAGGCATGGCCACAGCTGCAAGAATCCTCTGCAAACAGTCCCGAAGCTTCAGCACTTCGCCTCTCCAGGTGTTCACGTATGATGTCATGGTCATGGGCTCCCATGGAAAGTTACTATGCACTCCACAGCTCAAACAATCAAACCTGACACATTACTGTCGAGGCCAGGCTCAACAAGATGTACTTTGGGCGCTGCACAGCTGATGGCTCCTACTTACATGTCTTCCAAGGGTCGCCCTGGCCAGGACAAAGAAGTGCCGAGTCATGTTACCCTGACTGGCATGGGACATAAGAAAGGTGCCGTCGTCACGAAGCCTCTCCGAGACCTGAGTGCGCTGGCGTGCTAGGCGAGGGAGTGGCGCTAGTCAAGTCTTACCGTTGCATATTCTCAGTCGATGCGACATCAGTCCGGACAAAAACAACCATTGTGAAATTTCACCGCCGGATCACAACACCAACAACGGAATGCAAAGCTTGAAATCACAACTCATCCTGAACCGCGGCTGCCCCTAGCCCTCCTGTGATGCGGCGCTGTCCAAACCCCAAACATGAAGTGAACCCTAACAGGATTCCTCAGGAGAGAGGGGACTCGGCTCCCAACAGCTGCCAGGATGCTAAAGAGAGGCCAGCCCGAGCGGTGCACTTCCTGGCACACTTTGGGCTCTTTGGCTTCGGGCGTGGGGGCTCATCTAAAGGATGTGCTCCCTTTTCTGGAAGGCGATACTCACTTGAGCCTAGATCCTTATCATTCAGGGCATCCAGAAGGGCCCAATGATGTAGGGGGTCGACCACACTCGAGCCAAGCACATTCTTGACGCAGCCGGGGCTCCAGCTGCCCAGGACACGTTCAAGTCCCAGAACCAGTTCAACGTCTCCTTGCAGCCACATAACAAGAAACTGAGCGAAACTGCGCGAATTCGGGCAGATGCTCAACATTGCTCAACTCTGCACGGTGGTACGTGACGTGAGCTTGGACAACACAAGGTAGTGCGTCGCAAAGACTCTTCAAGACCAACCAGCCACTGCGAGTACAGATTCTGCACTCAGACCGCCCCCCGCATGAAAACCCACTCTACATTCTGTGACCCTGAACCCGCTCCTGCATCACCTCGCTCAGAACGTCCCCCGCTGGCTGGCCACTCGCCGTGGCCGTGGCGGCGGCATGCAATGCCGCCGGGTCGACAGAAAGCCAGAGGAAGAACCTCCATGGCTTTGACACGCGACGTGCGAACGGATACCGTGACGTTGCTTGGGGTTTGGGACTCAGGGCTCTCCAGCCGTCTGCGAGGGAGCGCCACCTTTTTGGGATTTCGCCGTCACTCCGTCACTCCTTTAAGGCACTCCTGTCATCTCCTGTCGGATGACTTGCGATTCCGGCTCATGGAATAGGTGCCAAGCGGTTTCAGTTTGTCAGGCCCACGTGTGTGAACATGAAGTGACCCAGCGAGCCGTATGGGATCGCATGGGGTTTATGGAAGTTTGGGGTTTGTCACTCCTGGGTCCAAGTTTCTGGGGTTCATTCGTGCATTCTCTGCCTGAGAGATAAGTCGCCGAGCTGGCAGGCGTTCTCTGGGTGGTAGTCGAACGCATAGCTCTGTGCCAGCGCGAATTCCTCCAGTCAGAGAACCGTTCTACCATGCTAGGTCAGAATCATGGTAGAAAGAGCAGGCTGTCGAATCCTTGGCGAGGAGCTGCGGTCTATCCAGATACCTCCAGAGCTGTGTTTGGCAACTGGGCGCGTAGCGCTAAGCTGCAAGCACAGAATAGTATAGATCGTGGGCTTCCCAAGGGAGGTGCCACGCACGCCTACCAGTATCATGCACGTCTTTGGCACCATGTGCATTACTGAACATGGAAGCGCTTGCTCTGTGTCCATCTTGAAACAGAAGCTTGTAGTCTGGGCGCGGACTTATCCGCGTATATCTCGAAGGTTCGGCGTAAAGCTCCCCAATCCTGCTCAAAACGTGAGCATGCACATCCGATAGCAGAGCAGGAAAGGTGCAAACGCACCGGACCCCAACTGATGCGAGCTGGGATGTGGCGCAAATCAAGTTTGCTATTGGTCAGGACCAGTATGTTGAGCTGAGGCGCGCACTATGTCAGCATAGAAGTACTCCTTGCATGACAAGTCGAAGTCCTCGCGAGCCATCGTTGTGCCATGGGGGCAACTCAGCCCCTGCAGATGGACTCCGGGAAGGGGGTCTTGGGAATTTAAGGCTGACATCCAGCTAGTTCATATGATGTAGGGTTTATATTTCTTGTACCCCCAAAAGGACACCCGGTATATACACTCACCAATTTTAAAACGGAACCTTATATACACTCACCAAAAACAGTAATATAAACCCTACTTCATCTGAGGTAGCAGATAAAATCTCCCAAAGGGAGAACCGTCACACGTAGATGGTCACTACCAGACCTCTGGACGCGGCCTGGAGGCCAGAAGAGCACCAAAGAAGCCACAGCCTCAAGAGCCTTGGCGCGGACGATCCAAAGAAGAGTCCCAGAGCAGGGTTTAGGGTTTAGGGTTTAGGGTTTAGGGTTTAGGGTTTAGGGTTTAGGGTTTAGGGTTTAGGGTCTAGGGTTTAGGGTTTAGGGTTTAGGGTTTAGGGTTTAGGGTTTAGGGTTTAGGGTTTAGGGTTTAGGGTTTAGGGTTTAGGGTTTAGGGTTTGGGGTTTAGGGTTTAGGGTTTAGTAGCTTGCATACTGCCCAGCAATGGACCCCTCACTTGGCAGATCAGCACGTGCTTCTCTGGGCCTCTAGGCACTCCAGGCCATTTTGGGCCACCTCTCCACGGCTTCGTACCACCTGGGGTCCGGGCACCGGTAGCCGTACGCGTGACTGCCATGGCCAAGACATGGCGCACCCATTGGATCTTGTGAGGTTTGGAGCTACTATGAGCTACTGAAGCCTCATTCAGGGTTCAAGGCTGTGTGGCTGAAATGCACGTTGACGCGAAGATCGATACTTCGCCTGTTGCTGTTGGTGAATAGCTTCTTGGCAGCAGCAGCAGCTAGAGGCAGCAGAACGATGATGAGATCACCACCCAGACTCTCAGCAAATTCGTGGTAGCATGTGAGAGCGCGACGTCATCGCCGCAACTCTTCCGAACGACGAAACACAATTCTCACTGCCGTGCAGCGGAGGGAGCCTGCGCCCACACAAGTGCATGTTCTGACAAATAAACGAAAACTAGGGCAGCTTCTCCATGTCTGGATCAGCCGATGGTGAGCTCCACGACTGGACCAGACAGTGCTTCTCCACCCAGTGCCCACTTTCAAACACAAAACAAGCTCCAACACCGTAAACCGGCAACCCACACAGGCAAACGTATGGCTTCTGCGACGACAAAGCTTCAACATTGTTGGAGATATGGGCCTTAGGACTCAGGTGTGATGGCTTGGGCCTGCCTGTGCCACGCTATCTCGTTCCCCAACATGAGCCGCATCACGGCCGATTACCCTTTTCTCAAGCAGCACGCGATCTGAAGTCAGAACCTAATACTGTTGGTACAGAGCCGTAACCCATCATCTCGAAGCGTATTGCAGCAAGTCCTGGTGGTCATCTGCATGAAGACCGCCAGATCGTGCGTCGCATCTGAAAATCCCGAGCAGGCAGCACGATCTGTGCTACAGCTATCAGCTACTGCTCGCCCTTCTCACATTCCCCTCCCAATGACGGGGCCGGTCAACAGAGGGCCTCTGTCGCGCTACACTGCCTGGTGTTTGCAGGTGGTTCGTCTGTTCAAAGCCGTGCGGCGACAGCAGTGCGCTGCCTCAAAAGACGGCACCGACCGCATGGATCTGCACAGTTGCCCCGCCAAGAACACGACATCCCTGTCATCGTCATAGATCCTCCTCGGGATCTCTCTCTTCCAGCGCGGGCATTACATCCAGATCCCGGCATGCGGGAACCTGTCCAGGCAACCCTTCAGCTGGTCTGTGGTCACATGCCGCCAGGCGCCAACTGTCGTTCCAGAGCTGGCAGCACTGGTGACACGTGTTGCGGCAAAAATGAGGCCGCTCTGGCACTGTTCGCCATTTCTGCCTCCCCAACACTTCTCGCATAAACCTCCTCTCTGCCACCACCATCGGATATGTGAGAAAAGGCTCGTAAGGATGATCCAGGGGTGGTGGCTCCTCACGTTCTTGTGGAGCATCCTGCGGGTTCGTTGCCACTTGGCTTGCCAGACCTGCTGTCACCTCTGCCGCCTTGCAAACCTTCAGATCCTTCGGGAGGCTGCGGCTCCTTGTCCTCCTCCTTTTCGGGGTCACGGGCTTCAGCTCGATGAAAGTATTGCTAACTCGCAATTTGACAATCACCTGCTCGTCTTCGCAACCCTCAGCTCCTGTGTCTCGCTGTTCCGCTGTTGCCGCGCGAGGTATCGATGTAAGCAAGGCTTCCTCGCTGGGCGACAGCCGGTGCCGAGGGTAATCTTCTAGCTTGGGCCTCTCCCAGCAGCAGCAAAAAAGACGCCTGCGTTCCGCCCATGGTCCACCCCAAATTCAAACTGTGCTCGGGCTTGACCACGGCTGCGGCAGAGTCAGAGAAGTGAAGATCATTGGGAAGAACTCTTTATGTTTTATTGCTATCTCGCTCCTCGAGAACCTTCGTTTGAGTGGCAACGGTTTCAAGCCTTGCATCGTGATTTCCATCAAGTCCCAACATGAGCCGCATCACGGCCGATTACCCTTTTCTCAAGCAGCACGCGATCGAACCTAATCCCGTTGTTCCATGACACTTCCGGTCGGCACAGAGCCGTAACCCATCATCTCGAAGCGTATTGCAGCAAGTCCTGGTGGTCATCTGCATGAAGACCGCCAGATCGTACGTCGCATCTGAAAATCCAGAGCAGGCAGCACGATCTGTGCTACAGCTATCAGCTACTGCTCGCCCTTCTCACATTCCCCTCCCAATGACGGGGCCGGTCAACAGAGCGCCTCTGTCGCGCTACACTGCCTGGTGTTTGCAGGTGGCTCGTCTGTTCAAAGCCGTGCGGCGACAGCAGTGCGCTGCCTCAAAAGACGGCACCGACCGCATGGATCTGCACAGTTGCCCCGCCAAGAACACGACATCCCTGTCATCGTCATAGATCCTCCTCGGGATCTCTCTCTTCCACCGCGGGCATCACATCCAGATCCCGGCATGCGGGAACCTGTCCAGGCAACCCTTCAGCTGGTCTGTGGTCACATGCCGCCAGGCGCCAACTGTCGTTCCAGAGCTGGCAGCACTGGTGACACGTGTTGCGGCAAAAATGAGGCCGCTCTGGCACTGTTCGCCATTTCTGCCTCCCCAACACTTCTCGCATAAACCTCCTCTCTGCCACCACCATCGGATATGTGAGAAAAGGCTCGTAAGGATGATCCAGGGGTGGTGGCTCCTCACGTTCTTGTGGAGCATCCTGCGGGTTCGTTGCCACTTGGCTTGCCAGACCTGCTGTCACCTCTGCCGCCTTGCAAACCTTCAGATCCTTCGGGAGGCTGCGGCTCCTTGTCCTCCTCCTTTTCGGGGTCACGGGCTTCAGCTCGATGAAAGTATTGCTAACTCGCAATTTGACAATCACCTGCTCGTCTTCGCAACCCTCAGCTCCTGTGTCTCGCTGTTCCGCTGTTGCCGCGCGAGGTATCGATGTAAGCAAGGCTTCCTCGCTGGGCGACAGCCGGTGCCGAGGGTAATCTTCTAGCTTGGGCCTCTCCCAGCAGCAGCAAAAAGACGCCTGCGTTCCGCCCATGGTCCACCCCAAATTCAAACTGTGCTCGGGCTTGACCACGGCTGCGGTAGAGTCAGAGAAGTGAAGATCATTGGGAAGAACTCTTTATGTTTTATTGCTATCTCGCTCCTCGAGAACCTTCGTTTGAGTGGCAACGGTTTCAAGCCTTGCATCGTGATTTCCATCAAGTCCCAACATGAGCCGCATCACGGCCGATTACCCTTTTCTCAAGCAGCACGCGATCGAACCTAATCCCGTTGTTCCATGACACTTGCGGTCGGCACAGAGCCGTAACCCATCATCTCGAAGCGTATTGCAGCAAGTCCTGGTGGTCATCTGCATGAAGACCGCCAGATCGTACGTCGCATCTGAAAATCCCGAGCAGGCAGCACGATCTGTGCTACAGCTATCAGCTACTGCTCGCCCTTCTCACATTCCCCTCCCAATGACGGGGCCGGTCAACAGAGCGCCTCTGTCGCGCTACACTGCCTGGTGTTTGCAGGTGGCTCGTCTGTTCAAAGCCGTGCGGCGACAGCAGTGCGCTGCCTCAAAAGACGGCACCGACCGCATGGATCTGCACAGTTGCCCCGCCAAGAACACGACATCCCTGTCATCGTCATAGATCCTCCTCGGGATCTCTCTCTTCCAGCGCGGGCATTACATCCAGATCCCGGCATGCGGGAACCTGTCCAGGCAACCCTTCAGCTGGTCTGTGGTCACATGCCGCCAGGCGCCAACTGTCGTTCCAGAGCTGGCAGCACTGGTGACACGTGTTGCGGCAAAAATGAGGCCGCTCTGGCACTGTTCGCCATTTCTGCCTCCCCAACACTTCTCGCATAAACCTCCTCTCTGCCACCACCATCGGATATGTGAGAAAAGGCTCGTAAGGATGATCCAGGGGTGGTGGCTCCTCACGTTCTTGTGGAGCATCCTGCGGGTTCGTTGCCACTTGGCTTGCCAGACCTGCTGTCACCTCTGCCGCCTTGCAAACCTTCAGATCCTTCGGGAGGCTGCGGCTCCTTGTCCTCCTCCTTTTCGGGGTCACGGGCTTCAGCTCGATGAAAGTATTGCTAACTCGCAATTTGACAATCACCTGCTCGTCTTCGCAACCCTCAGCTCCTGTGTCTCGCTGTTCCGCTGTTGCCGCGCGAGGTATCGATGTAAGCAAGGCTTCCTCGCTGGGCGACAGCCGGTGCCGAGGGTAATCTTCTAGCTTGGGCCTCTCCCAGCAGCAGCAAAAAGACGCCTGCGTTCCGCCCATGGTCCACCCCAAATTCAAACTGTGCTCGGGCTTGACCACGGCTGCGGCAGAGTCAGAGAAGTGAAGATCATTGGGAAGAACTCTTTATGTTTTATTGCTATCTCGCTCCTCGAGAACCTTCGTTTGAGTGGCAACGGTTTCAAGCCTTGCATCGTGATTTCCATCAAGTCCCAACATGAGCCGCATCACGGCCGATTACCCTTTTCTCAAGCAGCACGCGATCGAACCTAATCCCGTTGTTCCATGACACTTGCGGTCGGCACAGAGCCGTAACCCATCATCTCGAAGCGTATTGCAGCAAGTCCTGGTGGTCATCTGCATGAAGACCGCCAGATCGTACGTCGCATCTGAAAATCCCGAGCAGGCAGCACGATCTGTGCTACAGCTATCAGCTACTGCTCGCCCTTCTCACATTCCCCTCCCAATGACGGGGCCGGTCAACAGAGCGCCTCTGTCGCGCTACACTGCCTGGTGTTTGCAGGTGGCTCGTCTGTTCAAAGCCGTGCGGCGACAGCAGTGCGCTGCCTCAAAAGACGGCACCGACCGCATGGATCTGCACAGTTGCCCCGCCAAGAACACGACATCCCTGTCATCGTCATAGATCCTCCTCGGGATCTCTCTCTTCCAGCGCGGGCATCACATCCAGATCCCGGCATGCGGGAACCTGTCCAGGCAACCCTTCAGCTGGTCTGTGGTCACATGCCGCCAGGCGCCAACTGTCGTTCCAGAGCTGGCAGCACTGGTGACACGTGTTGCGGCAAAAATGAGGCCGCTCTGGCACTGTTCGCCATTTCTGCCTCCCCAACACTTCTCGCATAAACCTCCTCTCTGCCACCACCATCGGATATGTGAGAAAAGGCTCGTAAGGATGATCCAGGGGTGGTGGCTCCTCACGTTCTTGTGGAGCATCCTGCGGGTTCGTTGCCACTTGGCTTGCCAGACCTGCTGTCACCTCTGCCGCCTTGCAAACCTTCAGATCCTTCGGGAGGCTGCGGCTCCTTGTCCTCCTCCTTTTCGGGGTCACGGGCTTCAGCTCGATGAAAGTATTGCTAACTCGCAATTTGACAATCACCTGCTCGTCTTCGCAACCCTCAGCTCCTGTGTCTCGCTGTTCCGCTGTTGCCGCGCGAGGTATCGATGTAAGCAAGGCTTCCTCGCTGGGCGACAGCCGGTGCCGAGGGTAATCTTCTAGCTTGGGCCTCTCCCAGCAGCAGCAAAAAGACGCCTGCGTTCCGCCCATGGTCCACCCCAAATTCAAACTGTGCTCGGGCTTGACCACGGCTGCGGCAGAGTCAGAGAAGTGAAGATCATTGGGAAGAACTCTTTATGTTTTATTGACGGCCTTGGCTTGCAGCATAACGTCTTGGATAGGCCAATGAATTGGCAGGCTTTCGATCATGGAGGCATGGAGCGCCTCCAAGAAGAGCCCGCCACAGAAGTCTACCCACAAGAAGCTACAGTATCTAGCAAATGACGGTCTCAGATCAAACTCAGATTCTTCAGATCTGAGGAACCTTAGCCTTCAGACATATGCCAGCCAGGCGTCCTGAGCTCCGGAGACCTCGTCTTTTTCGGCCGCGCAGTGGCATGATCCGCGTCAGGCAAATTGAACGATCTGCCATCACGGCCTACAAGTGACTTGGATGCCCAAGTCGGCCTTGAGGCTAAGCAAAGATAAGCACGAATTACGGCTGCTCCCAGGAACATGATTTCATCTTGGCTCCGGGAGAGCCATCAAACAACATCCCGGACTGCCTGGACAGAGGGGGACTGGAACTACAGCGGGCTTCCTGACTCTTCAAGCGTGTGCCTGTAGCACATAGTGTCACATAGAGGGTTCACTGTACACTGTCATCGCAGCAGTGACTTAGGAATCGGAGCCAATGGCATCGACAGAAGCCCAAAGTTAAAAGAGGGACCATACCAAGCCAGAACCTCACAGGCCTGGCCCTCTGACCCCCGCAGCCCGAATTTCCGTGCAGGTTTAGGAGCGCCTCTTCATGTCTCTGGCCTCACGGGCCTCCTTACTTTACTAAGAACTGGCTACAAGTACTGCAGGTGACTTCTGTGGCTGCTCCGTGTCAGAGAGACAACGGAGTCAACAGCTTCCAGGGCGGCCAATAAACCTGGGGTCCACGCTTGGTTGCAATTTGCACGGAACAAGACAACATCCGAGACAAGCAAGTGTCAAGCGTCCCTGGTATGCCATCTACCCTGCTGCATCCACATGTCAAGAGCCGGCATGGAGCTGCAAATGCACACACCCCTGACAGCGCATGGCACCAACATGCTGAGGCACAGGGTGCGAGCCAATCGCTTTGGTGCTAGAGCTTCTCCGCTGTCCTTGAGAAGCATTCGAGTGACAAAATGCTGTTGAAGCTTGCAGCCCCTCAGCATAAGCGCTCTCAGGGTTTCGAGAAACAGGCAAGCGTCATCATCAGAGGCTTGTCCACTGCGTCGCTTGCGGCCCCTCGCAGGACCTGTTACTTTCACAGGATGGTTAAGGAAGGAACGGCACGTATTCAACACCACAACCTAGTGCAGGCGTTTGTGGCAGCACAGGCCTCCCTCTACATGAAGAGCCTGTGCCTCGGAAGCTCGGAACATCCAAAAAAGAGGGAAAGTGCCAAGAGCTTACTCACACTGACTGACCCCTCTTGCTCCAGAAACTCGTCTCTGCATCGACCCCAATACTGACAAGCAGCAATGAGGTCGCTAATGTCGATCTCTAAGCCATCCATATCCTGTCGGAGCTGGAGCCGCCGGTCGCGTGTTTCTTCACGCACCTTTCAAGACTCGGGCACGAAAAGGTCTTCAGAGAGCAGTCCGCAGCAAGTAGCTACAGATCTTTCCTTGCATGCAGGTTCCCGACACTTCCAGAAAGGGCCCTGCAGTGCCCCCCGAGGCTGCCCCTGGGCCTCCTCCCAATTCGGCAGGGAAGAAGCGACCTCATGCAGTTGAGAACAGTCCAAGAAAGCGAACAAGAAGGGCTGAGGCGGCTGAGGCCAGGGGAACCCAGCCTGGTCGATTTTGACTGTCTGCAGGCACTGGATGAGCCCTCGGAGGATGGGCTTCAGCTGGGCCTCCACGATGCTTACTGATCTCCGAAGAAGATTTAGCCTGCTTTAGTGCTAGTAGTAGGGATGTTTAGGGTTGGAGTCTAGAAGGCCTCGAGTGTGACAACTCTGCATGGAAGACCAGCCTCGCCCGAATCTTTGGAGCGCTTTTCAGACCACTTTGTGGAGATCTCCTGGCAAGCTTCTGAGACCTCGGCGAGCAGGCTCCCACGCAATCGACAGAAGCCCTAGATGCGGCAGACAGCGGAGGAAGATTCAGCGAGATATCAGCTACAAGAAACACAAGAAACAACCTGACTTTTTGAGCAATGCATGTGCTTCCCCTTCCTGGCCCTGCCTCCCGAGCGACGAAGGGCCAGAAGTCCCCAGCAGCCGAGAGGGGAGCGGAGCAAGAACGGCCGACGGCCTGCTCAGTCCCGGTGACATCTGGTAGCCCCGTGGTCTGGATTCTGGAGATGCTTGCGGTACACGCGCCGTGCAGAGCGTACAGAGAGAGTGCCGATCCTGCACCGGCACAATTGCTGCCCGCAGCAGCTCCGCCAGCAGGGGTTCCTCGTCAACATCCAAGCCTGAGGCTTCCAGAGACACAAGCAAGGCATGGGAGTGGCTCTGGAATCTTCTTTGAATGAAAAGGGCCCACACAGAGCAACGCCAGCGGCCGCCAAACCTGCTGGAGCCAGATGGCGGCGCTGTGTCGCGCCGCTGGCCTTCCCACCTGGCTGGCACCTTGGAGCCCAGTTCACAGTTCGCAGATGACAACACAAAAGAGCTACTGGACTGCTACTCATATATAATCATAGATATGCATAGTGTCGAGCTCCGGGCAGGAAGCTGCAAGCTGCTGGCAGACAAGACGGAGTAGACGCGGAAGTTGCAAGTAGCGCCAGGTCTGGGAGCCTGGAGCACTGCGCACGGCTCACCGGACTTCAGCAAGCTCAATGCCTCGCAGCTACAGTGATCCTTTACTGGAAAATAGCTAGGGCATCACTAGGTGCACTTCGGCTCTGTCCAAGTCACCTCGCACCGAAGTCAATGGCCGCGGCACCGCCAAGTGCCAAAGATCCTCGGCGCAGCACATCCTAACTGCATTCTGCGTGTTGCCATGTGCTGCAGGGCTCCCAAAACAAGAATTAACGCCCTTTGCTGCCTAAACCGGAAAGCCAACGCCGGCCCCTGGCGGAACGGGCGGCCAAGGTACCGTGGCCAGGAGCAGCTCCGCCACTGCACCGAGCCGTGCCGCGTGCGCCGGAGAGGCGCGGCCCAGGCACCCTAGCAAAGTAAGGTATGCTGGCCCTCAGGGAGAGGTGCCCAAAGAAAGAGAAAGAAAGAGAGAGAGAGAGAGAGAACAAAAGCAACAGAAGAAGCAACTCAAGGGCGGACAAGAAGGTGAATTCCAGGCGTTTCCCAGTAGAGGATTTTGGGGTTAAAGCACAGGAGTCAAGCAGCTATCTTGCATGGACATCTTGGCAGTCCAAGGCACCAAAGAAGCACAGAAGGCGTCCTCGATGCGCAGCCTGTGACAGGTATGTTGCAAGCAGGTGGACTCTAGCGCAATGCCAAACCATAAAGGGGACAAATGCTCCATCTCCTCCGGAATGTCTGGTCTTGGATGCTGTCGCTTCGGCAAGGAGAATTACTCCGCCTACGCAGAATCTTCCTATTCAGAAGATGTACGAGTCCAGCGCCGGCCTCCTCCGCCTCCTGCCAACACACAGACAACGGAGGCAAATGCTACCAGACGGCCGCAACATGATCTGCTTGCAGCAGGTAGAGCAAAGAAACTGGGTTTAGATTTAGCTGGGGGTATGTATCTGAAGCCGTAGACCCAGACAATCTCTGAAACGATCGAATCAGATTAATAATAACATATTAATAAAGAGCAAGATTGCTAGGAATCATTATAAGAATGTAACCCAAAAAAACTTTGAAAGGCTGCTGTCCGACTGTCCATTGCCTCCAAGTCCAGCTTCGCAAGGTCCAAGTCTTCGTTGCTGGGCTTCCCCAAGGGATGATGAAACACCTCCAGACTGCAGAGAGCATTTAGGAGGATTGAGGATTTAGGGTTTAGGGTTTTTGGTTTAGGGTTTAGGGCTTAGGGTTTAGGGTTTAGGGTTTAGGGTTTAGGGCTTGAAGGGCTTTCGGATGTATGTGATGCGTGTCCTGCGGTGGCCCACCGAAAGACCCCAACCGAGGCGAGCGCTTCAAGCATCATGGAGGTCAGTGCCCAGGTGGACTCCATGTTTGTGCCTCGATCTGCCTCAGGTGTGATTCTTTGAAGAGCTCCACAAAAGAAGCAATGACTCGACACTTGGTGCAGACTTCCCACCATGTCATCCAGGAAACTCCATACAACATCATCATGGCAACCTTCTCGGAAAGCTTCCTCCACAGCAACAAGGGTGCTGTCCAGAAGCAGCAGGAGCATTGCGAAAAGATGACGGGCATGTGTCAAGTCTGGCCTTTGGCGGCGGTGACTCTCAGTTTGAACCATGATAATCATAATACTAATTCTCAGAAAACTAATCATCATAATCATAATACTAATAATCATAATACTGATAATCATAATACTAATAATCATAATCATAGTCATCATCATAATCATAATCATACCAGTAATAAGGGCTGCGAGTGCAATCATGGGGGAGGCCCCTGGCTGCGTTAATTGCCGTGCCAGAAACGCTCGATGGCTTACCCGGCTCCTGCGCAACTGTGGCGATACGGCCTGGCAATCTCTGGAACAGATTTGCATACTGTAGGTGATGAACGCTAAAGGCCACAAATTGAAACGGAAACAAAGGGCTGTTCTCATTGCACACGTAGGCGCCTTAGTGGAGAGGCAGCTGCTGTAGATCAAGGAACAACCGCTAGTCACGGCTGATGCCGCCACGACAGTCGACGAAACCTCAACTGTCCTCGCACATGGCCTCTCACTCGCAGCTAACAACTCGGCTTTAGCAATAAGCTGCACATTATACCGTGGTGATAGGAATTAAGCGCATGCGGAGCACTCAGATGTCGACGAACCCTAAGCTAAGCCCCAAACGCTAAACCCTGAACCCTACTAAACCCTCAAACACTAACTCTCTGGCCCAAGCCCTCAACTCTAAACCCTACTTGTACTAACTGTGAACCTATAGCATTCATTTTATCGTGTATGCAATAAGACATTATAACTATAGTATATGGTATTGTGGATGTTATGATGATCTATGGTAGCATATTCGACTATATATAGTAGTATATCAACCCAAACTGGTATCATCGCAGGTTTCATGAATGTCCCAGAACATTGCCGCACCGGGTGCAGATTCCGGCCCTAATCCCTAATCCCTAAACCCTAAGCCCCAAAAAGCAAAAACCTCGACCCTAAACCCTAAGCATGAAGCCCTGACGCCGTTTCCACTCACAATAGTGCCTGATAGGGTATCTTATTGTAGCTTCAAGTATATCATAGTATCTCAAAGCCATACTATGTTGTACTATACATCACAGCATAGTAATACAGTAATCCTACTATACATATATAGCTATAGCATATAGCACAAGTCGCATATTGTAACTGAATTCACAAGCTGCCGGCTCCAAAGCGCCTTGGCCTTCCGCAAGGCCGCAAGCAGCGCCGCACACTTGGCCCCGGGGTCGGGTAACCACTCGGTCGCTCCTCGGGGGTCTTAGGAGATTTAGGGGGGTTTTTTAGGGGGGAGTCTTAGGAGATTTAGGGGTGTTTTGGGGGGAATCAGGGTTTAGGGGTTTTAGGTTTTAGGGTCTTTGGGGGCTTAGGGTTTAGGGGTTTCAGGTTTTAGGGCTTTCGGATTTCCGGGTTGGAAGGGGATCGGGCTGAGGCCTCAGCATGTGGGCGTGTGGGGCGTCTAGGGCTTTTTGGCGTTTGGTGGATTCCTTTTCTGTTTCTTTTTGATTGGCGTGCCTCTTCTTCTCCTCTTGTTCCGCTATTGTCTCTTTGCCTTCCGATGGTCAGTTCTCTGAGCTATGGTCCTGTTTCTGGATACACAGCACAGCTACCTTCATTAGATTGGATACTCCTCTTCAGCCCATGGACCTGCTTTCTGGGTCGGCAGGTTTCAGTAGTTCTGTTGCCGGCAGGATTTAAATGCCCACTGCTTGCCAGTTGTGACTGGCTGGTGCAAAAACACTCGCTCCTAGCGGCAGCGATGTCAGCAAGAGCTGGTCACTTCGCGAACTTTGTGCCACTTCATCCATGCCCTCCCATGATGTTCCATATGTGCGAGCGTAGAAAGCCCAAAAGTGCTATGCATATCCAGCTGCTACTGAAGGCAGACTAGCGTCCGCTGTGCAGCAGCAACACATCCGACAGGAACATGGCGCAGGTCTGCGTGATAAGCTCCTCAGAAATTTTCGGAAGGGCAGCCGGTAGAGACACGCGCTCAACAGTGCAGGAACTGCAGGTGCAAAGTGCAAAGTCCTACGCTAGGGCGAACTTGAGGGTTCACACAGCCGAGCTGCTGCATCACGCCCGGGCCGGCAGCCAAATCGCCGCAGCAGTGACAAGAAGAAGGGCCAATTCGAGGAGGCAGCTTCAGGCTCCACAGAGGTGAGCAGGGCCATGCACCTGGAAAAAACAAGGCGCTCTGTCACTACAAGATAGCATACCTTTGCTGCAGTAGGAAACTGAAGGTCTGAACAACCTTCATAGAAAAACACATAGCGGATATGCCCGCATCTAACCCGAAACCTGCCCAGGCCTCACTGCCAGCACGCGGTGGCGGGACCAGCAACCGCCAAGCAGAGGCTCGGCAGCATCGGCGCGGTTCTCGGTGGAGCAACAAACTTCTCTGCGGATTCGTTTCGTGCTACACTGCCGCTACACAGTATTTTGCAAAGCTTCTGGGGCAGAAAGACAGGTTACAGGTTGAGAAGTCTCCAGACCGAAAAGAATTTCTGGGAGAGCTTCTTTGAAGCCTGCTTCAGTGTAAGTTCGGCCGCTCAAGATTGAATACACTGCACGCTATTTTAGGAAAGCCATGTCCTGCCAATGTTCAGCCCACTACCCTACCCGGGACACAGCGCTTAGTCATGACAGCTGCTGCCCAGCTTCCAGTGCCGGACGCAGCCAAGTATGAAGGAGCTCAGTCCCACCTTACATCACCACCAGACTTCCTGATAGGCTACACTTCCCTTCGAATCCCTTGAACCCGGCCTAGCAGAGGAGGCATGTCCTCACCCGCAGGGTTCGCTTTCACGGATGACTGGGACAGAACTGCGTCGATGACCTTGGCGAATCCCACGACGTAGCATCAGCTACTTCTACAGTGCTACTGCTAATTTGGACCCAGAAGAAACAATGACAAGTTCTCCACAGCTGCCATGTATATCATCTAAGGCGGCTGCACAGAGACCTCGCAAGGTCTTTTGAGACAAGTTGGACAGGCTGTCAAGACGTGTGCATTCCGCGACCTTGGATACAGAGCCCTTGTAGGTCTCCAGTGCGGAGTGTCATGAAGCACGGGTCAACGGGTCAACAAGCATAAAGCGCATGCCACAACGGGAACCAGGACACGTTCTTTTTCTTCAGCAAGCTGTCAAACTGCCGCATCCCATCCTCATCCTGGAAATCTTCCAACATCGTCAGGACCGTGCAGTTGACGCCCTCGGTCCACTGTGAACAAAACGAAGCGAAGTTTGACTAGGTGTCTGGCCACGGCTAGCTCCTAACTCCTAATTCTACTTGCTTAGCACTCCTGCTAGCATCTGCAAAGCTGACTCTCTTGCAACAACTGCCAGGCCGACACGCGACCGAGGCATTTCTTAACTAAGCACGTCACAACGCAAAGGCACAATTCTTGCAACCCATGAGCGCTTCAATGGCTAGATACGACCGTTTCAGCAGCTCCCACTGTCCCAATGACGTCCCCATTTTGAGCACGCTGAATAAATTCTCGCATGCTAGCAGCAAAACTAGAGAGATTGTTACATGCCGTCTCCTGAAGTTTCATGTGGGCTCACGTTGCACGGCTCAATTCAGTGCCTGCGCGGCAAACACCTATGGGGCCCCAACCTCGGGGTCGGCTCGCCGCAGTAGCGCCACCGCCAAGTGATGCAGTGAGGTCATGGATCCATCTCGGCATACGAAGGAGAAGCTACAGAAACGTTCCGGCAAAGCGTGAAACATACCTCGAACACCGCACCTGGAATGGCCAATCAAAAACACCCTGGAAGATATTGCGCCGGCCTCCCAGATCATCTGGAGGTGCTTCTCGCAGCACCGTGTCAGCTACCTGTCCGGCCCGGAGGGGCTCAAACCGCAAAAAATCTAAAACATGTTGGATGGCTCAGCCTCCAAGAGGTCCTGCGTACTTCCGCATTCCTCACAGCACACGCCATTTGCCAATCTAGGGATGCACGTCTGCGGATTGCGCTCAGGTACGACAGGGGCATGGCCTGTCAACTACAAGTAGTAGTTTTCCATGAGACAGTTCATGCGCCATGTTCATCAAAGGCATGAACGCTTGTGACAACATGTCTTGTTCCAGAAACGTCAAACTGTTGTGTAGAAAGGCAAAAAGCACTGTAAATACCAGTGCCAGGCACGTTCGCCAAAGGTATGAACGCTTGCGACAGGTGTTTTGTTCCAAATGTCAAACATCATCCTTCTGCAGTAAACTGTCAATGCCAGGTTTGGGGGACGTTCGCCAAAGGCACGAACGCTTGTGACAGCCCGAATTGTTCCACGTCCTTGCGCAGCATGTTGTGCAGAAAAACAAAGAAAAAGAGAGCTGTAAAAATGGTCGCAATGTGAATGATGTTGCTGCCCCGCCCCCCCCTCCCCCCTTCCGAAGCCAGTGATCGTGAACGTTCTACTTGTGTTCTTGAAAAGGATTCTGATATGTTTCTTGCAAACTTGCTCGAGACATGTTCCACATGTTCTCCAGTCACCTGGGCCGGAAGACTTGTCGGAATCCTTGTCTCAGCTGAAGGTCTGAGACCCGAGGCCTACACCTTGAATCCAAAATTCCGTGTGAGACTCGGGTTCCAGGGGGTTCCCTACATCTCAGAATACTCCGGCCAGAGCAGCTTCTAGAATGCTCTCAACTCCCGAGGACTCTACAAGCAACCTGCCTACAGGGACCCAGGAGAGCGGTGCCAGGGTCACCCGAAACCCTAAACCCTAAGTTTTCAGGATGTGTTTTTTGGGGATGAGGGAGTAGACTCCTCCTGGAGGAGGCGCCAGAGAAGCTGGCGCAACAGCGGCCACCGCTCCAGCTCCACGGCTGACATGGCCTATCGTTTAAGGCGCAAGAACGAGCACCGACCTTAGGGCTTAGGGCTTAGGGCTTAGGGCTTAGGGTTTAAGGTTTAGGGTTTAGGGTTTAGGGTTTAGGGTTTAGGGTTTAGGGTTTAGGGTTTAGGGTTTAGGGTTTAGGGTTCAGGGTTTAGGGTTTAGCGTTTAGCGTTTCGGGTTTAGGGTTTAGGGTTTAAGGTTTAGAGTTTAGGGTTCCTTAATCCTTGGCAGCTATGAGGAAGGGCGTCCTGCCCTGATGCCCTGATCAACAGAATGGCGTCGCAAGCCTGGAGGGGTAACGGCTTTGCGTCCGGAACGGCGGCATCGGACAGCCTGCAGCCAAGGAGACACGACAAGAAACGTTGCCCTTGCTGAATGCCAGTTCAGGCTCTCCAAACCGATTACAGGGCTCATTTTGGCAACCTAGTGCCAGAGCACCCTGCATGCAAAACATCCCCAACAGTGATCCATCCCGATGTAATCTCGACGATGGCGTCTACGTCGCAAAACAGAAGGAGCTCAAGCAAACAACGCGTCCCAAGCCACTGTGCTGCCACTCGCCACATCAGCGCAGCTGCGGCGTCGGCGCCTGGAGCCCTGCAGACGAAGAATCAGAGCTCCCAAGCCAAGCACGACTCATCAAACGAACCTTGCCTTGGAGTTTCCACTTAAGACTTAAGGACGCGATCAACACACGTGGCCACTTGGGCGGCTCGGGCGCCTGGAGGCTACCGCATCTAAGCAGGCCGTCCAGTCGGAGGATGCCTCGGCGAGCAATGAAGGAAGGCTGGGCCGAATGAGGCATCGAAGGAGAGCCCCGTGAACTGCTGCAGAGGAGAAGGGAAGCGAGTTGAAAGCTTGCGAATTAAGAACCAAGAAGCAGCGTCGAACGTTTGGGATCTCTACTTCAATTTCCAAATTGGGCACATCCAAACTGGGCACAGAAGTCAGAAGTCCTTCACTAGGAGCCTGCTGGTGCTCCAGTTCGTTCGGCATGCCCTTTATTAAATATGCCTGCCAACAGGGCACAAAGACAACCTTCAACACCATCTCTGCAGTGGTCTCGTCCAACTGCTGGACCATGTCCTGAACGTAGGAGGCACACTTTGCCATACAAAATGCCACAAAACAAAAGGTAAACAACCTCTCCACCACAAGCCCGGAATCAGTCCTGGAGCAGGGCTTCAGCACCTCACAGGCACTTCAGAGCAACTGCAGCTTTGCCCTTCATATTCAATCTTTTGGTGCCGATGGATATACACACACACACACACCCACAACATATCAAAAGTATGCCGGCATACACAAAGAACTTGCTCAAGGGACTTTGTGTTTAAGTGCCCGTACACCGCTGTGCCGGCCTTTGACCTCACGCTGCTTCGAGAGCCAACTCATCAGGTAGGATTCACAGGCACCTCGAACCTGTCAGGCTCACACTGCCGAATACAAAACATAGAAATCGGTCAAGGTTTGGTTGCGGCTAGGTCGGATAGTGTAAACACCTTGCCTCAGCGTTGGCATCATTGAATCCCAGGCGTACGACGTCGGCTAGCAGCTTGCCAGGCTCCTAGCTCACCCGGACGCTCAAAAAACCAAACTGGCCCTCGCTCTCACATGGCCATCAATCTTCTCTTTGATCTCTGTTCAGCGCCTTGCACTTTGCTAGCCACGCCGAGCACTGGGCCTGCTTCTCCAGCGCCTCGAAAAGCCAGCACCGCACACGCGGTGCTGCGTCGAGGCATCTCCCCGCTACCTGGGCCAGGCGACCGCGTTGCTGCACAAGCCTTAATAATTCGCCTCAGCCTCCGGCCGACATTGGGAGACCATTGGGAGGGAACTGTCATGGGACCCTTCGGGACCCCCCAGGTTCCACAGCCCCACCCGAGCTTCACTTGGCAACAGGTACACGAGCACAAAAACAAAATCACACAAACAACAAAACGGCTTTGCACCGCCTTCTGACCCGGCAAGCCTTTACTGCTATTTGAAAACAGCTATGGGTTTCTCTAACAAGCCTGCCTCACTGACGCTGTGGGCTCTCAAGGTTTCATATTTACGGGTCGGCTTCTCCCCGGCGTCTTTTGCCTTGACCCGCGGTGGCTTTCCGTACCTACAGCCCGGCCGCCGCGCGCCCTGCAGATCTGGAAACTCCGAGATGCACCGCTTCGACCGCCGACGCGCACGTCCCGTGGGGTTGGTCCGGCTGCCGAGGCGGCGCGCGCAAGCATTTACAATCGAAGGAATTGTGAAGGAAGACGTGAATGCTGTGCGAGCCTTGCTTCTGAATGGAGACACAAACTCCTGCCTCCTCTGCAGCACCCCGCTCTGCAAGTGCAATGACGGCCGTTGAGCGGACCTTCGCTGCTCGCGGTCACCAACCAGGAATCAACAAACTCGGAAACGCCAAAAAATGCCAAAAAAAGCCATGGTTAATCCAGAGCCGTACAGTAAGATGCAGTATCGCAAGCTTCCGCCCAGCCACAGCAGGGGTGATATCGCGGCTGGCCAGGTGCTGCAGCGCCGAGCAGAACTCCTCACCTCCATCGGGCCAAGTGGGAGCGAAGGGGCTTCAAAAGAGTCGGATCTACCTACTGGATCACATGGGCAAAATATTGTGAGTATTATTCTGTCTTCTTTTTTCTTTGGGGGGGGGGGGGGGGGGGGGTGGGGGATGATTCGTGGACGTAGGCGTTGAAGCCTTGCCGAAACCCTGGCCGCCCTGGGCCAGCCCTGCCCTGGCCTTCGACACGGCTGAGCCCACGCGCCGCTGCAAGTCGCACTGCTGGCGTACGGTCCTGGCCACAACGAGATCGGGATGCCGAAACACCATGCATCAGCTGCCATTTACCAAAGGAAAGTGCCCCTTCCGTTACCTTGCCCCCTATGTGCGAGTCTGGAGAGCAGTGTCTTGTTGTAGGTTTCTGACTTGTTCAACGAAGCAGAGTCAAGGGGGGAACCTTGGCAAGATCCAGCAGTGCCAGGCCCGCAGCTTCGGTCAGGTGTCTGCTCAGGACCTTCAGTTGCTCTGAAGATGTCTGAAGATGTAAGACTGAGAGATGCTGAGAGATTGAGATGTAACGATGCTAACATGGTCAGAAATGCGTAGAGAGATGTAAAAGGTCTGTTGAGTTGGACCCTGGGGCCACGGACCCTTTGGGAGGCGAACTCCGCTCACGCCACACAGGTGCTAAGCTGCTAGCAGGCGATCCATAACAAAATTATCCCATATGCTCTAGGCGCCTGTGCGTTCGCCTTGCCCGGAGGTGGAAGCCTCAGGGAGTCAACTCAGACTTGAAACTTAGATGGTCTCACGTAGCGATATCCGGTGTGTATCGGTGCTTTGCACTTGTTCTCAACGGTTCAATACTCGGCTCCCGGCAGACGCCATAGGAGGCAAGCTGCTCGACAACGCGCTGTTCGAGCGCGAAGCGCCTCGGCCTCACAAAGAAAAGGTGCTACTTGCAGTGCCGCTATGCACAAACATACTTTAGGCTTGAAGCAGTGTATTTCCTGACACTGATATGCAAAATGCTACAAGTCCAGCTTCGTCCAAGGCCTCACTGCCAAGCCGCTGCACAAGCCAGGCCAGCAATCGGCCCGGCGTCTTCTCTTCGGTTTCAGCCTCTTCGCACTGATCTCACAGTCTGTTTTAGAAAGCTGGGCATGCTGTGAGGCACAGTCACGCCTCCAAAGCCATCGTGGCAAGCAGGTCTAGACAGCCGTCAACAAGCAGGAAGCTGGATCGGCAGTCAGCAGAACATAGTATCGCCTGGCATGGCTTCGTAGCTTCGTGCATGGCCCAAAGGTGTGTTGTAGCTGCGGATGGGTGCGCGTGGGTGAGCGTCTCAGCAACCGGCCTCGGCACAATTCTCGAGGGCCTTGGACATCCTGGGATGCTTGGCTCAAGGACACAAGCCGCTAACCGCAAGTTGTAGCGCACATAGCGACACCCCACAGACACCCCACAGGGCGAAAGGACCCCGTGAATCACTTTACCTTAGGCCAAGCAGCTTGGCATGGCCGTGGATACCCCTCAGCGCCCGGAGGCGCGCCAGGCAGCCCGAAGGGTCCGCGCCGGCAGTGCTCTGAGTGCAAAAAAGGCACGTGAACACGCACTAGAATTCCCAAAAACGATGCAAGATGCACTTGATCGCTGCTTCGGACTGATGGAGCCTCGAAGTGGCTGAAGATCTGGTAGGCATCCTGTGCACCTTTTGCAAGCTGCGAATACCACCATACACACCACAGACTACAGAAACAGGTCCTGTGCAGTACATGTCATGCTGAGCCGGGCGCACTCTCCCACCCACTCAGAGGCCACAACCTGTGCCTCAGCGGCTTTGGCCTTCGCCTTCGCCTTCGGCTTGCCAACTGGTGGTGCTTTGGCATTCTTCACGGGATGCGCTGGACGGGTCAAGCGCTGCTTGCCCTTGAGCCGTCTCAGTGGTGTTTCTTGGGCTGCGCCGCCTGCGCCGCCTGCGCCGCCTGCGCCGCCTGCGCCTGCCATGGGCATGGCCTTCCTGACTTGCCGCTTCAGTGGCGCTTCCGCCCGACGGCACATGATCAGCTGCGACAAGGTCGGCCGCGCCTTCCGTGGCGTGCCCTCAGTGTGAGAAGGGGCACTGGCAGAGTCCTTCTCAGACACTTTCTGCCCAAAGCTGTTATGCCGCTTCTTTGCCACGAAAGCGAGGAACTTCCCTCTTGGGGCTGACCTTGGAGCTGACCTTGGTGCGCTTCGCGTTGCGGACTCCTCGCGAGCTTCAGCGGACTTTCTCACCCTTGGGGGCGTCGCTGGCTCACCATGTGCGTCCTGGGAAGCAGACACGGGCAGTTCAGAAGATGTTTCTACACTCCCGCGCCTCCTCGTCTTGACCTTTGGAAGCAATAAACGGTTTGACCCCTGACCATGGTATGCTGCTTGGGTGGGGTGGCTTCCTCCCCTCTACCCCTCTAGAAGCTACATCCACCCTACCAGAGAATCTGCAAGCGAAGACGGAATTCTGTGGCAAGATGTAGAATACTGCCCAGCCAGGCACGCACGAGGATGTTTGATGGGCTAGCTGCAAAGTCCCCGTACTGCAAGGCACGAACTAGCAGGACGCATCCCACCGACTTCTTCACGAAAAACACAGTCTGAGCGATGCAAAACATGCCCTCATGCCCGAGACATCTATGACCGGCATCCACCAACAAACAACTCAGCTGTCCTCGCCCTTGATGCCCTTGATGCCGTTGACCTGATTCTTGGGAGCTGCGGCTTTCTCGCCTTTTCTTCGCAGGCTGTCTTGGGCTTTGGGCAGGCCTTTCGGCGCCTTGCCATTGGACACTTCCTTCGGACAGCGCAGCTTCTCAGTTTGAGGTGGAGCCCCTACCTCTGCTTCTGTCTTGCTCGGCGGCTTCTCTGCAGCCTCCTCTGCAGCGACTTCAACCTCCTCCTCCTCCTCGCCATCCTCGCCATCCTCGCCATCCTGGTCCTCGTCCTCCTCCTCTTCCTCCGTGTCGACCTCCCCCGCAATGGGATCCTCGACCTCAAGAAGTGCAGGAGGGTCCTGACCGCATTGACCGCATCCGAATGGCAGCGTGCGGCAGCTCAAGCAGATGCACCATGCAACTTTTAGAATTGCTAGATCACGGTCTACAGGAGATTCACGCTGATTCAGGGAGGTTCGTGCAGACGCAATACTAAGGTCCTACGAGCAGCATCAAGGGCGGTCTCTGCAGGTGATCTGATCGTCACACGTTTGCTGCATTCTTGCACTTGCAATCTGCAATCCTTCTACTTCGGATTGAATCACTACCGATCTCTGAGGCGACCCGTGATCTACTTTCAGGAGGTTCTTGGCGGGTCCTCCACCTGCATCACCGCGGCACGCTGCTCCTGGAGATCCTGACCCTTTGCTGCCTCCTCTTCCCCTTTCTCTGCCTCGGTCTCCTCATCCTCCTCCTCCTGCTCCTCATGCTCCACCTCCTCTTCCACCTCCTGCTCCTGCTCCGCCTCGCTGGCGCCAGCCTCATCCTTCTCGTCCTCTTCTGAAGCCTCCTCCTGAGGCACCACACGGCGCCGGAGCTCAAGTCTTCTAATTTGAGATATGGAGCGTCAGAGCACGAGCGAGATGGCTAGATGGCTAGCCAGCTGGATAGATGGATGGACAGACAAGTTGACAGGTAGATAAACAGCTTAAGGCAGATAGACAAGTACGCCGAAAGGCAGAAAAGCCGATTGAATGATAGACCAATACATAGACCCTCGATTGTTGAACCAGTTGGACCACCCACGTGCATCAAATGAACCCACCGGTTAGCCTGGTTGTTTGGCCACCCATTGGCCCATCCTTTAGCATAATTTCGGAAAGCGATTTCTCTCAGAAGCTCCAAACCCTAAACCCTAAACACTAAACCCTAAACTCAGAGAAGTCTCCTCGTCTAGCTGGGTGGCCGCGGTGCGTGGCAGCTCCACAGGCTCAGGCTCTGAGAGCTTCTCGGCGCAGGAGTGTAGGAGGATGGGCTGCAGGTGTGGGGGCTGCGAGTTTCGAAGGTTTCTTAAGTCTGCTGAGTGGAGAGTAACAAATATATTTAACCAACTCTTTGACAAGTGATTGCATGCCATATGAGAAATTCTGGCCTCGGATCCGGATTTCTGAATTACAGCGCGCCCAGAATCTACCACTCATCTACCTGAAACTCATGGAACCCTTTCTGCATTCCGAGCATCGGCGCTGAGTTTTGGGAGCGCCTTGGAAGCTGAAGGAGCTGCCGCGTCCTCCGACTCCTCCGAGTCTTCCGCGTCTTCCGCGTCCTCCGCGTCCTCCACGTCCTTTGCATCTTCCTCATCTTCTGCGTCCTCTGCATCCTCCGCGTCCTCATCGTCCTCGTCCGGAGCAGGCGCCAAGGACGAGCAACTTTCGCCCGACACCTCTTGCAGAAATGCACAAGACTTGGCAAGTTAGCATGTATAAAAAACCGCGGAAGGTGTAAAGAGTCTCGGCGGAACAGCTTCGGCATGGATTGGGCGAGCAGCAGAGGCTGACGACAATGGCGCCACAGCCGTCCGCCGCGGGGAGCGGAGGTCAGCCGACAAATCCCTGAGCCTGGGCTTTGGACGTTTGCGCGGGACTTTGCGCCGCAGTGTCACACACATCTGTCTGGAATCTGAGTTCAACTGCAGGGTGCGTGCCTAGCACTGCCATACACCCAAGCAATCCCAAAGTGAGCAAGAACGACCTTAAACACGAGCCTCTACTCTGAAAACAAGATGCCGGTCTATGCCTTTACATCCTGAGTTGAAATCGCTTAAAATCCCTCGAGTATCGCAGTCTGTGATAGCCAGGCGGCTCCGGCTCTGGAGCATCCAGCTTCAATTTTGAAGGCTCAGGCCTCCGACCATGGAACTTGGGGGCTTGAGGATGTCATCGCCACCATCATGATTGTGGACACTCTGCTTCATTCTGCCGCGCTGGACCTGCCAACGCTGGTTCCTTCGGAGCTGATTTCCTTAACTAGAACTTCTTGTCTGCGGGGCCAGTCGACTCATTGGAACTGCAGACGGGGGCGCCACATGAAGTCCGGAGTTGCCAAGGGATCCAAGGGGGCCCTCCCCACCCGACCCTACTTCAGGTCCCCGATCTTCACGGCAACGCCGAAGCAACACGACGTGTCTTCAACCACTCAACGTGAGTGAAGCTTGGCACCTCCTTCTGCGTTCGAAAACAGCCCCACCCAGCCACGGCATGCTCCACTGAAGGGCACTGCCCACAGCAGTGGCCCGCAGCTGTGTGCCAAATGCCCCACCAGCCCCCTAGCTTCCTTCCATAGGCTCTCTTGACATATGGGTAGGGGTTCTTCACGAGCAAAGTTCATGTTCATCCAGTTCATCCAGCTTGGCCTGTTTGCGTCTCCGCAACTCTCTGAGGGTTCCAGCCTTTGGTGACACGAGTGGGGCAGAAGCAAGGCAGCATAAGCAAGCTGCCTCTGCCGTAGGGCATGAGGCCAGCACAGCCACTGTCCGGAAGGCGTCACGACACACATATCGTGTGTTGGAGTCACCTCAGCGAAGGTGGAAACTACGGGGGTTCGCCATGCCCCCATAGAGAAGGCCCACAGTACATAGTACCTACAGTGTCATGTCATCATGTCCTCACAATCGCATCCGCTTGCTGAGCCCCTGGCCAGCTTTTCACCACACTGCGGGCAAAAGCGACCAAAGTCCAGGCGCTGGCAGGCAACACACCAGGCCTGTCGATGTTGCACCCCGAGCCCTCGAAAAATATGAGCGGTTTTGAGCGGATATGAGCGATTGTGAGCGGCAGAACCCCAGCGAAGGTCTAGGTCCCTATGAGTCGCAAAATATCGCGAAGTCGGAAAAGGATGACAAATGGTGCCGCAACTGCCGCCTTGGAGTCCGCGGCTCTCGGTGACCTGGACCGCGGCCGCGACGTCTTCTGCTGGGCCTCGAAACCTGTGAGCCCAAGATTTGGACCACAAAAAGTTTTTGAAAGATGATCTACTGCTTCGAGTTTGGGAGAATCTCATGCTTTTGCAATTTTTTGCAATTATTTGGGTCTGGCCCGGCCTGGATGGTCATCCCTGTCCTGTGGCTTTAGGGCATCTCGGACCTAATGAGTTGCTCACAGTCAAGCAGCAAATAGCCATGATTACTCAGGGAGGCTCAGGGGAGCACCCAGCGCAAAGCGGCGAGTGAAGCCCTCATGGCCTGCATCGCAGATTTGAAAGGAGACGACTTGAAGTGTAGCTCTTTCCGGCCCCGCAAAGTCCCGCCTACGAGCAGCAGCAGCAGCACCGTCTGCAATGGCCCCGCTCTCTCGCGCTCTCTTTCTCTCTGTCTGAAAGATATCGGTGAGGGCGTCTCATGCGAAAACTCAAGTCGTGGGGCGGTTAACCCGTGTCATGCTGCCGACACACTCAAGCATGGATTCATGCTTCTCCTTTGCGGCAGTTTGGATGTAACTTGGGCAGCAGATAGCAACGAGCAGAAAGAGCTTTGAAAGAGCAAGTCGGCAGAGCCCTCAGGCAAAAAACGATTGCTTACTCGAGAGCGGCTGCACTCTGGGGGGGGGGGGGGGATTTCCGAAAATTGGGGGGTACCCTTTTGGGGGTTCCCAGAATACGGATTCTTATTATTTTGGGGGTACCCCCCAATTGAGAGGGAAATGCCCATCTCTGCCTGAGCATGCCTACGCACTTTTTTGCCCTCTGGATCCTACTCTCGGATTTCAACCCATGCCTCGGCTGCGGTGGAACAGCTGGCAGGGGTGAAACAGGTGCCCAATCCTACTGCACCTCATGCGAAAGCCATGTGCTTTCTACAGGGCCTTTGCGCTGTGAATTCCTAGATTCCTACATTCTCTGCCGACACGATGCCAAGCCTCAGATTTCAAGCTGTCTCGTCTCTGCGCAGGAACTCCACTCGGTATTCTGCGGCATGGAGTGTCAGCGCCTATCGATCGACCACTCTACAAGGATGAGGAGTGCGGACAGCATGGCGCTGTGCTCAGCAATCCTTCTCCTGGGCCCCCATGCGTGACCTCAATGCCAACTGGCTTTGCCAGCGCCAAAAGAGGCTGCGCGCGGCTTGGCAGACCGGGCTACGCCGAAGGTAACACATCAAAACGCAATGCATCTGGTGAGTGAAGCGTCGATCACAGCACACACGCAGGCATACCCGGAATAGAATGCCGCACTGGCCTCTTTTAGGAGGTGGAAGCTGCCACGTCGGTCGCATGGCAGTGGCTTGAATCAAACGTAAGATCTCCAAGCATGCCCACTGGGTGCCCATGTATACCCCAGGCGTCAGGAAGACCCTTGCGCATTTCAAACGTTTACCGTTGCTTAGCCCAATGCAATCGAATCTGCATTCTTCTCCCAGGGCCATGGGTCGGAGGTCCGACGAGGTGAGACGCTTCATTAGCGCTGCTGTCAAGCACATGCTGAATTCCTCGTTGCCGAGCGTACATTGACAGAAGGATGCAAGCTTTCACTACCGCACAGTGGACTACTGCACAGTCTTCCCGAATAATCTTGGGCAGATGGAAGAGGTCTGTTAAGGCGGAGGAAAGCTGCCCTTCACGAGATGACCGGGCACCCAGACCGGTGCCTGGACTCTCCTATGGATTCAAAAGCAAATACTGTGTACCGCATACCACTCAAATGTTCAAACCTCATGGGAGCTATTCTTGCATTTTCAGGCCACTAGCTACAGAAGTTAGTCCTTCTTTAGTTGCATGGGTCCTTCATCAAATCCCTGCAACCTAAGCAACCACTACCACTGCCATCGCTCGCGCTGAGCTTTTGGCTGCTTTATGTGCGCCAGAGGCACAGCACCGCTGTAAAGAGCAGCCACACGCTCCCCGCGGTGGCCGCATGAGCAGCGCCCGTCACCGTTACCTGCGCAGAACAGTCGAGAGCAGGAAGCTTGTAAACTCCAGCTCATGTTGCAGGTAGCTGCCTTCCTTGTGGTGCTCGCCTGTCCTGTATCAACGTCGGTGATGTTGATGACCTGAATGTGCTCGATCTGTCGTGCGTGTACTTGCTACACAGCATGCAACAGCTCCCGTAAGGCACTCCAAATCCCTCCAAGCCGCCTTGCCGTGCAACAGTCCAGAGACGGCGACGAGCACCGTGGCTGCCCGATGGGGGAGATCTGTCAGGTCTGCTTCGACGGTGACCTCGGATCGCTGAACCTAAACAAACCCTAAACTGGCCCCCTACACATTGCGAAGACCGCTTTGTTGAGACTTGAGAGCCCCCCCTGAGAGCCCCCCCCTAACCTCCCCCAGCCAGGTGTACCTGGTAGGATCGCGTCTCGCAACAGCCGCCGGAGGCAGCCAGCGGCCGGCGCTGCACTATGGCCAGGGGCGGCAGCGGCAGCGCCTGGAACGGGGAATGCGAGTTGGGATGATTCAGGACTCAGGATGGCTCGAGAGTCGTTTGAACTGTCAAGGCCCCAAAGAGACGACTGCTTCCCGCCCAGCAGGATCCCGCCTCATTGCTTGGACTCGCTTCGCAAGTGTGGTCACGGATGGAAGCTATGTGAAGCTTGGAAGATATTGGAAGTGGGTGAAGGCTAACATGGGGACATGGTGGCCCTCTCGGGCATGGTCATGGTATGTCATGGTGTCGCGTGGCAAACAGGCCTGGCCACAGTCGTCAGCGAGCAAGATGTCGTAGCTTTCCTCAGCGGGCGAGAGACACAGGAACTAGCTTTGGGCGCAGGAAGCGCCAGCGAGAAATGGCTTCGGGGTCGGGAACCCCTGCACGCCGCAAGAGCTTTGCAGCCAGACGCAGCCAGAGATCGACATGGAGCTCCGCAATCACACCCTGGACTTCAGCTGGCCCAAACGAAACCTTCAATAGTCAACCCCCAGTGCAGGGTGCAATTCGGTGCAATCATGCGATCACATGCGAACCCTTCTTTGTTGTGAGGCCGGGACCACCCCGCGAACGAGGCCAGGTCTGTCATCCTCATCCGTGAAGGGTTCCACATGGCAGACATCCGGGGACACGCAGCCTGTCAGAGCCTCAGTTGTGCCATGGAGCAGAGTGCTACTCATCTTTGCAAGAAATTTGCCGTCCAGATAAGGGCATTGACTTTTTGGAGTAATCTGAGCATCGACAGCGGGCAGACCCAATCGTTAAAAGGCGTTTCTTGATAAGGCCAAGAGGCTGGTTGCAACTGGCACTGCGGCGCCCCTCCACAAAACAGAGCTGGCAGGCCCACGTATCCTGGAGCACAGTCGAATCCGCCTGCCAGAGTAAAACTTGGAACACCGAAATGATAGGAGCTGCAGGCTCCAGAGCTCAACTTCACATGATGCGCACCTTGCCCGTCGGCAACGTACGCGGCAGGCACCTACGTGGCAAGAGAATCGTCTGAGCGGATGGCGCACCCATCGCAACCCGCTACAAGACGTCCGGTAGACGTGAGGCGTAAGCTCATCGCAAGCTCCAAGCCTCTTCGGGTGCTGGGCAAAAGCAGTAGGGCTCTGCCCATTTCCTGGTTCCAAGCTGTCCATTCAGAGTTAAACTCCCTCCGTTCAGGTCTCCTAGCACATCTCAGCACCCAGAGGCCAGTCTATGCGAAGCTTACCAGAAATCTCTCGTCCAAGTTTCATGACATAGTCCGGATTCGTGTTCCCAGCAGGGCAGATCATCTTCGGCGATCCACCAGTGAATGGCGGCCTGGCACAGCATCTAAACAACCAGTCAATCAGAGCTTCTCTGCAAGGCTTACAAGAGCCCGGCAATTGAAGAGAAACTGAAAAGGGACATTCGGGCGCTGCCTGCACCGGAGGCGGCAGAAGCTGCCCGGCTGGACTCGATCGCACCCAAACAAGTCCTTGGGGTCAGTCTCTGATTTCCGCAATTTCTCTCCCCCCACTTTGTTGGCTGTGATGCTGCAAAAGAAGTATGGAATTCTGGGGAGCGCGCGTGACGACACTCATCCGGATTCGGGGGAGGTTTACATGGCTGCAAGCGAAGGCAGCCTTCCAGAAGCAACGATGACCTGCACGTCTCCTGTGATGCGCAGGCTACTCAGAAAATACAGCCGCAACCTGTACACCGGTCTCTCACGTCCCCAGCTTCATGTGAAGAAGAATCGGATACTGTCCTGGTCCAGAACACAACGAGCAAGGACACCACCTCAGAGACATGGTGGGGCTGCTCTATGGCAGAACGTCAGAAAAAGCGAATTCGCCCATGCAGCGACAGGAGAGGACAGGACACCACAGGGCAAAGACCCCAATTGCGCTAGCCATGTGCCAGGCCTGTGTAGCCATCGGCGCAGCGCCATCCATACTCCGTTAGCTGGTACCCAGGCGGTATCTCCGAAGGGACTTCGCCTCTACATTTGCACATCTAGTTCTTAATTCGCATGGGGAGCACGTTTGCGTCCTTGGAACAGGAATTGGGCAGGGCTGGCAATCAGGCCTGAACTTAATGACTTAATGTCTAACGAAGCTTAAGGGTACTTGTTGCTTGCCGGTGCTCAATGGAGCGGTGGGATGGGCTTGGGATTTCTTCCCGTAGTACCCTTGTGACATGCAAACGCCGTCGGTGCTGGCTCTGTGTGTCGCAGCGCGCTCAATGCAACTCCTATACGAAATATTTCCTGAGTAGAATGACAGCTCCAGGGAACCTCAAGCCAGAGTGAAGGTACCATACGTCCTCTTGGCCTGTGACTCAACTTTAAACCTTAGGAAGCCTTAGGACAAACCGCGTATTTGAGCAAGTTGCATTGCAGTGTGCACATCGGCAGGTCAAGTGTAGCTGTTACCCCAGCGTCGGTGTTGCCAGATGGACACCTGGAAGACAAGAGTACAAAAAGCACCCTATCGGGCCGACAACACCTAGTTCCGACTCAGTGAGCCCCTAGATATACTTCATATGCTGTTGGGGAACGTAGCATTCTCAGTGCCCCCGACATAGGGCGACCGGCAGTAGACCTCACCTAGGGAGTGCAAGTGCATGTGCAAGTGCGCAAGGTGCGATTGGCTTGTCCGATCACTGCGGAAAACAAAACCGCACGATGGCATGCCAACGAGGATCAGGATCCTCCAGGCTCCACGAGCCCGCCCTCACAGGTTGTCTCCATCATGCACGTTAAGTCCATGGATGGCAAGGGACCTGGGCACTGGCATCACCCAAGGTTTGCAGAGAGAGCTTGCATGTGTGGAGCCGAAGTGCCTTTTTTTTCACGGGTGATGCAACAATGCATCGAAAAAGTTTGGGCTTGCACTTAACGGGCGTGCACTGGGAAGAAAAGTGGTGCAGTGACCAGCAGGTAGTGGCACACTCCAGTGACTTCACAGAGTATGGCCACAGAACCAACATTGACAAAGCCATGCATCATCATGAGGATGAAAGAACCTGCCGGTGACTCGCCGAAGCTGCAAAGCATTGTCGAACAGAGCGGCTTCGTATCTACGAAACAGACGAAATATTTTCCAAGCGCATGCAGTTAAAACTTAGATTCGAAGCCGCCAGAGAACTTGCCTTGACATTTTTGCACAAAGGCAGTAGGATTATGCATGCCTTGAGCCAGATGAGGAAGTACTCACCAACTCTGATACACCTACTTCGAGACTTGTACAAAGGATGTGTGGTTGCAGGCTCAAGTCATCCCGAGTTGCATGAAACACTTCTCAAGAAACGGTCTGCACAAGCTAAAGCTTGTGGAACTGCACCTGCTCAAGTGAGCAATCGAAACACCTGCGCCACAGCAATGATTGGAAATGAAGTTGAGAAGACATGCATGCATTCAGCCAATGAAATCAACTAGCAAGTGCAGAACAACCTGATAACTTGGACGTAGAACTCAAGCCTTTGCTACAGCAACCGTCTGCGTCTGGTGACGTTGTCTGCTGATGTGCCTCTTGTGCTTTTCCGGTATCCGACATGTGACCAAGCTGTCAGGAAGCGCAAGTCATTTTTCATAAATTGTCGAGCGAAAACACTATAAACACCTTTTTCTGAACTGCATCTGATACAGTTCGTACGTCCAACACCTTTCATAGAACTGGAGAATGGAGTTTGCGGTTTATGTGATTTCTTGTGTCTTTGAGATTTCAACATGAATTGAACGAAATGAACATGTGAAATCGTGAAAGGTGCTGAAAAGAAACAACAACTTGAGGTATAAGTATGCCACCGACCGAAAGAAACTCAGAAACAGGGGGCGGTCGGTGGCTGATAAGGTCGGCTGGGTTTTGGGGGTGGTCTGGGTGCTGAAGTGGGTGGCAGAACATCTCCCAAATTCCGAAAGAACGTGCCTCTCAAGCCCCCATCAGCTGCGCCCATGGCAGCGGTGCTGCGGCCACAGCAGCGAGCACCAGCAGTGCCAACGCGACACGGCTCTCGGGCTCGGGGGGCTCCGATGCCTCCTGGAGGTTCAAGGGCTCTGAGGGTTCTCGGCTCTCCCGTCGGCTTCGCGCTTTGGGAGAAGCCCGTCGCAAAAGACTGAACAAACAGCAGAGTTGAGCATGGCCCTTGCCAGAGATCAACAACCTGCAGTGTGGATTGCTGGGTGTTTTGGATTTCTGACTAGATCGCCCCGGAATTGTTGAAGCTCCCCTCGTGTGTATGCGTATGTCCTCGAAGTTGGGAGTCAAGAACTGGACTGCGAATTTGGTCGGCTTTGGTTGGGGCTTCTCACAACACCGAATTTCATACAGTCAACACGTTTTGGGAGGATTTTGCCTTACCTGAAAGTCCATATTTTTTCAATCAATCTTATGACTATAATTGTAACTTCACATATTCAGTAGTGTTATACTTCCGATTGTAGTTGTTGGGTTCTCACTTGGCCCTGTTCTTGTGGTAGCATTCCCGTTCCTTTTCCTTCTTCCTCTTTATGTATTCAGGGTCGTGCTCCTTTCTTAATTTATGACACAGGCGATGATACAGTGCCATCTGCTCCTTAACTTGTTCTATTATTAGGCAGTTGGCAAGTTCCTCAATTTGTTCATGTCATTCGCTGGAGATGTCATAACCCTATTTCTATGTAAGAGAACATTTTCCCCTTAAGTATGGTGTTTCAAATCCTTGCCTGTATTTGAAAGAAAACACTTGAAGAAATGTTAACTTATACATAGAACATTTATATAATTATGACCCAAAACCTTATTAAAAAAAAAAAAAAAAAAGAAAAAGACTACACAGGAGACCTCAAGAGCATAAGAGACACTAAACATGGCAAAGTGCCCAACCAAACACTCACCAAAATCAACAACAATCTCACAAACTTGTATGAAGGCCTTAAAATATGACAGCTCATAACAGCAGTAAATTTATTTCATGGTATTCCATTGGCAATGCCAAAGCAAGAGAAAAGGGGATAAAGCAATATGGAAGGCAGCAGCGAAGTACGAGAACAAAGTTCCAATAACAGAAAGGATGAAAGCCACAACGAAGAGAGCAAGGATAGGCAAGGAAGCAAACGAAGTGGTAAGCAAAACCGATACACAACCTGTGTTCAAAAGAATTGCAATTGGTGGCTTATCAACCTGGGGTAAGGGCGGTGCTTGGAATTTTGTTTCGTGCTTGGGTGTTTGGGTGTTGTGTTGGGAGTTTTGGCTTGTGTTACGGATTTTTGAGATAGTTTTTGGGGTGTGCTTTGTGTTTTGCGGGCTTGGCGGGGTTGATGTAGTAGTATTGAGTGTGAGGCCTGGGGTCGGCCTGTGCTCGCTGGGGGGAGGGGGCTGGCACTCCTCGAAGGGCGGCGGGGACATCCCGGGGCTGATATTCGTCAGCAGCAGGGCCCACGTGAAGGGCAGCGACAAGAAGCCACTCCCAAAGCACCTGAGCTTGTCAAGGACCCTCCGCCAACGAAGGGACGAAGACATGTGGTAGAGCGTCTGGGGCAAGCTACGGACAGCCCCTCTGGTCGAATTTAGAACTGCCATGCCATGAGCACCACATCGAGAGGACGCCCAGGAGGGGGTAGACATAGCTGGCCTGAGATGACGAGGAATGTGGACTTGCGCCTTTTGAGATGTATCGAGTGTCGCCCACAGCATCCTATAGACAGACCTGCCCACCGTTGCCAGCTTTACTTCCATCCGAACGTGCTTGTACAGTAGTTCACACAGACTTCAAGAACTCGGATTATGGGAGGTTGTCATGCGCATCGGCGCATCAGGGGTCAAACATTGGGCAGGTTGCAGTGTCCGCCAGCTGCTTCGCTTTCCTTGGAGCAGGGCAGAGTCCTCCAATAAGCTTCTGCGATCTAAGAAAGTCACGAGTTAAGACGGCATTATGAAGCATTGCAGGGGTCATTGTTTGACAATGGGAAAAGCACTCCAAAAGCTATCTTCATCTACGTGGCGCTCGACCCACCAGCACGGACCAGGCGGTACGGCCGTCTGGACTCTGCGGCAAGAGCGCCTGAAAGCATTGCCCAAGCAAACCTTCTGAGAACTTGCACTAAGAGCACTAGAAGAGAAGAAACCAATTAAAACAAAAACATGGGCGATTCGGCATAGTCGACCATGGCACGAGGGCAGACATGAGCAGGCCCTGCATTGCTGCAAACCTTGCCGCACTGGTCTCCTGCAAGGAGCATCGGGTATGGGTGCTCTGACTTCGGAAAAAGGCCTTAGGTGGCAAAAATCCTCGGGAAGGAAGGCCAGCGGACCACATCCCACCAGGCTGCTGGTCTTCAGGTCAACCATGTCGGAGGTGAGATCCTTCAAATCCCAGGGGAGAACGACACCCACTCAAGACACGCTCTTGCGATGTCGTGCGTCCGAGCAGCTGCCCCGAGAGCTAGCAGCAGAGACGCCACGGCAACTGCCACAGGCGCAGCGAGGGAGGTGGCCAATGCCTTGCAAAAAGCAACTGCCTTTGGTCACTGGATGTTGCTGCTGTCAAGAGCCTTAATCGGCCTTCTTTCGGCCTCGGGCTGCCTAGGCCTAGGGCTTACGGCAGCAGCTACCTTTGCGCATCTCATCTCTTCAGCCCCTATGGCCCTATGACGGCTCTATGACTATTTCAGCTTCGTTACGGCGGAGCGATTGGGACTGGCGGTTGTCGCTTGTGCAAACACCCCGATGAGGCCAAACTGTGGGGAGGGGAGGAAAGTCCTGCAGGGCGGTTTCAGCTGCGTCGAAGTGATGCACCGGAGGTCCTACAAGAGATCCCGTCCTTGGGCCTACGCTGGTGCCGTTCTGGCTTGCGACGACAGTGCGCGCCAGCTCTCCAACCAGAAGCAACACCAGTACCATCACCCAGGGTGGTGAGGATCCAGGCTGGATCACGGCTCCCAACTGCTGCAACGAAGAGTTGCTGTCAAGCTGGGTGCTACACCACCAGACGATGGCAAAGGAGATGAGAGGCATCATCATGTCTAGGACCCCCGGTGTTTCGTCGGCGTCCCGCACCAGGAGCTCATAGGGCCGGGACAATTCTCCCTCCTTCTCCTCTGTGCGCAGCAGGTGCAGCAGCACCGGGTAGCCCAGCTCGCTCTCCACGCTCTGGCGCAGCACTGCCTCGGAGACCGGCCAGTTCTCGATGGCTCCTTCCCGTGGGTTTCCAGACACCACCACGCCACCCATGACGTTTGACCAAGATGAGGATGTTCCAAAGAACGGCAGCTCCTGCGCATGCTCTAAGAAAGGCGTGTGAAGCACCCGTTGGTCCATGAAAAGCCTGAGCCCAATTGGGTTTCGCATCTACTGCTGGTCGAGGCTCCATCCGCTGCAAGCCGCGCAGGGTCTTGCGTACCTGACGAAACGCAAAACTGATCGCGGGACTGCACAACTTTGCACAACTCCGTGAGATGAGAAACATAAGAGCTGCCTACCGCCACTTAAACGAGATCAACGGAGCCACATACTGAGTCATACTGTGAACCAGTGAATCGTTGTGAACCATATACTAGTCACACGTGAAAGGAGCCAGGGAAGCGAGCAGGATCAAGCGGGAACCCTTGCCAAAGGACACAGGCCCGCGAGCCTTCACCTCGGTGCTGTCTGCGCGCGCCTGCTGCAGCGCTTGCTCCAGAGCTTCGCTGCTCTTGTCCACGGGCTTCGGCTGCAAGCTCCGCCAGAGCCGGCCGGGCTGTTGCTGGAGGATGGCTCCCATGGTCACTAAGGCAGATACCTGGGAACACAGAGCTGCTTCAAGCTGTGTCACGCTGAGGTTTCAGGTATGAACAGAGTTTGTCAGATTCAAGCTTCCTCCGACCAATACCAAACAGTGCACTGTGTTGCGCTCTAAGTGCAGATGTGGAACCGTGAAGGCGATTGGACGAAGCCACCAGGCCTCCACAAGAAAGCTTCTTCTAAAGGGCTCTTCCTCTGAACTTGCCAGGTTGGCTCTACAATTGGTCATGACGCGTGCTTTTTTTGGGCAGATGCATGCTAGGGCAGCAGCGAGAGAACTCATCTTCAAGCTGACTCGTGCCGAATATTGAGCTTTCTATGCACCAAAGGCAAGAGCTTCAATTGATCTGGATGAGGCCTTGGTCCCAAGCATTAGCTGCAATCGCTTGCTAGTTCTGATCAAGCATCTCTTGAAATCATCCAGATCGGTAATAGTAATAGCCCATGAAGGCCTCGGTCGTTTCCCAAGCGACCTCCCAGTAGGCTGCGCTGTCCTTTCGGCCTCCCCATTTCGGCTACAGGCAGGGATGTTACGTGCTGCTATCTGAAGGTTTGCCATGCAGGGCAACATCCGAAGCAGCAGCGGCCGTCAGACAACTTCAGATCAGTTCCGGATACCATCCTATGATGCGTCTCCGGACGCACATACACAGATCTCACAGCAACCATGAAACGATCCTTCGGCTGTTCGGCGGGCTGCTCGAAGCCAGGCGGCTGCAGCAGGTGCAAGGGCCTCAGCAGATCTTCGATTGCTGAGAATCTCTGGCTCAGTGGGAACGGCAAGACACTCAAAATTAACATTACACTCAAGAGTACACACTCAACAGTACACTCAACAGTACACTCAACAGTACACTCAGCAAGGCACCTCATCAGCATCCGTCTCAGTAGATCCCTCGGGACGAGCACTTGCTATTCCTCAGCCGTCGGCCGTCGGCAAAATCACTCGAAGCTACAGGAAGCAGCACGAACTCTCACAAGTCAAGAGCCACATCGAGTCGCTAAGCAGACCCCCAGTACAGTGCAAGGTGCGCGAGAAGCAGTCGGCAAGCGTTCTGCTTGACAGAGCGACAATTGCCAAAAGCGCTCCAGCTCGGAAGCCTCGGAAGCGTCCTGATCGACATCTCGTAGCCATGGCGTCGGATTGCTTTGAGCCCACGTACTGCACCGCTGGCAATGCTCCGCTACACAAGAAGGCATCTGAGTCATCTCCGCAGAGACCCATGCTCCTGAAACCGAGAAGGATAAAGATGAACAATGACTGAAACAACTGGGTGGGCGGCATGCTGCTAGAGGCAAGCACCCCGAAAGCTCCTCAGCTTGGCTCAAGCATCTAAGGTGGAGTGGAGGGAGCCTCGGTTCCTCCTGGTTCCACTTCTCTGCAGCTTGGCAACTGCCACCACCACCTCGCACCACGGCGCGGCACCACCGCGACAGGTGACGCTGGGCCTTCCTGCGTAGCCTCAAAGAAGCTACCGAACACATTGAAAGATGCCAAGGGAAAGAACAGACTCGTTGTGTTGTGATCAAGCACCTACAAGTACCAACGCCCATACTTCTTCGACCTTGGCAGTTCGTGATGAAGCTTGTCATGAGGCTCCCACCGTTCGCGCAAGCATAGGTCTGGCTCTCGTTGTCGTAGTCGAAACCCGGTGGCAATGGGTCTGGCGGTGGACAAGAGAGGACCTGGGCATTAACCAAGGCGAGCGGAAAAGGTTTTCAGAGGCCTTCTGCAACATGCACCAAAGACTTTCATACATGAGAAATGTTGTCTGAAGTCGCGGCCTGACAGCGGGGCGGAGTCCAGTCAAGCACGCGTCCTCGCTGCGTGTTCTCATTCGGGCACTCGGCGACCTCAACGAGGTCAACGTTTGGGAGGAAAGATGTGAAGACACTCTTTGCAGTGCTCACGAGCAGTGTTTAGCGTTCACCCTGGCAAATCGCGCGAGTCGTTTTCTGAGGACTTTCTTAGGTACGCGCCGTGGGAAGCCCGACATGTGGTCCGCGGCATAACCTCAGAGGGATAGGTGCGGAGCAAGAGAACCAATTTGCGAAACATCAGCTTGAAGAATGTTCACGCCATGCTGCACTTCGCAGCTTTCTCCGGAGGAGATATTCAAGCAGCCAGAGAAGTCCAGCTCACACTCCTAAGGCCCGGGTGGGGGTACACACAAGCAAGAGTCATGCCTCATTGATCTGCAGATTTGGGGGTTTACGAAAGTACGGGACCCCGAATTATAGATTATAGACCCCAAATAATAGGATTCCCTTATAAACAGGACCCCTATAAGGCACCCCTAACTTCGGAAAACCCCCATTTGTGAACAAGGGGCATCGTACTCAGAGGGCAAATCACATCCGACGATGGGGTGGCAACCCTCCAGTTCGATATGAACCTCGCAGCAGTCCTTGGCATGGTTGCGCAATCTTACTATATTGCTATCTTACTTTATTACTATACGATTACTGTATTACTATATACACAAATAACATATATTAGTATATTAGTATATTGCCATATTAAGATTGATCTGTGGTTCAGGGTTTAGGGCTTAGGGCAACAAGTGAATAGAGAGATGTTCACTTCCGTTCAGGATGCCCCTGGGTCGATTACCTGTGCTGCATGGTAGCCGAGTTTGCCAAAACCTGGACCCATGGTCCATGTGAGGAGTCTTTGGTTTAGGGTTTAGGGTTTAGGGTTTAGGGTTTGGGGTTTAGGGTTAGGGTTTAGGGTCTAGGGTCTAGGGTTTGGGGTTTGGGGTTTGGGGTTTAGGGTTTAGGGTTTAGGGTTTAGGGTTAGGGTTTGGGGTTTGGGGTTGAGGGTTTAGGGTTTAGGGTTTAGGGTTTTCTTCATCTCACCCACCGACTTTGTGACAGGAAGGCGCAGTGTTCAACCTCCAGGCGCAGGAGGTCAGCCCCCAAAAACTGGGTGAGCTGTCTCTCGAAAGGCTTAAGGTAGGGTTGGTTTGTAAATCTCACGGTTTGCCGGTGAATCGCAGCTTCGCCCACTGCTCGCATATTCTGACTTTTATGTATCGAAATAAACAAATAACATGAACATTTGAATCCGGTGATACATATATATATATACACACATATATATATATATATACATATATATTTATATATATTTTTTAAGATATATGTATATATCTCATCTGATTTAACGGGAGATACAGATAGTTCTCAAATCGTGGCAGAGACCACTCAGATCACAAGCAACAACAAACAAGTCAATCAAGCATCCAATCTCGATTATCAGTCATGACGGGTTTATGATGGGTTTCTTGGTATGTTGGATAGAGGGTATGCTGAGATGAAAAGAAGTAATGATGTTGCTGAATTGGATGGATCACATGGGGGCAGGATGAAACCACGGTCAGAATTCAAGACAAAGGCGTCTATGACAAGGAATCTCGGGAAAACAGGTTGTTTCGATCATTTCGCTTTTGATGCGTGCCTCCGCCGTCAGGGCTCGCCATGCGACTGAGGATTCTTCCGGCATGCTCATATCGAGCACAAGAACTTCAATCCAGTAAAGTTGGCTTTGCTTGTCCAGCTGGGGAAGTCCCTCCGGGGTGACCGAACCTCCTGTTTGTCTTCCTGTTCCTTTGATTTCCCGTGCCCTGTAAGAAACAACAACCCCCAGAACAAGCATCTCCTCCCAGTGGCTTCTGTGTTTTCCTCCCTCCGTTACCTGTGTTGCCCTGTATCAGGTACCAGTAGCCGCATGCTTGCTGTAATGGGACAATTTGGGAGGCCTTTGCCTTCAGAGGGCTGCAGCGGGCATGTGAAGCCTCGCCCACTGAAAACCGTGGAAGGAGAGAAGACAAAGGAGCCAGCAACTTCGCTCTCAAAGCGGACTGAAAGCCCAAATCACTCCGAGGCTCACTTCGGCTAGCGCAACCGGCCCTCACATTGCCAGCGTAACCAGGAGCACACTGCCAGCCCGAAGTGGTCCGCTGGTAGCCTCTCAGGTACTGGGTGCGCAAAGTTCACCAAAGCTGCCGGGACTCCCACCGCTTGCCTTCCCGGAATGGCTCGTCACAATGTGGCATGACGCACCGCGGCAGGGACCAAACAAGGCCATCAGCTTCCTGGTTGTCCTGAGTTCAAGTGACAGGGTGATTTGACAGCCCACACCCAGCACAGAAGCTCGAATCTCCAATCGGCGAAGCTTCGGCCGGGCAGTGGGCGACCTCCATTTCACCCACAAATGGCGGGATGCAGGTGAAGTTGCACTCCTCTTCAGGGACTTAGGGGTTCTCACGAACTCCAGCAGCCAATGGGCCACCCCGAAGCATCAGCTCCATATCGACTCTCCCCCTACTCAGGCTGCCAAACCGACGGGTGCCCTGAGTGACTAGTCGCGTCAACGGCAACAAGAAACTAAGTAAGCCACTCCCCCCCCGTCTCTCCTGGCCAGGTGCCACACTGTTATTGCAGCCAATCTCCACATGCGCACAGCGTTCCACCACGGGCACGTCGCAGGGCAGCGGCGTGTAGCCTGAGCTCCAGGACCAGCTTTGGTGTTACCCCATTTTGACCCCTCATCCTCCTCTTTCATGCCATCAAGATTCCTCAAACCCATCATTCTGCTAGGCACGTGCTCAGATCCACAAAAAATTGGAAAGGTCCCACAATCCGTAGATCATTAGCCTTCCATCACACTACCAAAGGCCCGCGCGGTTCGCTGAGACAAGCAGCAGCCGGAAAGTGATGCCCTCGACCAGCAACCCGACATATCCGACATTAACTCGCAGTGAAACTCCGCCTCGCCACTGTAGCCTTCCGCACCTCGGCTGTTTTCAGCATCCAGGGTATCACTGGTAAGCGCCGTATGCTTGTGCGCTTGCCCGCAGCGCCCAACGCAGAGGGACAATGAAACTCCACGTGTCCGAACGTTAGGGACCTGGCATCGCCATTCTCCAGACTCCAGAACGTAGGCTTCGGGGACCGGATCCGGATGGCGGCACGTCAGGTGGCAGTCCGGGATGGTGAAGTTGAACCTTAAAATATCTTTAAATCAAAACTCAAACGCATGTTGACTACGTGAACGACGACTAAGAAACACCGGCTGCTGCCATCGAAGAGGAGTGGAACGAGGTGAGCCAGACTGTTGCAAGACTCTTACAAGACTTTCCTCCTACATGTGTATGTCACTATATATGTCGATGTTAATCGGCGGCCGAAGCAGGAAGCCGGCTTCCGGGCTTTTTCGCAACCAAGGAGCTCGAATGTAGGATCTATGTTGTCTCCTGGGCAAGCGCCTCAGATGGCAAGAACCTGGAGAAATATCTGAGTCTGAGTCATGGCAGCAGGGCTGGCATGTGGCATCACGCAGCCCGCTTGTCTGAAACCCAGCGGCCATAGGAAGACGGGCCCACAAATGGCCACTGGCAGGCTATCTCGCAAACATGTCCGGGATCCAGCAGAGAACAGTTCGAGAGGTCCAGCTCACACTGGTCATCGGCGAGAGCTGGTGCCAAGCATGGCATAAGTGGCATACATCCTGAAACAAAAGAAGTGCATGTCGCGAGGTTGATTCAGGAGTCGGGCCCTAGGGCTGATCTCAAGTTCAGAAACATTGGTGTCAGTAGGACTTTCTGCAACTCCCCGGGCCTGAGAAAGTCAAGGACGCATTGCAGACGTGGCACTCCTTCACGACTGTTCCAACATATCCTGGTCTTGTGAGTCACCGCGGCGGTGAAGATGCCCGGCAACATGCTGCATGCAATCATATACATCCGGCGAAAATTCTCGCCAAGCAGCCCTGCTGGCAGGTCCACGTCCCGTTTGGCAGCTTTGTGTAGCCCAATGGTGGACTAGATGGGTCCACACAGCCCTGAATGTCCACAACAGTGGAGGGAAGCACAGCTGACAAAGCCAAAGGCTTTAAGCATGGTGGAGCTGCACCACTCGACTTGGGTACACATGGCATCGCATGACTGCTTGCTTAGGCAACCTCGACCGATCGAAAAGGCTTGAACATGCCTGGAACTCACAGCGGATCCGCTCGAAGTCGATGACTCTCGCAGGGTCAATATTGCCTGGTTGTCAGTTTACGGTTTCTGGCTTCGACATGCTTCGGCTGGCTTAGCCTCTGGGAAACACTATTTGCCCAGGTGCCCACTGGACAGGTGTAGTCAGGGCCAGCCGTCTCGTTGCTATGGATACCTGGCGGCAAGATCACGGGCCTAGACGGAATGAATGCAGGCAAGGGGCTCCTTGCTGACACTTTCCTGGCTCCTACTGGGATGAACAGGTGCTTTGCCATCTGATGCAAGGCCAGCAACCAATCGTGGAGTTGCCCTGCTCCATGGAGTCTTCCATATCAACTTCATCCTGTGGACAGCTTCGGTGAATTGGCCATTAAAGACGTACCTAGCTGGGCAATGCTGTGCAGGGACTGGGGTGTTGAGGTTTAGACTTTAGAGAGCTCACCCGACTCCTCCCACACGTAGGTGGTGTTCTCCAAGTAGCCGGCCATGCACGGAACTCGACAAATTTGTCCCGGGCCCGTCCCATCGCACACACTGTAGTTCAGGCCACAGACCTGGTCCTGTCGAGAGTCAACATGCTGGCAGCAACCGCTCACCACGCACTACATCTACAGTGCTACAGGGTCTGGGGATGCATTGAGGTGCCCGTAGCATTCCAACACCCTATGGCCCTATGGCCTCTGGTGCCGGGGCCACACAAGGCACCAGCTTGTCGCAGCCAGACAAGACGAGAATCGGGGCGCAAAAGCGGCCGATGTAGCAATCCCATTCAGCCTCAGGCAAGCCACATCGGCTGTTAATACATCTTGGTCTGGCAGTTCATGGCCTCTCCAATGTATCCCGCTTCGCACTCGTAGTAGCTCTCGTTGACCTGACATACGATTTCAGGTGCTTCGGCATAGCGCCACGAAGGATGCCGACTCAATCCAGGACGACTCTCAATCTAGGACTACGGACTGCAGTGGCTCCTTCCAGTCATCCTGAACGCATGCTTTGGCTGCAACAAGTCACACCCTCGCCTTCACAAAGCCTTGCGTAAGCGGCACTGGTTCCTCGACAGGACATAAACACTAATGAGCGTTAAACGGGTCAGTTTGCAACTCTGAGCTGGCCAATGCCGAGGCTGGCCTCACAGCCGAAGGGAAAGCGACAAGACGGAAGATCGCCCACAATAACCTGCGTTGCGTCCACCTCAGTAGCCCACAGAGCACAGATGGACAAGCCCACTCAATCAAAGTGTTTGCCGCTGCTTGCTCTGATATGGCCCCGGCATTGTCAGCTGGGCACTGGAAGGTGCTAGGGGCACCCACCAGAGGCGGGGCGCAGCTGACCTCGCAGGTCTGTCCGGCTGCAAGGTCTCGGCAGCGAGAGACGTCGTGGCCTCACAGGGGTTCCACAGCATTTCTTCACGGCCTTCCCCGTGGTCTTTTCTTGGAGGCTCAGCCGCAGGCGACAGGAGTCCACTACTGGAGCCACACCTGGGAAAGAAGCTCCATTAAGCTCCGGCCAGTCTGGATATCAACCAAGAAAATGCAGACAAGGCGCATGGCTGCGAAGGAGCACCTTTGATGTGCTCTTTTACATCATGCACATCAACAAGCTACTGTGGGCCTTCACACAATGGAGAGCCTATAAGCAAAGACACTGCCACAAACCCTTGCCTGTAACTTTCGGGTTGAGCAACAAACCTTCGACCTTCCGACCTGGCATTCACAATACAGTTGGCAAAGAGGCTATCGGAGGTGCTGGCAGGACACAACCAGAAAAGGACGTCACCGTCACGCATTCCACTGTTCCAGTGGCGCTGCTGTAGGCGCCTGCAGATGCGAGTGCCCGCAGGCGTAGCCACCCTAGAGAAGCTTGAGGCTTCGCAGTTTGGCGCGCAGCCAATGAAGGCACGTGAGACAAGTGTACGCGGTGGGCAGGCACCTTCCAAATGGCAGGAGATCTGCGCCACACCAGCAAAGCCTGGAGCACAACGGTACTCCAAGCCTGAGTAGCCGGCGCGCATGACACCACACAAAGCTATCAAGCAGCAGCATTCTATCGAGTCTTGTTCTTCGGAGATTGCATATCTGAAGTATGTTTTGCAGCATCTTCATTTGTGTGTTCGAGCATTGCGCACAGGATCTTTCATTTTTGAAGCTGATGCAGAGGAGCTTGTGATAACTTGGAGTAGTGTTGGTAGACTCCTTCTTATTTGAGGTAAGTTGGGTATGGTTCGTAGGCATTTTTCTGTTTCTTTCGAGTATGGGCCTCCACGAGGCAGGTCACAAAATCAACTCACAGCCAGCCCTGGGTGTGGCATCTCCGCAACCTCTAACAACTTCAATGAGAGGGGATGATCCCATTCAGCCATTTCCTCTTGCCAGCGAAGCAGCTGGCCACATTCGCGCCCTCCGACAGCTGGATGGTACTGTTGGAGAGGTTGCTCGAGGCGCCTTGCGCATGAACTCAAGAGCAGAGCAGCCAAGCTTACTGCTCCTGTCGAAGCGAGTATCGTCTCTATGCAAGCCTACCACAACACATCAGGGGCCTACGTGGATGTAGCCTTCTGGTATCACATCTGGTGGCGGGCAGTACATGCTGCACCTTAGTAGTCCGGCAGTTAAGAACAGAACGCCGAATACGAGGTTCAGCAGACAATATTCAGCAGCATCCACCTCACTCCACTTGCAAGCAAGCAACGTCGGCAAGTCATATTGCATCCTTCTGGTGGGATCGATGTTACGGTCAATGCAGGAGGCATTTGTGTAGTCACCTGCAGGAAGGCCATGCACAGCGGTGGGCTGAGGCACAGAAAATGGGCATTTCCCAATATGGGGGATCCCCTGAGATACCCTAATGACACAATAGCAAGGAAACCCCCAAAAAAGGGCTGTGCGGAAACTCCCAGATGGCCCAGATATGCCCAGATCACAGAAGCCACGCCCTTGCCTCGCATCGGTTCCCTGCACGAGAGCTGGCACGCAGCACCGGGTGCAGGGCCGGTGTACTCCGCGATAGTTGTCTGAGGATGTCGAAAGCACACTTGAAACTTGACGCACTCAAGAGCCTCAACAGCCTTCAGCCTGCTGGCCTGGCTTTTCTCCACACAGTCTGTGATGTTGAAAGTGCACACGTCGAAGGAGCGAGGGTCGATAGGCTTGCACGGCAGCATCTGGAAGCACCCTTGTAGGCTCCTCGGGGCGATTCTCATGCCGAAGCTGTGCCCAGCGGTGGCACGTAGTTGCTGGGGCCCCGACACTGGAACAGCACAAGTAGTACCTGCTCAGCATGATATCAACGATGACTGCCAGAGTCTCTTCCATGCAGCTTCTTGAGGCAGTCCTGCTTACCTTGTAACAGCTATTGTCGACCGAGTTGCTGTTTATGGAGCAGGTGTGATTGGGTGTTCCCGTCCAGCCAGATGCGCAGGTGTAGGCCGGATCCCTGAAGGTCAACTCAATTCCCCTAAGACTGCCACAGGCTTCGTACCATTGACGGTGTGGTATCTTAACCCTCAGGCCTGTTGATCTCTGTGCCGTTCTCATCCACTAGCAACAGGTCATGAAGCTTGACGTAACCTAGGTTACGGAACGTGCCAGAACGTGACAACACGTGCACATGTTTGGAAGCGCCAGGGTGGGAAAGAAGAAATGGCAATGCTCTTCAGAGGAGCCTGGAGGGGGTGGTGGGCTTGGGCAGAAGAGCTCACAGGTCGGAATCCTCCGAACTTCCACTTCCTTCAAAGGGTCCACGTTGTCCTGTCGCAAGACTCGTAGCAACGCAACATCGAATGGCCTGGACGTGTTGATTGCTCGGCCATCGCTCCTGCGGACACACGAGGCCATCTTCATAAACCTCGGCCATGGAAACAGCAGAGGCGTTGCAGAGGCGTTGCAGAGGCGTTGCAGAGGCGACAGACGCAAGAAGCCTCACAAACTCTTTGCATTCAGATGCTCTTGGACAGCAACCACGTGGCCCGAATGCTTCTTCTCTTGCTTCATTCTGACGGGAGACGTCGGGGCTGTACGGTGGATAGCGACATGTGATAGCACAGGAGCCGCCCGGCTGCAAATCCTCACAATTGACGGCCTGCAAAGAACAGCGGCGACAGCTTAGCAAGGCAGCGTGCAAACAGTTGGAAAGGTCATTGAAGTTTATGCTGGCCTCATACATGCACTTGTCGATGTATGTGGGAGGCTGGCAGGGCTGCAGAAGCTGGCAGCCCGACAGCATCCTCAAAATGGTTAGGCACAGCTGCCATGAGGTTTAGCAGTTTAGCACGGCTTGCGTCTTCTAGCCGCGATCATTCCCTCACAAAGACTGAAATGGAAAGTGGGGAGCCTCTCACACCAAGTGTCATGTATGAGCCACAAGTTTCGTTGACGACATCTGTCTCGTTCACAACCTCAGTGGAGCTGGAACTCTTCGACTGACAACCAGGATAGCAATAGCAACAATCATCGAAAAGCCCCTCCTACAAGCCGACTATACCCCAAAAGCCAGACAACTTGCAGCCTTCACTTTTCAACTTCGAACAGTGTAGCTCTGGGCTTATGTTCTGCAGGCATCCTCAACAGCTAAGCTGCACAGTGAACTTGAGTCTGCCCAGCGTAGCCGGCCGCGCACTGCCAAGTGTTCCCGACCTTCTCATAACCTTCAGGGTAGAGCAGTGAAGCATAGTGAAGCCCTGCAACAGCTGCTCAGATTATGAAAAACTACGACCTCCAACCCCCGATTCAACATGTCGCATGCCAGCGATCACGCAAGGAACATCCCTTTCGCGCTGTGAGCTTTGCAAGGCCGCCATCGCGGACAGATACCGACAGTCCTTGCTGCCCACTTGTATCCTAAGAGCCGGCGCCTTCAAAATAGCTGGGCGAGCTCTGAAAATGAAGCGTGGGTCTGCCTCGATTTGAATAGGGGCGGTTCCTCTGTCTAATCTATCCCGACACTCGAGCAAGTAAGTAAGGTAGGCATTGTCGTAGGCAAACTCGTCGTCGCTGTCCCTGGGAGCTGGCGAAACCCTTCTCACCAAGCATCGCCTCAGCACAGGACTTTCCAAGATGCTGATGCAACTGATATACCAAACCTTTTCGCCTTTGTAGAAAGGAGCGTCACTTGATGGCTTGAGGCCCAAGGCCGTCAGAAGCGCAATCTGGCGGCTGCAGTGTGCATTGGCCTCCTCCGTCAGCATTTGCAGATGAGTCGACCGTGCAGCTTCGATCTCTTCTTTCTCCAACCTCCTGAAAGAAGCATCGACCTCCCACAATAGAGTTTCCGGCACTTGGGTTTCAGTGCGGATCGGCATCAAGAGTCGATGCTGCCAGCTGTACTGGTTGGGGACACGCCCATACTCGGACAATCGAAGGGGGCATGCCGAAACATGGCGGCGCAGTCTCGGCGTCAGGCCAGACAGCGGATCAATGTCATTCACAACAACCATCTCTTCTAAAGATGGAGGCAGAGACAGTGCCATGCAGCCCTCATGGTCTTGCTCCTCAGGATGACAGAAGGCCATGGACCGAAACGCAAGGACTTTCAGTTGACCGCAACGGGAGAAGTCCAGTATCTGATAGGCCTTGTTGGCAAGATCGGCATCCGAGGTATTCTCATCAGTGCCCCAGAATACGAGCTGTCGAACATTTATCAGGCTGCCCAGTGAAGACAGGTGCTTGCGGGAGGCGTGGAGATGCAATCGGACATGCTCCAGAGCACAGAAGTCTCCCAAAGTGGGGGCGTTCAGCTGGATGGCGGCACTTCCAGCTATGTCCAGCGAGAGGCTTCGAAGCGTGGCTTGCCACGCCGAGAGGGCACGCAACGCATCCTGACCTTCTCCTCCTTCTCGTCCGGACCACTCACCCCGATAGGAGAACTCTTCAACCTTTGGGAAGACCTCCGGGATTCCTTGAAAAGACTGCAGCACTTCGGCATCCAGCGACAAGCAGGATGTCGAGCGACCGTCCACTTTATGAAGGCAGCGACCATCTGCATCGGCAAGCAGGTGCAAAGCTTGGGCAAAGCGTGCCTCCGCATGGTGCAGGTGCAGCTTTAACGTCGGAGCAGCATCATGTCCAACACCTGGAATCGGAGACTCACAACTGCTTCAGCCTATAGCATTGGGCTCTCTATGGCAATTTAAGCAGCGAAGGCTGACTGAAACAGTCTTTTAAGTACTAGCAGTGCCGCACTTCACTAAAGCAGCTCGGGCCCCGACAGATCAACAAACGATTGCAGTGTGAGCAGGTGTTGCCGATCTGGCACACGCAGCGCCCCCATCGCGATTCGTGTCCCGGGTATTCAATGAAGGCCGCCAGTCCCTGCTCGCTGTCAACCCCTGAATCTGACATGCTACAGCAACCCGACAGAGACAGGTCCGACACATCATCCGGATGCCCGAAACCCACTTTGTGTGGACCGGGGACGAATATCATGCGCGATGGCAGAGGAGTGGCCGATGCACAGCATGGTGGGGCAGAGACCAGCAGTGATAAATTTAATCCGGACTCTCCTCGGACCAAGTCTTGTTTCGAGAGCAGATCTGTGTCGCGCAAGACCCTCGCACCAGAAAGCAAATTCTGAGAGCCCACAGGAACCTGCCAGAGTAGTGCAATTTCAGCTTTCAAGCCGATGACTGTAGTCGCAGGGCCCGCCAAAACGTTCAACTGTTCTCCGCTCACGGAATGAATGCACACATTCAAGCCAACGTCGCTCTCTTGCCCTTTGCACCCATCGTACCCATCGTACCCATCGTACCCATAATGCCCGTCGGCCCTCGGCTCGCCCTGCTCGCCCTGGCGCACGCTCGGCTTTCCCTGGCGCACGCCGGGGGCATGGGGACCGGGCTGGAAGGCTAAACGACCTGCGTGGCTGTGCATCATCTGGGCCAAAACACACCGGACCAAGCCGGTAAGGGAGATTCGCAGGGCCGGGAGGCTTGCACATGCTCCCCAGCTACCTTATCACGTTGGGGATTCAGGTCCACTCAGTTGTCTCGCTGAAGGATGGTTCTGCTAACCACTGGCAAGGTCGCTGACATGCGTAGCACACGGGCCATTTCATGGAAAAAGGCACAGGTCGTCTTACCTCCTTCGATGCATAATACAGAGTTCACAACCTCAAAAACAATAACCGGGCAAAAACAAAAAGCTCAACCACGACCAAGACCACGACCACGACCACCACCACCACCACCACCACAACCACAACCACCACCACCACCACCACCACCACCACCACCACCACCACCACCACGACAGCGACAGCGACAACAGCGGCAGCAGCGACGGCAGCGACAGCAGCGACAGCAGCGACAGCAGCGACGGCAGCGACGGCAGCGACGGCAGCGACGGCAGCGACGGCAGCGGCGGCAGCAGCAGCAGCAGCAGCAGCCGCCGCCGCCGCCGCCAGCAGCAGCAGCAGCCGCCGCCAGCAGCAGCAGCGGTCACACCAGCAGCAGGCACACCAGTGACAGCGACCGCGGCAGCGACAGCGACAGCGACGGCGACAGCAGTGCGAATACTGGCAACGATAGCTGCTCTTGTACCCATTTCTGGGCACACACCGCAGATGGACCTGCAGGAGGTACTACCGGGTCGTCGCAGGTTAGTTCACAACCATCTTCTTCCAGATCCAGCAGCGGCGGCAACAGGGGGTCGGTGTTGTTTGCCTCGGATACATTCACCGAAGGATGGCGATCCAAAAGTGCCTGTGACTAAAACAATGCTTAATACGTGATCCACTGAGTCTTGAGCAGGACAATACCCACTGGCATTGGAGGTCCCGACGAAAGGGAACTTGCAGGATAAGGTGCAAGCTTCGCCTGCATGTGCGCGCGCGTGCTCAAAGCATGCTTGCATTTCGGCATGCAGCGAGCTGATCTTAGAGACTCTTGCCTGCTGCCAGACTCGAACATTCGTCCACTTCAAACCGGCAGGGATCCTTGGCATGTGGTCAAACGGTCAACGATGCTGCAGGGGGCCACTCCCCTCTTGGCGGGCGTGCACAATGCAACAAAGCATCGGCATTGGGTGCTGCACATGCCTGCATCGGCAGACAGCCATCCAGGACAGCCTGCGTGACACAACTCTGTTCAGCTTAGGCTGGAGGACTGAGATATATATATATATATTTATTTATTTATTTATTTATTTGTTTATTTGTTTATTTATTTATTGATGTATTTGTTTTTTTATTTATTTGCTTATTTAGTTCTTGATTTATTTGCTTTTTTATTCATTCTTTCAATTTGTTGTGTATTTATATAAGGTGCTAGCAGATACTTGTCGGAAAGCCCACAATTCCTCTCGAATGAGAGGTTCCGTGGCCTCTGCACGGCAGTTGGGCGGCGAGCCAAAGGCAGAACAGCGCCGGGAGGGTTGGCCAACAAAGCCCGGTCCACAAACGAAGGCAGACCCATCCCACACCTGAGAAACTCTGAAAGGGGCGCAGTTTTTGCCATCTATATAGGACCTTGGGGGTCTTAGAGGGATGGAGCTCAGATGAGCTCAGTTTTTGAGTTCCACTCTTCAGCATGCTTATGAGTCCGGTGTTCCTGTTTTTTGAAAGATCTCAGGAGCTGTTCTGCGCTTTCGTTGCCTTCAGTTTCTAGCCATTGGTCACGAGCTATGAAACGCATGGTGCATTTGAAACTGCTGATAATCCGATGCCTCGAGATGACCTTTGATGGTTTGTTTGTCCTCGCTTGTATGGCTAGTCTGGTACGGTAGGAGTGAAATGACGGTTTGCTTCTGCAAGCACACTTCGTGCTCTAAGCAGCAAAATGCCGGCTAGATTCGAATGAGCTCTCCTCAGTGACATTCGGATCTGGGCAATCTGCCAGCACACACTGATCAGGGTCCCAAACTAGGCCGGCATTCGCCTCAGGCAGGTCCCAAGCGGCAGGCTGGGCACATGCGCCTACCATCCGAATCAATAGATCAACATCTCCACTCTGCAGACAAAGAGGCGGCGATGTTCTCAGAGGCGCAGGTCGCGTTGAAGTCTGGCCCAGTGTACGGGTAGCGGCAGCGGATTGTGCATGTCTCACTCCTCGCAACAGCGCACAAGAGGCTCGGAGAAGTGATTGAGATCCTGATTCGCAAAGTTGCACGGAGGAAATAGGGTTTTGGGTTCGAGGCAAGAGTGCATTCTTGGCTAGAACAGTCATCGACCAGCTCACACTCTGAGCTCCTTGGCACGTTCATGCAGTCACTCAAGTCGTATTTGCACGCATCGTACACGCCTGACATGAGAAGTACTGCAACACAAGATGGAGACCGTGCATAAAGAGCTGTGCTAGCAACCCTCGCCTGCACCGCAAGGCAACATCTCATCGCAGCCCTCGAGTAGGATTTCAGTGTCGCAAACTCGGCCAGGACCTCCGAGCACAGCAGCACAGACTCATGGGATGGCGCATCCGGGGTACATCTCCGGCCAAACCCACAGCCTTCTCGCATCTCGAGCTTTGGGCATCCGAGCGTATCCCTCAAGATCCCTCAAGGAGCGCTCCTGATGGTACGCAGCTTACCCTGGCCGCTCCGACATAGCCCTCAGCGCACTCCTTAGGAAGCTGCCAACTGGCTCACTCAGGCAGCTCCAGATGTTCATGATCGTTAGGCAGGACCCTGCGTGCATGGTGAGATTCCCAGCCATCCCAACTTGCTTTGTGGCGGCGGTAGCCTTGGAGCCAAGGAGCTCGGGAATCTCACAGAATCATCTTTTTGCTTCAGAAGCTAACCTAACTATCAGGCACGAGCAACCGGGAGGTACGAAGTCGCACTCTGTGACGCACTGGGGCATCTTTCCAGCCAACATCTGCTCCGAGTCTGTATTGCCTTGCAGAAGGGGGGGATGTTCGCCCTCATACTAACAGTCCCTAATGGGGATTACAAGACGGGGAACGATAATCCCTATTAGCATAAGGGGGAACATCCCAAAGCATCTGCATATACAGGCCGCACAAGCCGAGGCCCAGACCAAGGGGGCAGCTGAGTGTCGAGGGCTCGCCCGTGCAAGGTGCAGCACAGGACGCCTACAAGGGATCTTGCGGAGTCAGTGGAACCCTGGAAAACAAGTACATATTCATACACACACATATATGCACATACACATACACACATGCACTATGTATACAAATATACATTTGTACATATATATATATATATTATGCTAAACACATCCAAACGCCTTACACAGCTTGCCTGTGTCATTGTGATTGATGTTTTGCTGCTTGTGCTCCTGCTTTTGCTTCTTGTTTACATCGGTCACTCACTGCGGTCAGCTGCCTCGCAGCTACGCCCGGCGACAACAACGTCGCCTTGTAGGCTTGGGATGCACAAAGAAAAAATCAGACGTGACCGACTCGTCTTTCTTGCACTCACTGAGTCGCCGACAGCCAGGGCCAATGAGGCCACAGGGAGGCGTGTTCAGATCTAAGGCTTTGCAGGCGACCGTTGGCTTGCAGCCAGCAAACTCGATCCGCCACTGGCAATTCAGGTCCTAAGCAGGACGGCCAGTACATGATGGTTCATGCCACCAGCTTCATGCATCTTGCAGAATGTCGGGCATGCTGAAAGGTCTGAGCGGCGATTGAGCAAGACACCGTCAAGTTGCCAGCGTGCAGCTCCTAACGTGCGGCACACCGGTCACGAAGCACACCATAGTCCAGTAGCCTTGTGACAAACCTTTGGCAATCACAATTTCGCCACCAAGTAGCTGCACATATGAAATAGCCCTCGCGCTCGATGCGTGCACGTCGTCCCGACAGAGGGTCAGTGGAAAATGTTGACACGGCCAACCCGTCCGCGCGCACGGCTGTGTAGCTGATGTTATACTCCTGCTCGCACACTGCCAAAACCGCGAGGCTTCCGATTTTACAATGCCAGAGCATGTTCTGCTACATGCCATGGCTTTGCAGCCCCGGCCGATGGCAGCTCTTCCGGAATGGGGCAGTCAAGGAAGCAGTTCCTGGTCGTACAACAAGAGGCACGGCTGCAGACTGGCTTGCCCCGGCGTGCTGCTTGCTGTGTGGGGGACGGCGGCACATCCATCCAGGGCTTGCTTCATGGCAGAAAAATGCAGAAACCTATTCAGCTTAGCGGCGGCATCTGCACGTCGACGTAGGTATTGGGATCAGTGTTGGTGGACGGGCAATGACCAATCGCGGGCCCACCTCCCATCGGCACTCGGCAGAACACCTGGATGTCATGGACGCCACGTGCGGTGTCTACAATGAATCTACAAGCTTCTTCGACATTCACTCAAGAGGGGCCTGGCAGGTCCCTCCGGCCGGCACCAGGCTGCAGTTGGAGGTGTCGTAGTCACAGACATCGCCTAAAGACCCCATGTGCGTCTGTTTTAGCAGAGTATAACAGAGCTTGAGCGCCACAATTGCGTAGTATGGCATATTACAATCTTCATGGCGGGGATGCAGATGTTGTAACAGCTATGCATCGCTGCGTCCTTCGCTGGTTTCACGGTACTTGCAAGCCCGGGTTGTCTGTGCCGGGCAGCTTGGTGGAAACCAGCACGGCTGAAGTAGCACGCATCCTGTAAGCTCCGTCCTCAGCGACTGCCCAAAACAACATGAAACAGGGACTCGTGAATCTGCAGAAGCTATGTAACTACAACATGCATGAGTTGAAGGTAGTTGAAACTTGGGAAACGAAACAAAGCCATCCGCGGTCCTCGTAATGCAGATCGCCCCTCCGCCCGAAAAGAAACGGTCCATGAAGCAACTCGCAGAGGCGGTACCCGTATAGCCTGAAGGCGGGAAAATGCCCTGGGTACACAAACTGAAGATTCGCAGACCTGCTCTCTACAGGCATTCGACTTGCCTGGTGCACACGTCCACGCGTCCGGCCCTCGGACATAGCCTGCAACTACACAGGCCGAGCCCAAGCATTGCCCAAGCACGCAGCCGAGTCGTCCTGCCTGGAGGTGGAGGGTCCGGCTCCGGGCACAAAAGCTCACAGCTGGGCCTGTCGTATTGGATGGGCTCCAGTGGATTCACGTTCCTTAGCTTCATGTGGCGAAGCCACAGTTGCCACACCCAAAGTCGCACGCCCAGTAGAGTTCACTTGTGCAGTGCCAAGTCACTTCTCCTTGCAGCTGGCGGTTGTACTGCTCCCTCCAAGCAGAGTCATGGATCGGCTCTCTACTTCGCCAGCACTCAGTTCGCTGGCACTCAACAAGCACCCACTTTCCATCCCCTTGCCTATGTATGGAGCTTGGCAGGACACGTTGCAAGTGGACCCCGGCGTCAGGGCATCACAGCCTTTCATGACCACATGCAAGAAGAGAAGGCGCGCAAGAAAAGCCAAGAAATGCATCTTCTGGATGTTCCTCCTCGCTTTGCCTCTTGGCACACTGGGACGCGGGCCGGTGAAGTTGAACTGGCATTCATCAAAGCTTCGCGGATCCGGAGTCAAGCAAGGCACCACAGGAAGGCAACCAGAAAGCAGCAGGATCCCTGTGCAAGAAGCGTCCGCGTAGCATGAGCTTACCTGAGTCTCACTTTCGCCATCGCTCACCTTTAGGCAGACCAACTAAAAAGCAGAGGCATCCTTGCATCTATAAACTGGTCGAGACACCACCGTTCCAAGGTAGCCACTCTCGTTGCACTCCCAACCATTTGGGGTCTCCACATATGCCTGCCAGGAATGCTGCAGGCAAAACACTCACACAGGTAGCTTCAGCTCGGTTTTCAGCCCCAAACCGAGAACCTCCGTAAGGTTGACGGGAGGGTCGAGACATTGCAGGCTACAGTTGGGCAGCGTGAAGCTCGGAGCATCATTCAGCACCGTGTTGTTCTCATCACCTCCGCCAGGCTTCTGTAGAAAGAGCAACATGGAGCAGCTTGACTTTGCCCCTAAGTCTTGATCATGACCGGGCTCCTGGCAGGTAGCATTTGTAGAGTTCCCATAGAATGGGACTTGGCAATCGATCTGGCAGCCGTCTCCGGGCAGCAGCTGGGCAGGGCAGCTCGTGACCTGAAACTCTGAGAGCCTTACAGTTTGTAGTTATGCATGGCTGTGCATGGTTGTGCATGGTTGTGCGACACATGGCTTTGGGAGTGAGCTTGGAGAGGGTAAAAAAGTGATACAGCTGTCACGTGATCGCGAATCGCGGCCGTATCGCAAGCTATATCACGGAAAATTTAAAAAAGAGGTTGGCCGAACACGGGGGTACCCGCAATACTCTCCCTATTCTAGCATGCGAGTGAACATGTCCAGGGTCCATTGGCCATGCTCTTCCGTGTCACAATCAAATCGCCCAATGCCTGGCTATGTCTTTGTTGCATACCCTGAACACAAGGTGGTTACAACACCATGTACGTGTTGATGCGTGCTCTTCTCGTGGCCATGCTGGCTTCACGACGACAGAATAGCTAAGATTTGCTAGGCCCCGGCATACTCGCAGCTGCTTGGCAATGGTGGACTGGAGCAGGGCACCTCAAGAGCACGAAACGGGTTGCCACGTTCAATGTGATTTTCAAAGATCTTCGCGAGCCTACTCGAGTCTTCGAGCGCCCTGTACCCCATGACCTGTCTGCTCGCGTTTGCAAGTTCAACCGAGCATCCTTTTCCACGCAGCCACTCAAAGTGAATCCTTGGCATGGGTTGCCCTGTGGCCGAATGGAACGGAAGAGGAGAGCAGATTCTGGGCCGGTCTTCAGAGACTGCTCTGAGAGCTATTGCATGTGGCCTCTTTTGACACCCAAGATGCGCATGACGCAATTCCGGTCTGGAGCACAGCTTGGCACCGCGGAGCCAAGGTAGCCGTCGGCACATGTCCACAGGGCACCAGAGCGATTGTAGCCTCGACGGCAAACGGAAAACAATCCGCACAACTTCTCTAGGCTGCTTAAAGTGCCTTCAAAATTAGTCATTTCGATCGCCCCCACGATGTGGGAGCCATCCTATGCATTGTCGAACAGATAATTCAGGATGCTCCGCGGAAGTCTCTGCAGGCGGACTCCAGGTACACTCAAAAGGACTCTTGCGGGATTCTTTGGGGGTGGGCAAGGATACTCGGCAGGACCTTCTGCGGAATTCTCTGGGGGTGGCCCTCCAGGGATTCCGGTCTCAGACATCCGCCGAAGAGGTCAAGGAGAATGGTTGACTAACAATCTAACAACCCCACACCAAGGGCGGGGGAAAAGACTCAATAATTTGTTTGATCATGACTTCGGTCACAGGCGGGCGGGTTACTATGACCGTGGGCAGATCGGACGGAGTATCAACACACTACGGGTTGAGGCTTGCTAGGCCAGGAAGATTGACAGCAGCTTGACTTCAAAGGGAACACCTGCCACAATCTTCCCCGAGCCTTGCGGAGGCTCTGCAGGTTCCGTGCACTGTGGTTCGCAGCTTGGCAGTACGGGAACAACTGGAGGACGAAGTGGATCCTTGAGTGATGTTGCTCAGGCTTTCTGCTTTGGACCAGAACCTTTAACAAGGTTGGGGGGTTTAGGAAAATTAGGGGACCCCTAAAAAAGACCCCCAAATAGTAGGATGCCCTTAGAAAGAGGACCCCAAATGAAGGTACCAGTAATTCGGACGCCCCCAAAAGTCACCCAAGGTCACCCAAAGTCATCCTATAGGTCTGCAGGGCTTAGAAGTTCAGACTCTAGACCAAGATGCCGTGTTGTCTATGGGGCAGGTCCCTGTCGTTGGATCGCCCAAGAAGGATGGCGGCTTGCATCGGAACTCGCACTGCTCGCCAGGAAGCAGCCCGGGGATGCAACTGTGTATGTACCTCCGCTGAGAGAGAGAGAAAGAAAGAAAGAAAGAAAGAGAGAAAGAGAGAAAGAGAGAAAGAGAGAAAGAGAGAAAGAGAGAAAGAGAGAAAGAGAGAAAGAGAGAAAGAGAGAAAGAGAGAAAGAGAGAAAGAGAGAAAGAGGGAAAGAGAGAAAGAGAGAAAGAGAGAAAGAGAGAAAGAGAGAAAGACAGAAAGAGAGAAAGACAGAAAGAGAGAAAGACAGAAAGAGAGAAAGAGAGAAAGAGAGAAAGAGAGAAAGAGAGAAAGAGAGAAAGAGAGAAAGAGAGAAAGAGAGAAAGAGAGAAAGAGAGAAGAAAGAAAGAAAGAAAGAAAGAAAGAAAGAAAGAAAGAAAGAGAGAGAGAGAGAGAAAGAGAGAGAGAGAGAGACAGAGAGGGAGAGAGATTGAAAGCAATTAGGCAAGAAAGCAAGAAAGAAACAAAGTGAGAAAGGGAGAACGGAGCGAGAGAGACAGAGAGAGACAGAAAGACCGAATGACACAAGGAGGGAAAAGAGAGGTATTGGTACGCACGAAACACGAGAAGCTCTGCGCGCAGCAACTAGCTGGATAGAGCTGAGGCCTGCATAGGTCAGGATTCTGCATGCCCGCGCAGATGGTGAGGGGGCTGCAGCCGCTGAAGACATAGCTGGCACTGCAGTTGTTCCTTGGATGAAAGGCACAGTCTGCAAGCATTAGCCAACCGCCATGCATGGCATACCTGCCATGCCTCTGCATAGCGCCTCTACAGCAAACAACTACCGCGAGCGATTCGAGAGCGTTGCTCTGATGTGCCAACTCCACTCCAAGGCTGTTGCAGCTAAGGGCTCTCTGCATCGATCAGGCAAGTGGTGGTCGCGTTGCCGCCATAGCCCGCAGCGCAGGTCCAACCTCCAGGACAAGAGTCACACGAGCAAAGAAGCTCGAGAGAGGAACAAACAGCAGACGTGTTTATATAAGGAAGCAGCCTTTACTTAATTAACAACTCTTGACCTTAGAGGCCATACTGTCTCACTCATCATTCACGCGGATTGAATTCGGAGAAAGCCCTGGCCGCTCCTGTGGCATTCTCACCCGGGCAAGTGCCAGCATCCTCACAACTTGCGTAGCCCGTTGAAGCCTGCAGGCAGAAGGTACACCGGAATGGAATGCAGGGCGCAGTGGACAGACAGCTTCAATCAAAGAGGTCAAAGTCGTTCATGGAAGCCACGCTCGCCCCGAAGCCACGTGACCTGAACTTCTTCCAGGTAGATGCAGGGAGACTCGCAGTGAGGGAGATGTATCCTTGGAGACACACAGGCACTCAGGCAAACGTGTGCAGCTCACAGCGCTGGAAGAGAGAGAGAGAGAGAAGGGCTGGGCCTTTGCATGCCATCTTTTTTCCTCTGAAACAATTTGCAACATATCAAGACATCACTTCCGGTTCCCCTCTTCCCTGTCATTCCCTTGAGTCTTTGAGTCCCTGTGCTTCCCAGGGTCTCAGGAGGCGAACCTGTCTCCGTGTTCATCTGCGGGCAGATGGCCATGCCCGGGGCACCTGGTCAGGGGCAGAACCCCCCGAGGTCACGGTGAGGGCGGGTACGGGTACTTGGCAACCCCGCACCTTGTGTGGGCTCGCGGCAAGTAATCCTTGGAACTTGCTTGCCGGCCAGGATGAGTTACATGAGGGAAGCTGCCAACAATAAGTTAAGGAGAATTGGATCCTATAATGCTAGATGATCCTATGCAGAATTCTGAAGAAGGCGGATACGTGTCTATCTACCCTCAAACCCGAAGTCTCACTACCAGCATTACAAAGAGAACCTAAGTACCAAGACATCCCAAAGTCTCCCACCCTAAGCCCCGATATCCAACGTCGAGCAGCGGGCAGGAGGAACCCGGTGCCATGTCACACTCAGCGACCTCGTGCGCTACTTGCGAACACGGGTTGAATGGCACGGCAGGTTCTCCAGATTAGGGCCCACCCTTCTTTAGGTACCGATTATCAGGCGGGCCCGTATTACTCAATAAACGACCGTAATTGAAAGAACTCAGGTTTAGGGATTCCGAAGCTTTGGGGGTTTGGCGTCAGGTTTTCCTGAATTCTCGGCCTGCCTGGAAGAGGCAGAGATCAACAACTGGAACACCGCATGGAGCAACAGGAAGGCATTCCGACAGCTCATACTCACCTGCGCACAAGGGACAAAAGAACAAGATGGCATCAAGGCAGAACCTGGACCGACTTCTCCCATCACTGCCCAGAACTACAAGCGTGCCAGAACACTTAGCTCGGCAGGTGACCAGTGACAGCGACCCCGTGTGCCGAAGACTTGCTGTCGCCTACACAGTCCTCCCGCATGACGCATGTGGCAGTAGCATTGCCCGCGAACCCCGGAGCACAGCTCCACATGTCCTGACAGGAGTGTTCGTTCAACTTCTGCCTTCTCCACACTTGAGACCAGATTGCCTTGTTGCTTCTGTTTCACATGTGACCCACGAAGCAGCCATTGGACAGCGCTCTGTTGGATTCTTCCTTAGGCGGCCTGTCCTCACTGGAGTTGGCAGCTTGCACCTTCATGTACGGCTCTGGAATCGGGTGCGGATCAATGCAGTCTTCAAACACACAAATCAGCTCCGGCATGTCGAACTCACGTCCTTCAACAGGATGGCTCAAGCAGATGCGATGATGACGGGAATGCAGAACCGATCAGCAAAGGAAACTTGTGCTTGCTCTCGGCCTGCAATTGTGTTCTCAGCCGGACAGAGCCCGATGACAGCGTCCACCGGGAGCAATGGAGGCTCCGAGGGCCAGTCATATGTTGCATTGGACATGTTGGTGATGAAGCTGCCATTGCTGCCATTGCTATAGTTGCTGAAGTTGCTAGCGTTGAGTTCGTCCTCGTCCTCCTGCGGTCAGGCATTTGCTTTGAGCCTTTGTTTTTTGCCTTGCTGAGACATCTTCGTGTGCTAAACCAATGCCCTCCTCATCCTCCACTGGACGGATGAAGCCAGCATAGCTTGCCTGGTGGCAGTTAAAATTCTTTTCACTCGTTCAGAATCTCGCTTTTCTATCATTCGCACGATGGCCACATGCAGTACCTCTCGTGCAAGTTTGATGCAAAAGTCCCACCTTGCAGGTGACCGAACATGACTCGCCAGGGCCCAACTGAAGGCACTCGGAGAAGTTCACACTGCAATGTGCCTGGGCAGAGTCACCACGAAAGCAGCTTGGCGATCAGCAGCACACTAGGTCCCACTGATCAGACTGGATCCGACAGCTGCGTGCTAATAAAATCCCCCAACATGCAGCTGAGCGCACCATAGAAGGAAGCACGCATGGCTCCAGCTTCAAGCATCCAGAAAGCACCTGCCCGACGCCGCATTCTGTGTCATTGTTGAAGACGCACCTGCGGGATTCAGGCATGGCCCGTGGCAACAATTGTATTTGAACTGCAATAGAGTCAAGAGAGAAGTCACAAAACTACCTCTCGAAGTCTTGACATACAGGATGTATCTGAGGACAGGCTACGAATATTCTCGAATACTGCCTGCTTAACAGGTGCCAGAATCATCCATCATGTCTGTGATAAGTCAAATATAGGTATGCAGTTGCGCATCATGTATGGCATGTAAACATGTTGGGTCCACACTGGGCTATACTGCACCTGAGAATAACCATGATATAACATGTATCGTACATACATATGTACACACTGACTTGCTCCTGCCACCTAAACACTGCTAAATTAAAGGCTTCCGGCGGCTTAACTTGTTCCGAAGAAAGCCAAGTGTATGTATCTTAAGCAGAACTCGATGTCAAATATCGAAGTGGAGCTAAAAGAAAAAACCGAAAATACTGCCATTATTTCGACCTTGCAGACTACATGTCAGAAACCATCAGAGAGCTTCCGAGTGGTCATCCACGTGCGGATTCGGAAACTGGAAAATCGTGATTCGGGGCCGAGTCGGGAAACTGGGATTCTGGAAACTGGAACCTGCTGATTCGGGAAGCTGCAACCCGACATGGCCGCAAGCCACCCCAACCCACCACAATGAGCAACCAATACTCAGAAAACTATCTTCTTCAATTCCCAAGCCTGCACATGTCCAGTCTTTAGGCAAGTGGACTGTTCGGAACACACTTACAGAATTTGATCTTTCCAACTGGGGATTGCAAGCGGGACAACAAACGTGTGTCGGAAAGTCTCATGTCGTGAAGCTGCTGCTTTGGTGTTGTGGGACCATTCACCCTCCCTCCATGATCTCGTGTACACCCTGCTGGTGAAGTGCAGAACGGATAGCTGGTCTTTGCGCACGTCGAAACCCACTTGTGTCCGTTTATGCCAAATTTATGCTCACGTTCCGCGGCCTTTATATTTGTAGCTTTACCTAAACACGTTTCTCATTTGGGCTCGCTTGCGTCTATTGCCGGTCAGGGGCCTTAACACGTTTTTAGGGGTTCACGACTCGCGGGGTGATGACTCTTATGGTGTTGAGGGGCTCAGACAATGCCGACTTTGAAAAAACGGGGCTTGTTTCTGGAGCTGCAGTGGGTCGAAATCTTTGAAGTCAACACGCAGACGTCCGGAGCCCTGGACACTTGGTGAAGACTTGCACCAATGTAACTAGCAAGGGTGCACTTAGTTGAAAAAGGTGTGGGACTATGCTGGCAGAATAGGTACTTCCTTGTGTGGCAAGTGTCGACACGAGCTGGCTAGCCACAGCTGGCCAGCGATTCAAGATTGCAGGCACATTGTGGAAGCACAAAGTACAATCCATGTAATGTCACTGTTGTCCGGTGCCTGGACACTGCCTGGCCGATATAGCCTGGAGCACAACGCCACTCGTCCAAAATCTCCACGCCAGCCTCACCCTGGCGGGCCAATTCGTATCCCTCTGGCATAGGATCCGGCATTGGGCAATCCTCAGAATGCGCAAAATTCTGTGCGACTCGTGCCCGCGAGTCGACACACTGTGAAGAGTCTGCTGCACGGAAGCGCGTTTGTTGCCAACCTTGAATTGCCTTCAGAGCTTCTAGGACGCAAGTGGGTGGCACCCAGTCGACCGGATGGTACGGATCGATGTTGAAGGTAGGACACCTCGACCCATCCGACGTGCGAAGATATTCAGGCACGAACGAAGTGGCTTGCAACAACATCGCTGGACCGCGCCTTGCAAAGGTTGGAGCTCCAACATAAGGCGGTCGGCATCTAACCTCGCCTCAGCGATGACTCTTTTCGGCGTGTCTGATGTAAGTTGAATTCCGCTGCTGTAGTGGGGCTTCTGGAGCCTTCCAGGATCTTAGGATCTCACAAAAGCTGTTCGGCACCATCTCGCCGCAGTGGGAGTTGTCAAGAACGCAACTGTCCCAAACCTCCGTGGCCTGTCGGAATGCATGAAGCACCACGAAACCAACTCTGAAGCTTTTGGGGGCAATGCACAAAACGGACATTCTCGTACTAATGTCTGGACCCATGGGGGAGAGCCTCCAGCGGCACACATGACTGTGGGATGCCACATCCCGACAGAAAGCCTTCCTGCAGGAAAGGGGTGACCATGGACACGCTTCCGCTGGAAAGAAAAGTTTGCAGCGACGAGGACTCTGTGCCACTCGATGCCAACAGCCGTTGAGAGCAAATTCTTGGCAAGCCCAAAAGAAATCCGGGGGCCTGAACTTCACAGGCCGGCCAGTTTGCATCTTCCATCGGCAGGGACGGCGCACTTTCACAGCGCCTCGATGGCAGACAAGCTTGCAGTGTCTGCATTTCTACCGCTGTCACCTTGGGGATGTTGCCGAGGGCTGACTACAAGCACGACCAAACGATGCGGGAGAACATGTGACGAGATTAAGCAACTCAGCCATTGAGGCGTCCACTTTGCTGCGATACCGTTCATGCCTTCTGAGCAGCGCCAGCCAACTGGCGAGCCCGGATCCTGGATGAGCACAAATCAGTTCAATAAAGACTCGTACGTGACTAGTCTCTTACACTTCAAAGTAGACAACAGAGGCTGTGATCAGCACCACTCGTCTTCAGAGGGGCATCACAATCGTGAAAACTGGACATGATATGGCACCGGCCTTAGGCATCCTGAGCGGCTTAGCATAATAAAGACGATCTGCACCAAAACCCCACAAAGCTGGCCTGTGTGTAGTTTCTGCTATGCACAGCCGGATCCGGGCACTCGAAGAAGCTGCAGAGTGGCTTAGTCCAGAAGGCTTCTCCTGTCTTCAGCAGGTGCCTACACTGGTGCGCATGGCCACTCCGCCTCCCCTGGATGCCCCACTTGGCAGAGACGGTCCCACGTTTTCTTCCAGCACTTGCATCTCAAGAGTGTCCTTCCGGATCCGTGTTGTCCGGTGGACACGTGGCTAGCCCCATGCCACCGGCATAGGGAAGACGGCACCGGATCTCGCAGGTGGAGCCTGGTACTTCATGTGGCACCGACATGCATCCAAGGATCCAAAAAAAGTCACATCGCCAGGCCTGGGGCCATGCGCTCGGGGCACCCGGAGGCCTCGAAGCGGCAGACTTCCCCTGGGCCAAAGGAGGGCCTCACACAGCGCCACGGGATCCCTCTCTTCTCTTCCACATTCCTCTGGTCCCCCTCCTCCCTCTCGTCCTCTCTTCTCTCTTCCCCCTCTCCTGCCCATCCTCCCCGCGGGGGGGGGAGGGGGGGCCTGCGGCATGGCACAATCGGCTTGCAGCCGGTGAGGTGGAGCTCCGCACCGCACCTCCCACCATCTCTTCTAAAGAAACAATTAGACGAAGCACACACCTTTTTCATCCCAATTTCGAATTGCAGACAATCTTAGGACACCTCTGATCCAGCCTGTAGCTTGGCTGGCACCCGACAGATGCATTGCCCGCAAAGCCTGGAGCACAACGCCATCCGCTCCTCACCTTTTCCTTAGAGGCCGCCGCACACGTACTGCGTCTGCACAACCTCTACACGACTTGCGGAGGCCTGCCAGGGTTTGGAGGGGATGAACGGCAAAGCCAAAAAAGCCAGGGGTCATAGCCAACCGGGGCCGCATCACAGGCCAATCGACAACTCGGCTCACCCACGATCAAGGGTGGCTGCTCAGCGTCCGTGTTGTCCTCGAGACCGCAGAGGCGCAGAAATCTTGGGGGGCAGAAAGACGAATACGAATGTTGGGTCGTCGAGTCGACAGCTTTCGACAAGTCCTCAGGGCAGAAGGCCGTCCGGAGTTCACCGTGGAAAGGCGGGCGGCAGGGAATCTGGCAAGATTGGCCAGGTTCGAGGCCTCAAGACAAACGCAGGGCACGCACAACTCTTACACAACTCTTTGCAAGCTTCTCTGCGCCGCAGTAGCTTTGATCTTCCTGCAAGCACACAGAACATCACAGACCATTCCGGACCCTTGCCTTGACATTGCGAAGCATCGAACATCTCTGCATCCTCCACGACCACTGGTGCGCAAGGCTCCAGTGGCGCGCAGCCTGGCAGAGCTTGCGCTTTCGAGGGGGGGGGCACGATTAGGTGTACAGCATGCACTCAGAGCAGAGCCATGCAAAAAGGATAAAGGGATGACTGCTCCACAAGAGCTCATGTTACTGTTACGACACACAAGATCTTCCCATGCATCGGTCGGGCCTGTGAGGTTCAGTACTGCAGTGCAGTTCGGAACCCAGTCAGCCGGGTATGCCACCTCACATTCGGTAGACACGTTGCCGACGAAGCCTTCGGCACAGACCTTGAGACAACACAGGACTTCCTTTCGTGAACGACGCTCCTTTGCCAGACACCTTCATCGTCAATTGTTGGTGCTCTCTCGTGCTACAGTTCCATCGGGCGGGTGCATGCTAAACCTGTCACGTCACGGGAGAGATCGAGGGAGCCAAGACATATCTTTCGACAGGTTCCACCCGTTCAATTGCAAGTGCAAGCGACCCAGCCGTTCTCCGGGTCTTCCGCGTACTCGGGCGGCACCGGGTCCGGGTCTACACACTTGGGATCGCAGGTCAGGTCCTTGCGAAGGCTTTTATTTGCGTCGCCGTGCAAACTCCATGCAGACTCCGTGCGCTGACGTATTGTCTCACCTTGCTGCACAGTACTGGACTTGATCTGAGCGGCAAAGATTAGAGGCTGCATGATATCCGTGTTCCCCTCTGGGCACGTAGCAACCGCGGAGTCTGGTTCATAAACACCTTCCAAGCTTTCAAGGCCGATGCAAAAGCATGCTCAAACCAGCACATGGCAGGGCATCAAGAGGGTGAGGTCTTGCCTTCAGGACAGCGCACGACACAGCTGCTTCCCGCAAACACGTCCACCTCTGCTGCCAAAAAGATCATCAACACCATAAGAGATGTTCAAGGCCGCAGCAAGCTTTGTCGGCCCAAGGTGCGCAGTCCGAGGTATCCAAAAGGCAAGGATGCACCTGGGAAGGGAGAGCTGATGATTTCTCTCAGCACCAGCTCATCTGCTCATCTTGGGATGAGCGGATTCGCGTGCGCGAGAGGCCGCATCGTGGGCACGATCGTCTTAGGAGGGCACGTCTATGGAATGGCAGGGTTGCAGCGGCAGGCAGCCTGACAGCTGCAGCACCTCCAGAGCAAGTTGCGCACTGCTGGGCAGAGAGCTTTGATCCGGCATTGGTGATGCAAAGAGGTCTCAGGAGCAGCCAGGAGCCTCCCCACAGTCGGCGCGCTCGGCACGCGCAAGGCCGCTGTAACCCGGCGCACAGCCCCAGCCTGGAGGGAGAGCAGAGACTGTCTCTTGGGCAAAAGCAGCAAGATGCGACAAGCTGTGACAAGTCTTTTTGACATGCTGGGATCAGGCCTGCTGCAGTGCGCATATAGCCAGGTGGATAGGGATCACAATCTGCTTGGCAGATTGGCGCAGTGAATTCCAACTCCCTGTCGGCACGGCAGCTCTGAACAGACCGCAATAGAATATGGAGCCGTTCAGCCTACTGTCAATGCCTGGTCAAACGACCTGAGATTGCTGAGCAAGACGAAGCCACTGAGCCACTAAGCCAAACCTCCCCTTCTTCTACCAAAATTCACTCACCAGCCAGCTTCAAGTCCGGCTTGCCTCGTGGGATCAACGTTGTCAGCAAGGCATGTCGCTATGGTACTGGCCCCTTCATAGGGAGCTGCGCACTCCACCTCACAGCTGGAGCCCGGCTCCACAGCCTCAGCTCCCTTGCTTCCCCTTAAGCTCTTTACCGGAGCACCCACCTCACATTGCATCCTTCATGGGCTTCGCCTCAGATGGCCTGACTTCAACATACTTTCTCGTTTCACAAGAAGGTATGCTAAAACCTCTCAAGTGTTCCTTCCGACTTAAGACGAGCAGGATGACCCTCTGCGCATGTATGCGCAAATTCTTGCCAACTCCCTGATTTTCTGCCGCCTCGGCACCTCGCAAGGCTGCACGTCCATCTTGCAGCTCTCGCCGTCGCTCACTTCAAGCCTGAGAGGTGATTCCCAACACATCGCCTGCAATGTCTCCTCTTGTGGAAGGCCTGAGCTACTCATACTACGCGAAGAACTATGTCAAGGACTTGGCCACTGATTGGACTTGTCTGGAGTCCAGAAGTCATGGACATCACATGACATCACGGTACTTCGTCCGAGTCCAACAAGTAGTCTTGCTTCTGGGCAACGGCATGCAGGGCAACTTCCGCTTGCAGCCATCAAAAAGGACCTCCGGATTACAGCGAATGCGTTCACGCCATGCTAATCTGGCCGCACAATTCCCTAAGTGATGCTGCTTCGGTTTTTTCGAACTGGCCCCTAGTCTCACATTGTCTCCTCACTTGCTTCTCAATGCCAGCATGGTTTTTTGCTTCGAGGCTTGAGGGGAGCAGTGCAGTCAAATGGAACCTCTCAAGCAAGGTAAACCCGCCCCCAATGCCGCCTGGAAAGAGCAGTTCGAAAATTGGATGCAGGTTCGGTTGACTTCGCCAACCCAGCCATCATCACATCGCCATTGCGATGCACTGCCTGATGCTTCAGGTTGCCCCCATGAAAAACCACTGCAGGGCTACTCTCCAACGAACAGCATAGAGAGCCTTGAGGGCATAAAGCAATACTCCTCTCCCTTTGCCAAGCTTCTCCCAAAAATGTCCTCTCGCCGATAGCCCTCCGGCAATGTCGGTGGATCCGGACACGCCAAGAGGCACCGTGGCAGCTCATTGAAAATAAGCTCTTTGTAGGGGTTCACGTTCAACCCAGGACATCCTGGCTGAAGCATTTGGACTGCCCCTTGATGTCTGAGACGGCACTAGCGCCTAACTGGCACCTAGGCGAGAGAAGCATGCAGTACATGCCGTGAAGTGTATATACCGGCCAAACATTTCCACTCGGAGGGATGGGATTGGGCAACCACTCGACCTTTCGCCTCCTTTGACCAAGTATCCAGCAAAGCGCGGAATGCCACCGTCCATGAATGGCGGAAGGCAGTGCAACTGGCATCGCTCTCCAGGCAGGATACCTGCAACATCCAGAACTTGCCACAGATGCAGCGAGGATGCAATGATATGAAAGCTATTGCAGATGTACAAACACAAGATACAGTAGTCAACATGCGTGAACTTCCTGCCCAGGCAGTGAGAAAGCAGCTTGCCTCGGCATTCCGTGAGATTGTAGACGCAAGGGTCAGGGGCCCGGTCCTGGACACACTATGTAGGGGTTTACGATAAGGGACTCCTAACATAGACCCCCAAAGAGTAGGATCCCCTTATGGTAAGGACCCCAATAAGGTTCCCTAATGTCGTAAGCCCCCATATCATGCATGCCGGAGATCACCTTGTTTTATGGCAGAAGACTGACTTCGTGAGGAGTGTTGCTGGGGTTCTATGTTTGAGAGGAAGCCCAAAACTTGCCTGGCATGCTGCGGAATGTCTGAAATTGGGCAATTGCCTCCTTAACCCAGTGCTGCTGTTGCTCTGCCAGAGCATGTGCTTCCCCCAGTGCATCTATATGCCCAAACAAGGCTTTCTCATGTTCGAACACGCCGCCCAGTCTTTTCTCATCAAGGGAAGTTGGGAGCATGCGAAATCCAAACAGCAGCACATAGGGGGGATATTAAGTCAACTCGTCGAAGGTTTCAAGGGATCTCCTAGGTCCTAGGCTCCCAAATATACGGCCATGAAGCTGCTATCGTACACTCCACCTGCTTCAATCCTTGCGCTCAGTATGCCATCGCCCCGGCTGGCTTCCGAGAGCAGGAATTGCAATCCATGCATTGGAATTTGCGGCTTTGGGATCTCAAACAGAGCACATGCCAGCCTGCTTCCACAAAGCGGAAACTTTGAGGCAGCTGTGACCACAGGCAACACAATACCGAAGGTATGTACCGACTCTCAACGACGACAGTCCACACCTCTGGGGGTAAGAAGGAAATGCAGAAAATGCTGCAGACAAATCCTTTGACTTCATTGGGACGTGCTGGGATCAGCATTGTTGAGAACGTTGCTACACCCACCCCACACCCATGCGCAAGAAACATGCGCAACGGCAAAACACAAACATAAGCTATGCCGCTATGCACGAAGTCTTCGAATACTTCCGGAATCCCTCCAACTCAAGCCTCAGGCCCTGAGAGCTTAGAGGGGGGCAAAGAGGAGCAAAGAGCTTCCTTGCCTGTGGCAGCTCCAGGTCTGCACATGGCATCAGCGGATAACACCTCGCAGAACACTGAAGATCTTACAGGGCAACTCATCATGCATATCCATGAGGGGCTACCTTAGGGGGGCTCCATACTTGGAGGAGTGGATTCACCCAAAGCAAGGCTTCTCATGCTCTGAGCCGCCCCTGCAGCTCCACACGGCGCTGGCAGAAGGGCGCGCCGTCGAACACGCAAATCAGCTCCGCGGTGCCAGCATAGCCTGAAGGCAGCTTGGGGGCGAAAAGCGGTGATGTGATGCCGGCGCTTCTTGAACCTCCTTCCTATGTAGCACCATACTCAGCTCTGTTGAGGGTCCTTCGAGCTACTCTGGTCTGCCGTGACAGCCGTGCTGGCAGCCTGGTGCACACTCCCAGACATCGGAGTTGTTCACGTAGCCATATGGGACTGGATCCGGAGGAGGACAGGGCAACTCACACCGAGCTTCTCCTGCAAGAGGCTCTCCTTGGAAGGACAGGTGGGAACGCTGGGGCACCGTGAAGGCCCCTACAAGGCCCTACAACATCCTACATGGTCCTACATCGTGAAACTTTCCAAGATTTTCAGGAGAGTGGCGGCCCGGCTCCGTGTTGTCGCCTGGGCACCGGAGCTCGCGCCCCGGACCCACAAAGGGCGCCACGCAGGGCGCCTGGCAGACTTCGCCCGGGCGCATCTCGCGGCCTCGAGTCAAGACACCCGCGGCATCTGGGGGAGCCATGGCGCTACAGCACAAAGAGAGCAATAATCATGAATAATGATAATAATGATAATAAGAATAGTAATAATAATAACAATAATAACAATAATAATCATAACAATAATAAGAATGATAAAAATAATAAAAGAAAAGAAAAGAATAATAATATGTGAATATCCAAGCCACAGTTTTGATAGTCCTCGGCATTTTGGCTACCCTTTGTAAATGCACGGCATGCGTTTGTTGCCTAAAACAAGGCATGACAGGGTACACCATGGAGTGATGGGAGCAAGAACTTCAGAAATCTGACTTCCTGCCAGGCAGCCAGGCGCTGGCAGTCCTGCTCCTCGCACGAGTGTGGTACGCTCTGTGCGTGCCTGTGGCATATCAATATGGCATTTTGCAAGCCTCCGTCATACGGCAGCCGACCACGCGCTCGCAGCCAACAAGGTCTGCAGGACGAATGGCGCAGTCGTCCTGCCGACTCTCATATTGACCACTACTCAAGTGCAGGGCCACTGCAACATATCCCCATAACCGTCCAGCAGATCGGTTTTGCAGCGCCGTATTGGACGACCTGTGCGCAGACACACACAGAGCCTACGAAGTCTACAAAAGGGTTTGCAGTCTTGTGTCACAAAATGAGGCGCACGGCATCCAGCCTCTGTAGCCATCGGCACAGTGCACGTTTCCTGCAATGTTTGTAAAGGTCTCGAGAAACGATTGAGAATCCCAAACGACTGCCCTAGCAGGCGGAACTCGGTTAAAAACTCGTCCTTGGGGATCTCGCACGTAGCCTTCCGGCAGCTCAATCGGATAAGGGCAGTCGCTGAAGGTGCATGTGGGTGCTGTCCACTCCTTGGCTGCCCACTCTTTGGGACTCTTGCATCTCTTACGTTTCTTATGACGCTGGCTGAGAGCAAGCAGCTCAGGCACGGGCCAGCGGCAGCCCTTCTTGGAGGTTATTCGAAGGACAGCGCGCTATGGTGCTGTTGCCCTGGTACGGCTCCTCGGGCAGAAAGATACTAAAGCGACAAGCCAGGGACGTCGCCGCGAGCCTCTCTGTCAGTGAGTCTGAAACAGCCCACCTTGCAATGAACCTCGCAGATAGATCCAGAAGGCAGGAAGCCACATCCTGCCAAATGCTGCTTCAAAAAGATGCATGCACCCGTTGAAACAACATTTCTGAAAAGTCTTAATCATCCGCCGAGCATCCCGCGAAGTCGTGCATGCAGGTGTCGATCCCTTCTGGCACCGTGCAGGGTACGCAGAGGGGCACCGTGTCGGATGCATTCCAGGCCCGGCTGCATTGCAGTTGCCGGCTGGAGCCGCCTGTGGCGACCAGCAGTGAAGCTACGACCTGAAAGCAAGGGGCTTCCGCAGGAACAGAGCAAATTGTGCGCAATCTGCAAACCACTGGATGTCTGATGATGTGTGGAGTCTCCGGGCCGCGTGCCTCCAGTACAAGCCATCGTCGTCTAGGCATTGACGCGAATCTCACATCGCCTCAGCATGCTTTCTTGACTGGCTGCTATGACTGCATATATGTTAAAAAAAAAAACAATCCAACTGGATTTCCACATCCGCGCTTTCAGCCTGAGAGTTCACTGTATGTTGCAGATGCGATATAGAAAACATAGAAGGCTGTGCTAGCCGCGCCAAACCAGCCAGCTGGGGTGCAGACGCAACACCGAGTGCCCAGACACAAGCACGGCATGCAGAAAGCTCAAGAAGCTGTTAGCTTGACAGCCGACTTGCCCCAACTTGCCCCACATGTTCTGCAGGTCTTCATCCCATATGCTTGGAGCAGCTCTTAGGTGCAACGTAAAGAGTTGGCTAGGAAGTCTCAACATGTCTCAACGTTGCCTTGCATGGAAAGGGGTACATTCTGTCATTTGTCCATAACCGAAACCCTTGAGATCACAAGAGGGCCCAGAAAGGTGCCAACGGTGCCAGCTGCTCCAACAGAGCTTCTGCCCATGCAAACATCTCACCAACAGGCTCAGAAGTGGACATGGAATTGGCTGGACTTCTTCTTTCTCATCCATAAACCTACCCCACTTTTGAAGCTCCGCAGCGACGCACACCATCATCTCAAGCAACTTTGCGCAACGGCTCCCCAAATCGAATTCGCAATGTTGCCGCCAGAAGGGCGTTCTTCCTGCACCTCTCCCCTATACTGGTGCCATGATGTGCCACGCCTGGCACTACGTCAGTGCAAATTCAGCCCCAGAGATTCCAGAGGCACTAGCAGACTGGCAAAAAAGTCAGCACTTGGCTTCGAAATGGTTTTCACCGGTGGCTCACCAGCATGCAACTGGTTCATCAGCTTTCCAACAGATGCCTCACGGATCAACCAGCAGCATAGTTGTGAGCAAGGGAAAGGGAAAGGTGCGACTGTAGTGTCATCCAGGCTGAGGAAATCTGGATTCTGCAACTTCGTCAGTTCAATTCTCTAGTATCCTGCATCTCTATCTTCTACAACCCAAAACTTGCCCCTGATCTATCCCGGAGGTGGTCCTTGACCCACACCACACCACAACGGTCAGCTCTCTCTGATGAAACCGCGGATATTTCAAAGAGGGAAAGCAAGCCAGGGAACTGACCACAAGGCAACTGGGGTGATGACAGCCCGCTCTTCGGCAATCTGCTTGCGTCGGGGCAGAGGAATTCCAGGACCAAACTCCTGCAGTCCCCCTCGCTCAGATTCCCACCCAAAGGCAGCTCTCATCCAGCGAGGGATAAATCACTCTCAAAAAGCCGCAAGAGGGATCGGAGGATGGCCTTGTCCATGTTGTTCCGGATGTCCTCAACCAACCTGAAAGCCTTGGCCGCAGAGTTTCTCGAAGTGACACAAACAGATCAGGGGAGAGGTTACCATTATCTTTGCCAGAATCTGAGGGCTGCGCCTCTCGATCACAAGCCCGCAAGCTGAATTCCTCCCAGTTCCCATGGAACCGGACCTTTAGCTTGAACTCGGATGCTGAGCTCTGAATGGCCTGCTCAGACATCCGAGGCGTAAAGTTGAAGAGCGAGTGAGAGCTGTGCACCCTTTTCCCGGCCTCCTGCTGATGGTAGGTTGCCAGCAACACCAACGGCAGCAATCCAAGCGGTGTGGTGGTATTCTTGGACCACAGGTACATGAAGCCTGAAACCCAACCGGGAAGTCTGGCAAACACGACGGATCTCTTTCCACGAACAAGGTTGCACCAAGACATTGATGTTTTGGCACCGTTTACAGTCGAAAACCCCAGTGCCCCTTGCCTTTGCCCGTCTTCACCGGCAAAGCGTCGGCTGTGATGATCTCGCAGTTGTCCTGTACCTGTTCGTTAACACGAGGTTGGGAGTGGAACTCATTACGGACTGGCTCACCTTCACTGACGCGCAGTCCTGTGCTCCGTGGATACGTTGCTGGAAGGCGTTGGACATTTTGGACCGACCGGTTTGTAACGCCGTTTCCAAGGTCCATCAGGGCGATGGTATCGAGTTCGCATGACTTCGCGACTCATTTCTTGAAAGGTAGGTCCCCCCCAATTTTCGGAGACCGCCATCTGCCGCCCATGGCCGACATTGCGCGCATGTCTGTCGAGCTTGTCGCCATACAGGAAAGCGACAAAACTCGCCGGCCCGCGATTTTATGAGTGACGCGGGCACTTCTTCAATCTGGTGGCTGCAAAGGCAAAAATGGCCCCCATGGCATCTGCAAGGCTTCTTCCGAACATAATTCCCTCCCCCTAATATTTTGCCCCCCTTACCCCCTTTTTCTTCAGACTCCCATTATAGTTAGTCATATAGTGTACAGTTAATATTTAATATTAAGGGGTTTAGGGATTACCACAATGGGATTGTCTTTCTTTCTTTTTGGGGGAGAGGGAGGGTGGGGTGGGCCTGCGGCTCGGCCAGGGACTCAGACTTCAGCTTGCAAACGGAAGCACTGCTTCCCCGGAGCTGCGCCTGACCCAAAGGCAACTCTACCAGGGCGCAAGCGAAGCCAAAAAAACTCTAAACAGCTTAAATAGGGTAAATAAAGTAAATAGGGCAATTAGGGTAAATAGGGTCAATAGGGTAAATAAGGTCACTAGGGTAAACATGGCAAACAGTGCAAACAGCGAAAGTAGGGTAACTAGGGTAAATAGGGTAAATAGTGTAAAAAGGGTAAATAGGGTAAAAAGGGTAAATAGGGTAAATAGGGTAAATAGGGTAAATAGGGTAAATAGGGTAAATAGGGTAAATAGGGTAAATATAGGGTAGATAAGGTTGAGCTCGGAAGAGAAACTCAAGGCCTGCTGGCGTCTCTGCAAGCCCCAGCTTCTCGGCTCGGCGCTCCTGGGAGGGAACTGGAAGTGGCAGGAGCTTGCAGAAGGGCATATCGAACAGCCTGCGCCATCCTCTCCTGTTATGCTTCTGGAATGCTTTCTGGAATGCTTTCTGGGATGCTTCGGATCTTGCTTTCGAACCTTCGAAGGCTTGTCACAGGAGTCCTGAAGGGGAAAGTGCTGTTCGTGCCCACCGCAACGACTTGACAAGCTCGGGCTGCTTCCTCCCTTGACCTGCGCAGCGCATGCCCTCATCGCAAGGCAACTCGAACAACTTCTCACGCACATGAGGAAGCAAGACACGCGGTAACATAATGGGACAAGCCCATGGGAAAAAAGTTCATCGGACAAGTCGCCCGAAGGTGACTGTGACCTTGTTGCTCCCTCCGTCGATCCTCGGATCATGCCAGAGATTCCGCGCGTCAGTCTTCCAGGGCTCTCCGCACTAGCACCTGTGTAGCCAGTGTGGCAAGGTCAAGATTCGCAACATCTTCAATCTGGAAGCCATGTTCCACCAGAAAAGGACCAACTCTCTCCTGCACATGAAGGGTTCCTCCTGTATGGACATCTCGATGGCACTTCAACTGCGCTGTTGCAACGCCAGTCCTTCTGGTTTCGTCGGGCATGGAAGCAAACCTGTCAGCAAAGCTGGGGGAGCAGTCAGGTTGAACCCTAAACCCTAAACCCTAAAAAACCTAAACCCTAAACCCCGAAATAACCACGCAGCGTTTGAAGAAAGCAGGTGCCTGCTCCGTGCATGCAGAGCTTTGAAGCGACACGATCCCATGAATGAAGGAGGCGGCAATGCCTGAGCCAATTCTGTTTATTGTCGGGATTGCTTGCCTCAGCAACATTACACAACCACGTCTGATATTAAGGCAGATTCATGCCAATTTTTCACGTCAGGGAAGATAACCCGGGCATGTCCACATGAGCACCTGGCCTATCAAAGCGGTGAGCCACCTTAACTTTAAAAACTATGCCTCTGGATCAGCCTGTAAGCCAAGATGTCTAAGGGTCTGCATAAACGCGCCAGACCTAAGCCCGGGCCTACGCCCTTCCGCCCCAACTGTCGAGCCGCTCCGCACATTGAGGAATGACAAGTCTATGTCACCCAAATACCATCAAACAAAGTAGGCGGACATGCAGCTGAGACTCACCACTGCAGCAATCGAAACTGACTTGCATCCTGGCTGAGGAGCTCCCGGATGTCTTTGCAAGGGTCGCCTGCATCCAAGAGATGCGATGTGACGTCTGCAGATCCGCACAAGCTCAGAGGGAGATAGAGGGAGCATTGCAGCAAGTGCCTGCTATATCAGGCAATGCAGACACGTTGTCGCATCGCCGTCGCTTGCAAACCGGCATGCGCGCACCCTGCATCTGCGGAACCTGGGCTGCCCACCAAAAACCAACCAAGCCAAGAAGTAAGCTGGACCTCGGCCTTCTCACGAGCCTGATAGCCGTTCTGGTGCAAAATGTCGAAAATCTGTCGCTTCACCTGCAACGGATGTCAATAACACGCTCACCTACACACACTCATCACAGCCGACCTCTTCAACCGACTGCAGGCGGTCAAAGCTGAGGAAGTGGTTCACACACCATTGAGGGCCATTGTCATAAACCCAGCTTGATCCCATACTTTCCACTTGCCTGAGGCACAGGGGCCTACCACTTAGCTGACTGAGCTCTCCGACAGCAAAGCAAAGACATGACCGCCACTACAGTTGCCAAGCATGCCGTGATCCGACTGGGACAGCGTGAGTACGGCGAGGTTGAGTCGCTGAACGATCCGAGCCTCTGCCAGGCACGATAAGCCCCCAGGTCTTGCAGCAGGTCCGAAGGAAATCCGTCGCAGCCTGCCTTGTCACAGACTCGCATAGAGTGAGATCATGCACATTGGCTGCGGACTTGTGTAGCAACGAACACCCAGGTGAACACGACCATCAACGAGCCGAGTTTCACAGACCTTACGGACCTCCCAGTGCTGCACTGCACGTTGCATATTCCAACTTTGATTCTGATCCAGGCTGGGCACCTGCAAAGCAACGGAAACCGCACGCACTCTTCACATGAGAACAGACAAAGCCCGGCCTCAAAAGGACTTCCCTGCTGCAGAATTGCCGCCATAGCACAGCAGTCCACAATGGCATTATACCGGAGGCCATTGATGACCAACCTTGGAACCACCAACATGGAGCAACCCATGGCCTGGCTTATGACTTATGAGACTTTTTTCTCATTTTGAGACTGATGAGTATTACGGTATGACTCTGCGGCCGCAACTGGTAGGCTTGCAAGCGTTCTTGACGTAAGTTGCTCCAACAAAAGCTTCCGTGACTCTCACACCATGCATTGCAAAGGGCATACCGCATCCTGGATCAAGTGGAAGCTGATCAAGCAGTCGACCTACAGCAGTCAGCCTCCATCCGGAAATAGCATGGTCAAAACAACACAGTATCAGCGTGCTTCACACACCCGCGCTCGCGCGCACGCGCACCCTGCCTTCCATCTGAACCCAGGGCGCCCAACTCTTCAAGGCGAAAGATGCAGGACTTCACCCTCGCTGGATCAGGAGGGCTGGGCATGGAGGTCAAGAAGTCCTCCATAAACGAGCTCTCTCCCTCTCTTTCTTTGACTCTCTTGCTCCTGATCTTCTTCATCTGCTTCTTCTTCGTCCGTCCAGAACCTCATAACAACCTCTGCTCCAAATTTCCCTCGGCACCGGTCCTCCGGAGCCCTCGCCAGGCCACGAAAGCCGTGGACTGTCAGCACCAAACTCTCCAGCGGCTGGTGACGAATCTCCGGCTCTGCGTGTGGCTGCAGCCTTTTGAAGCTCATCTCGGTGATGCACCGAAGGGCATGGCCGTCACGGAGCCTCGCCGTGCGGCCACTTCGCTGGAGAGCCTTGCACTGAAAATGCTCGAAATTGTGTCTTGCCATGGTTTAGATTTGTTTAGGAGCTTAGTAGAACATGTAGAACCTCTCATCCAATGACTCACCGACGCATCCCCTGCCTCATCCTGGCTGATGAACTGGATGGTCAGCGGACTCTCCTTGAACACTGGGTTCCAGCGCCGTCTTCTATGCAGGCAGGTGTCAATGACCAGATCCACGGTGGGGATTGTCACCGACGACCTCAGACAGATAAGACCACTCAACCTTGGAGTTCGAAGCATTGGTCCCACTCAGGGCGTAGCTCCACAACATCTGTGGCAAGGATGACTAAGCGCTTGCATCCGTCTCTGTGATCCAGAGAACGCTGTTGCGCGTGCAGAGCCTACCAGCAGGGTACCAGCAAGGCATTCCACGACACGAAACATGCACCCAGAACACAAGGCCGTCTGAGAGCATGCCTATACGAACATACAAGAGCATGATGATGGCTCGGCCAGAAGATGCCAGCAGCACGGGAAATGGCATGCTTTGTGTGCCCTTGCCTGACCGCCAAAGAGGCGCTGGACCACCATGCGAGGCACAGCCGACAGCCGGTCAGCAAGCGCGTGCACCTCCTGACGACACAGATCAACACAGCCTTCTCCAAGCGTTTTATGGTCTGGTTTAGGGTTTACAATAGGGTTTCAGAGCGCTCCTGGCGACCAGGAAGGAAGACCTGGAGAACGAGCGAAGGCGAGCGGAAAGCGAACCCAAGGAACACATCGCAGTTGAAGAACAACAAGAGCGAACACGCAGCTTACTGGAGCTGAGGACGGTTCCAGAAATGATTGCCTCACCTCTCGCTGAGCGTGGTTCTGCATCACGATCAGCTCAAGCACTTCTGTCATCTGCTCTAGTGGCATATCCTGGGTGTAGGTGTCGGGGGTTTAGGGCATGGGCTCGCAACTACCGCACGCTGCTGTACCTGCATCTATTCCACCGATGTCTTTCTGAGGCTGCTTCTGGAGTCAAACTGCGCACAACCATGCCATCCGCATAGGACACAGTCAGCCGATGAGGTCGCTTCATCTCCAGGTCGATGAGACCCATACTCAGATTCCGGAAGTAGCTCTTGAAGAATGGCACGTCAGTCGCTGCTGACATCAGGACGACCTGCGGCAGCTAGACTGACATCCCAACTGCCTGCAACACTGATCACAAGCACCTTCCTGCCGTCATCTTGAGGCAGCACATCGCCCTTCAAGACATTCAGCAGGGCATCAATATGCATATCACCTTGCACAGGTTCTGTTCTTCAAACACCAGCAGCAAATAGGTCGCAGGAAAACAAGCGAGCATCCCCCGACCACGGAACTACACAACAGTACTGCTTACTAGCATGCCCACCACTCACATGCCCGGCCCGGATGTCAACCGTACAGCAGCCTGGACGCAGTTCGATTCAACCGGTGCTGTGCAGATGCAGAGGTGCAAGCCAAGTCACGGACATGGACTTCATCGACTAAGATATGTGTCGCTGGAACATCACCCTGCAGGCACATCAGCATCGCGATCGCCGTCGTCATGTACACCAGCTGCGTCCTTGCACCAGGCATCCCCACAATGCGCGCCCGTGATCATGAAACCCAAGCTTAACCTGACACTGCAGCTGATGCAGCAGCTGATATCAGCTGATGCTGAGGAGCCCGCTGCTCACTCCACTCCCGATGCCCTCCGACTTGGAAGCCCACGATCTCACCAACCTGAGCACGAACCACGATCCTCATCTCCTCACCCCACATAGTCTACAGATGCTCGCTGAATTCTATAAACACGCAGCACTCAAGCCCACAAGAAGATGCAAGAGACCTGCGAATGCGTGTAGTCGGCCAGCCGCCGGGCCAGACTTGCGGTCGCCACACGTCGGGGCTGCGTGCCTGCAGCGTCGTTAGATTTTCTGAAGCGTTCTGTTGCGAAACGCAAGATGAGCTTCTGAGCTTCTGGCATATGACGCGCCGACTCGCGCATTCATGCAGCAGGAGCCGTGGCACTGCTGTAGACTTTCCTGAACCTGCAACACCGCGCAGAACAATACAGAACCTTCATCCGGTTATCGCCCCTGGCCTGTAGGCGCTATGAGGAGGGTGACTTGATGCTGAGCAACACAGGCGAGGACCTCCTCCGCTTGATCGTCCACCATCGTCCAGGCGTCGGTATTTCGAGCAGGCACTGGCCAAATGCCGGGTGGAGCTCCAGGCCTCTCACGACCTCCTCCTTCGACACTTGAACCTTCTGGTGCCTTGCCTACATCTTGCCCCATCAAGCCTCGGACAAGTTCACAAAGCACCACGCGATCCAGCGCTGCGTCAGGACATGCCAAGTTATGCTCCTCGAGAATGGCCTGCAAGGCTTCGGTGGGCCAATTCTGAATTTGATCCTGATCCTCCTCCTTTACGACATGGTTCTTAGCAGTCTGACTTGAACGGGCTTGTCCATCCGGTGAGGAGGCTGTGTGGGGAAGGCTCCCTCCAGAAATGTCCACTCGAAGCTCAGGCAATCGAGTCTTCAAGGGCCTCGCAACATGAAGTTTTCACAAGTCTCCAGCCCAATCTTCAACTCAATCTGGATGCAACCCTGTCTAACTGTCTCACATCACCGGGCATTTGGCTCAGAAGCGCTCCAACCAGACCCACTTGTGTTGGGCCAACGCTGCCCATGAGACTACAAAAATTTCTCACTTGTAGTTGTCATGTTTTGGCTCACTTGCAAGTATAAAATTGGCTCACTTGCGACTATAACCAGGCTCATTTGACACTATCTCACCCCCAAACGCAGCTCCTATTCCGGCTCACGTGCGACCATTACAAAATTGGCCGGCTCACTTGTGGGAGGGGAGGATCTGGGGCGGAGCGGGAGGAGAGGGGAGGGGGGAGGACGAGCGGGGGGGGGGGGACGAGAGGGGGGGGGGACGAGAGGGGGGGGGGAGGGGCCCTGTGCAGGGTTTTGGCTGTGAATAGCGACGAAAAAGGCACAATCGACTAGAACGCTTCTAGAGCCCTAAGCAGGGTTTTTGCAGTGAACCAAATTAAAGGCCAAGCGACAACCTCCAAAAAGGGTCGCAAGCGAGAAGGCAAGAAAATCTCACAAAGCGAGCCAAAAACACCAAAAGCGAGTAAAGATCCTGCCCCTATGCCCACTCCTCTAGATCTTTGTCCCACAAAGCGTCAAACTTTGCCCACAGCGAAGGCTGCAACCACCATCGCCCTGCCTGGGAAGGTCCACCACCGCTTGGGACTGTCCGTAGTAGCGCTCGGCCCGAATCTTTCTGACTGCCATCATTTCATCAAGCTGCTCCTGAACTTTCACGCATGATCAGAGAAACCTACACAAGGCATCTCCATGCTGGTCCTGTGCTGGTACCTCTTGAGAAATGCTGCTTGCACAACTGGAGGCGGCAGACCCACCAGCTTGTACAGATGTGCAGACATCCTCAAGGGCATCAGCATCACAGGGCACGTTGACAGCCAGCTCGGAAGACAATGCCCCTTCCTTCCCTCGCAACGGCGGCAGCGAGCTCATGCCGAAAGTCTGAAGGACCTCCTGCCGGGCCAACTCGACTGGCATTTTCGTATCGAAGCTGCAAGCCCCTGCTGAGTCAATAGAAGCTGATAGCACTCCTGCCAGGCACAGCACCATTCGTTTGCCGCCTTCTTGATGGTGCCATGAAACAACTCACATCCGGCAGGCAGCACCCTTCTTGGATACTCCTGGCGGTTCATGTGCTTCTGATGTACGAGTAAGTCTGAAGCACGGCTGAAGCGTCACGCTCTTGGCTACTCTTGCAAGATATGTCAACCGGGGTCGTCCTCCAGCCAACCCGTGTTGTTGCCATCGACGTAATGACTGGGCTTGTGCTCAGCCGAGTAATGCCAAATGACTACGTCATTCGCATCTAACCGTCCGCGCGGATTATCTTCTCCATCTCCTGAGCACTGCAAGCCTTGCCCTGCAGAACCCTAGCGGAGCCTGTGGTACCATGCCTAGAGCAGGCTGGAGCCGACTAATCTTCATCTGGCAAGCTGCGCTGCAAGAATGCAAGCTGATGGAGCTGATAGTTGTACTTGACATGCAAGGGCCTGCCATGATGGTTCAGAGATGTTCAGAGACTTCAGATGGCATGCGTTTGTGCGCAGGCACGTGCCAAGCCTCCACTTCGCTGCAAACCACAAGGTCAGGAAGTCCTGCTCCGGCATCGTGCTGTGCGAGTCGTGTTCTGGATGCAGAAGTTGCTCCTGTCACGACCCCCATCACCCATGACCACCAGCAGCTGACCACAGCTCAGAGGTATTGATCCGCACTGCAGCACGCACACAAGACTGCCGAAAGTGGGCTGTCCTGCATCTTGCGGAATGTCGACACGCACGGCTCCAAGATCACGACTCCGGCATTGATACCTCCCTTCTGCAAGCCCGAATTCCGGTCGAAGAAGGACTCCCTCAGTCAATCTTGCCAGGCCTGTGTAGCAGCCTCAAGCCCAGATTAATACGTGCCCTGGGTCCCTGCACCTGACGGCCCAACAAGCCTTGCACCATACAAGACAAGGCACGGCCGTCTTGCAGCGCCAGGTGTCCAGGTGGCATTGCCCCGGAACAATGCTGCTGGCGCCTCGGAGCAGGCACTTACGAAGCCCCAAGCGGAGACTCCTCGAAAAGTGAGGAGCTTCGACTCGCTTCGACGTGTTTTCTGACTTTTTATTTATACTTGTCCTGGAAGGAGAAGAGCTCTTCGCAGTTCGAGCGGATCAGGAGGTCCAAGTCCAGAAGAACCACCTCCGAAGACTAGCGCTGGCAACTTTGCACTTCCCCAAAGTGGAAGGACATCCATGGATTTACAGGAACGAAAGCTGAGTCAGACCAGCCTTGCAGTATTCTTCCAGTTCGAAGACACGTAACTTGTTGAAGACTCCCGCAAATCGAGCCCTGCACCCGCTTGTGAGGAGCGGAGCAACCTCGACTGGCTGAATCTCCCGCAGCTGCCAAAAGATCTCGAGGTACTTCGCGCCATCGTGCCGCAACACCGACTCCGTGACGAGAAGCACACAATCATGACCTCCACCGAACTTCTCCAAAGAGTGGCCGAGAACTAAGGCGTCGCGAATGAGATCCCAGGCCACGTTTTCCGCATCGCCGGCCTGTGTCCAGAGGGCTGCAACCTGGGCTGCCCATGGCTCGCCAAGACAAGCTTTAAGTTCAGTGCCCAAAGTGTCCGTTATCCCTCGAGCGGATTTCCTTCAAAACAGGCCTCAAAGTGACAAGACTGGGATTGGCTGCCATTGGAAGCCAGACAAATGCTCAAGATGCCTTCTCTCAAGGTGGCATCTGGTACTACGTCGCGCTGCTCTGGCTAAATGCACCCATGAAGCATATGCATGTTGAGCAGCCCGAAACCGTCGGCTTCCGCCTCGATGCACCTTGCGTGTCGCAATCAGACTCATCTTGAGCCCTGGCACGGAGCTTGCATCCTACGAAAAATCCTTTCCTGAAAGAGGGGCACCTCGTTGTGCAAAGTGGACTTTGAAAGCTTGCTACTCATCTCCTGCGTTCTTGGTGGCACTGCCGTGTTCATGTTCGATGCCGGCCTGAGCTCACCATGTATCCAATTTGTCATCTGACTTGCAGCAGCAGGCATGCAAAGGTTGCAGAAGCCGTGATACCGCATGCGTGCAACGTAATACCACTGTGGGACTCTGGCTGAGAAGTCGGCTGGTACGATGGACATAGGAAGTCCCCCGACGGAGTAAAGGTGAACTTGAGGGTGTGCTCACGCACCCACGTTTCTGTGATGCGGCGAGACCTTCTCATTTTCACTGTAGGGGCACTGCTCCTACTTACCAAACGCCGAGCAAAAGAGCATATGGGTACGGCCGATATCTAATACAGATCTTGAACAGGATTCGTGCCCCAGCATCTGTCGAACCTTGGATTCACAACTAGTCTTGGATTGGTGGGCCTCACATGATTGCGAAAGAGGTCGTTTGTGACGATGACAGCGGCATTGCCCTCTTGCTCCTTCATCTCCACGAACTTGATCAGGAACAGATCAACATCCTCCCCGGTTGGGGTCACGACCCACTGCTGCTGGTACTTGGCCAAGGGCTCACATGCCTTCCACCTCTCCGCAAGGTCACGGTAGATGAACAGCCACACCGTGGCCACTGGCTGGTGCGAGGCAAAGAACTCGAAGGCTCGAGCAAGCTGCTGACTGTCTGGGAGCCGCGGGAGATGGGAACTGAATCCACATTTTGCGATGTTGCGGCTGTCCAAGACCAGCTGGCGCGTGCTGGGAAGAGCAGGGACCGGGGGAGGATCTGAGATGGTTGAAGATGGCGACTTGCGAGCGGCATTGGAAGGTTGCGAGTCCTTACGCAACGTCATGCACACATGTGCATTCAAAATTCAAAACACGTCTGCCTCTGAAAGGAGCTACAGCAGCAGGTTGTCCTACTCCTGCGGTCCATCGTAGCTACCCTAAACCCAATTCAACAACACAGCCTGGCAGCCAACAAGGACTGCAGAAGCAAAGCCAGCATCTGTCGGTCGTTTGGACATGACATCTGCCTTGGTGCGGCTGACAAGACAGCCGGAGCAGCAACCGACGTCTGCTCTTTCCATGCACACGAGAACCACTCAGAAAAATGAGCAAAAATTTACCCAAGTCGCAGAACTGTCTCGAAATCATGCAAGTCCAGAGCCTGCAGCCTAAGAGCTCCAACATGACTACACACAAGGCCTTGGCAACACACACCGAATGTATACCACAGACGGCATACTGCAGCACGGGAACTCAGAGAGATCCATGTTCAATGCCTCCACCATGAAGGCGGCATCCAAGAAGCCTTCATCTTTCAGCCACGCAACCACTCTTGGGCAATCCCAAAGCTTTTGCGCTGGCCTGGACAAAGCGAATTCTGAGATTCGAGCTTGAAAGCCGCAAGAACCGCAAGAAGCTTGAGAGGCACGCCCCATCAACAGCTAGCACATCCCGAATGACAAGAGCGAAAGATCAAAACTTCGCGCACTTGTGAAGCACGAGGTGCCGTGACGTCATCCGCCTCGACCGAGAATATTCACAACTCTGCATGGGCCACATGGGCAGCAAGCAAGTCAAGAAACACAAGACAACAATGCATGCTTTTGCGAACTGTTCTGCAAGCATGGCGAACCAACCCTTTTCACACGCACATACTCTCCCCAGTATGTCGAACAGCAGTTGCTGTTTCTCACCCAGCTCGGATTTCAAACTGAGCCAACGGCACACAACACTGTACAGACGGTCTTAACGTCTTAAAGAAGATCTACTCTCGAAGCTTGCAAACGCCATCAGTTTGCACCGAGATACTCAGGATTCTGCGCACCGAAGCGAAGCTGCGGACAGGTTCGCTCAGCTAAACACGCTGTCTGAAAACCCGAGCTTGGTTTCGAAGAGACAAAGGATTATGACGAGGCGCGGATGCAACTGCTTCAGGTTCTTCTTCCCATGGCCGGGATTTCCACGAAGCGATGATATCCACCTTCTGCGTGTCTGCCTTGCTTGGGCTCTTGCTGCGGTCCTCCCTGGAGTACACAGCCTGGCGGTCGAAGAAGGACATCAGCTTGGACCTGGCCTTGTTCTCATCAACCTCGACAGCAGGGACCCCACGCTGGGCCAACACGGCTTCCACAGCAGTCTTTGCTCCACCGCCACCCCTTGGATGATGCTCAGGCTTCTTGAACTTCACGTCCTCGTCAACAGAAGCTCTGGGCGCGACCACGCATCGCACTGTTTGTCGCAAACACAAGCTTTTCTTTGCAGGGACGGCAATGCCGTTCATACTCTCCTTGACATTTGCGTCTTGTGAAGGACGCTTGCGGCCAAATGGATTGGAACCCCTTGATGTGCCGTTGCCCATACTCTCGCCTGTACGAGGAGGTGCCGATTTGGCCTCCTGCCAGTCATCTCGTAATGCAGAAAGCTGCTGCAGTCTCTTGAAGTCTCCCGCGAGAAGCTTGATCTCTCGGCTTTCCTGTTGTACTGTGGGCTCTTCGGGTAGACTCTCATCAATGCCACAGTTCAGTGCCTCTTCTTGCATGGCCTTCTGCGCCTCGGCTTCAGCACGTTGCGCCTCGGCCTGCTCTGCTGCAACTTGCTGCCTGTACTCTCGCTGCTCCCTGCGCTTGAACTCAAGGATACTATCTATGACAGCACGTTCGGCTGGAGACAAGGGCTCAAGCTTCTTTACCGTCCTTGTGCGTGGATCAAGATCACCTTTGGCCACACGCACCGCTTCTAGCTTCAGAAATCCCTTCCCGCAAACTGTTGCAGGATCCATGCCGGAGCAGTCTCTGCGCGTCTCAGTCAAAGGAAAGGACGTAGAGATCGATGTGCATTCGCCACTTCTCAGATTAAACACAAGATGATGCCAAAAAACACACACCACTGACACAAATCGTGGAACATATTCTTCTGCTGCGCATGGCAAACGCTGCTGAAACCCCTTGTCACTGACCATCCACTTCAAAAGGTCTTGCGTGTTGCCATACTTCTTCATGAACTGAAAGGCAGTTTTGATGCCAAACTTCTTGATGTGAGTCTCGGGCTCCTTGTAATCTGTTCCGCAAAAGACACAGAACTCGGTGAACTGCTCTGGGGACCAGCGATCCAGACAAGACTGGAACTCTTTCACGACGGCCACTTTGTCCGCTTCACTCTTCCCCTTGGTGACCTTCGAACCCTTCTGCGGCTGGGAGCATTCAACACCGTCGGCTGCTGACTGCATCTTGCCTTGCGACTCGTCCGTGGTCTTGCATGCTTTCACCGATGCTTTCTTAGCCTTCTGTCCAGGCTTCAAGCGCTGCCTCTGCTTGCCCTTCGTTTTGCTGCCAGAGCCTTCGGGAGGAGACTTCTCTTGGTAAGTCGGGCGTGCATCCACTTGCAGACAAGGCAGCGCAATGTGGTCGCCATTCCCAAACTTGTCCATTTTGAACAAGGTGCTCGGACAGCCGTAGGCTAGCAAGTCACTGTCTTCAGAAACTGCAACGTCAATCCAACCCATTCGGCACATGTAGGCTAGCTGCGCATCCGCCTCGTACGGAGCGATGATGAAGTCAATGGACAGCTCCCTCAAGGCACTTTGAAGCCTCGAGATCATGGAAGATGTGACTTTGATGGCACCCTCACACTTGGAGGAGATGTCTTTCTCATCCACCTCGTGTCCCGATTGCTGTCGGCTTATGAGCTCTAAAGCTTCCAGGCGCGCCTTCTCGCGTGCTTTTCCACGGTTCTCGTCCTCCTTAGCCTTGGCTGGCAACCTGTCTCCGTCAAAGACGATGATCGGCTTGATGCGGGAACACCGCAGCACCTCGCACATCCGCAAGAAGTACCTCACAAACTTGTCGGTGTCTACGCCTTCTACCAACTCCCGGGAGCAGGCAAATGCCCCTTTGTGCATCCAACACATCGCATCCACGCCGACCGTTTTCCCCTTGAAGTCATCAATGTTGATCTTCTTGACATATGGCTTTAAGAATGGCAGCAAGCCATGAATCCCCATGGGCACGCTGGCAATAGGTTTGTGCAGCTACGTATGCCCCGCAACCTACTGAAACTGCACAAAACCCATCCTATTACATTGCATTCATTTGCCGATTCTTTGTTTAGTTACTTCATGTGCCAATGCACAACTGCGGCCGAAACGGCAATCAAGGGACAGCAGCTAAAATCAAGTGCACTACGGGCAGCAAGCTTGGACAGCCAGCATCAGAATGTAAAACACCTGGGCGAATGAGCTTGACCGGCCTGGACGTTCCCGATACTGCGGGAAAGTATGGGCCGAATGGCTGCGTTGGCGCATGACAGGTGAAAGAAAAAAACCCAACTGGAATCGGACCAATTCTCCCGTATCCCTGATCTTTGGAGCTCCCGCAGCCTCTTTCTCGAGTGCCTTTATATGACTTCATGCTATGCCTGTCATGGACTTTGTGCCTCCTTCCCGGAAAAACAGGCCCCTGCTCCCCTCTGTGCCTGCCAGGACGAACTATTTGCTGGGCACAAGATACGCGCAACTTGCGATAACCTTCCATTGTCAGCACTTTGTGTGCGAGAGTCAGAGTCTGAGTGAGGGAGCGAGAGCGCGAGCGAGAGCGAGAGTGATGAAATTAATTCTCTGCGGCTCCCATCTTCCTCACCCGCTTCATCGTTTTTAAAGATCGACCGCATCGGCTAGGCCATGTGCAGATGAAAGAAAAGATGAAATATACAGTCGACGAGCCGTATTTCCAAAAAGACCGAAGAGAGAGTCGCCTCTTTGGGGGTGGCCCACTTTCCCACTGAGCAAGCAGGGCAAGAGTCAACCGATTTGTCCAGCTGCCAGATGCATGGAAGGCAGCTGAACAGGAGGCTAGGAATGGCAGAGAGTGGCATTCAAGCACTATACAGCAAACAGCCTTGGGATGCTCTGACATTCGAAAGCTTCAGTATGCTGCCTGCCTGTACGTGTCTGTACATGTCTTTCCGCGTCTGTACACACAAAAGAAGAATGCATTGCATTCGGAATCCACAAAGCCTTCAAATGTTCAGTCGAAACATGTTGAACGCACAAAGACGTTCCCATCCATGATTGGCTGCGCAGTTCTGATGAGACTGGCCTCCACTACCCTACCATTGACTTTGGCACCGGTGGAACGGCCGACCTTCGACCCAGTGAGGTCCAGCAACAAATCCATCTGAATCTGCCCTGATGGATGCTCCACCCCCACTCGTCGCAGAGGGCCTTCCTGCTGCACCGCCACTTCTTCGGCCACTGTGCCGTCGAAGGTGGTGGCAACCGCAATGGCAATGGCACCGGTCACGGCATGCGCAGCATGGCACCGATCGGGGACAAAGTATCGAGAGCAAATGCTGCCACCCTTTGAAGGTGGAGATAAGACAGCCACCTGCATGCTGTCAGGGAACAAACGAGACTCCGTACGACTTGCGGTATGGTTCATCAATGTTCATCAGCCCCTTAACCTTTTGTCGCACTCTTTCGACAACGGACCTTCGGGAGATTCTTGCCCTGAGCAGGTCCCAAAGCCATGCGAAGGGAGGCTTCCTGCCGGATGTGCTCCAAGCGCTGGAGCATCGGGAGGTCTTGGTTCAGCTCCTGCGTCGGAGCTCAAATTGAACATGAGAGAATCATCAGAAGCCTAGACAGCACCACTACAAGGTGGAGAGGCTGAGACGAACCAAACATAAGCTTCCATTGAAATGCTGCTGATTTCCTAGCTGCTTCTGGCTAAGATTCTGCTCAAACCCTCTTCCTCAACAGACTCATGGCCCGTTTCCAGGCCCAGTTGTTCAAAGTGCATCAGCACCACAGGGTTGGCGCTATCAATGCAGGTCACTCGTACTCCATCAATAAGCTCTGAACGTTGGCCCGTGGGAAAGATCTTGCCCGTGCGAGCTCCCAGGACGTCCAGAAAGGTGACCTTGATGGGAGCCTCAGATCAAGACCCAAAGGCGCCGCGCGAAATTCTTACATGAAGGCTTGGAGTGATTGGCTGGTCCCTCCATGGGTTCTACCAAAACCAAGCTTTTGGTAAAGCATTGCAAGGCAAAAATCACGTTTCGCCCCCTTTCAATCGAGCAAACAAGGATTGCTCGAGCTGGCAGAGAGCCAACCAACTAGTCAACAGCTTAGCGCTGGAGCCAGGGCTCTCCTGTGCCCGGGACACCATCAATCGCTGCGGAACCAGCAAAGCTCAGTTCTCCACCGGGCGTTTGCCTCGGCAGCACACTAAGCCGGTCGGACAGAATCAGATCACCCCCCCCTCCCCTCCCCCATCCGGTAAGCAGGAAGTTCCAGAGCTCACTTTGACCAAGTTGCACCGTTACCAGCGCTCGCGTTTGAGTGTTCGTGTTGAAGACTTGAATCTTCGTCTCCGGGTCCTCAGCCTTTACCAAGCCCCTCATGATCGCTGCAGGGCCCACCTCAATGACGGCAGCGCTTCCAGCAAGCTAGCGGAAATTCAGAGCATAAATAGAAATCTGAGCAAGAACCGACAAAATTGAAAGACCTCTTGATATGCCCTATGTCCCTAAGTGTAACATCGTGTACACTCCCCTCAGTATTTCAACAGCTGAGCCCAGGAACTCCTGCCAGGATGTTTCCACAGTTTGCCTTCCATTTTACAACAGCCTCGTCTACTCGAACCTGCGCAAAGGTGTAGTCCACGTCCGCCCCGTGCTGTGATGGTGCCATGATGCCAACTTTGCTGGTCAGCGAGTTGCCACCACCCAACCCGTTGATTTGCAAGGAGTGGGGAGACCCCATCACATCCAGAAGAAAGGGTGACCAGCGTTCCTTCGGCAAGTCCGATGCTAAGAAATAAGGCCCTCTAGATGTACCTCCGCGCATCAGGAGGCATGGGACAGGTCGCAGCGTTCCCAGCGCTCCCAGGCCCCGGGACGTGGGGGATGCAGAACATGTACGAGACAGGCGAGCCAGCATTTGCTAAAAGTATCCGCAAATAAGAGTATGAGCAAGCTGCCAAACGAAGAAGAAAGGTTTTCTGCACGCGTGTAAACTGAAAACCAGCTAACACACATGCCGCTCGTCTGTGTGCTGGCAGAGTCTTCTTGGGCCGAAAGCTGTCTCCGACAATCCATGCTCACCCATATGCCAGGTCAACCCAGCAGAGGCTAAACATGAAGCCTAGATCTTGACAGCGCAGACGACTTAGAAAACTAACTGCTTTCTGCTCTCTGCGTATCCTGGACACACGTCAGCCTCAGAGCGCCAGGGCCCCATTTACTGTACAGCTTTTCAAGAAACATCGGCCCTTGAAAATGTCCGGGACAAGAAGTCTGTAGGGACGACTTCGGGAGATCCCAAAGCTTACTTACGCGTCCCAGGCTCCTAGATACCTGACGCTTGAGTCTGTGGAGGATGCTTCAGGACAAAAGCATCCAAGGTTCTGAAGGCTTAAACAGTAATCATGTGGGCTTCGGGACGGATCTGCCCGCCCGGTTAGCCAAACACATGCCAGCTCGTCGTCACCATTCACAGGTGTGAGCACGAGCAAAACCTATACATCCAAAAGAGATCAAGAGATGAGCACGGGGCGCTTTGGTGCCTCTCGGCAATATACGTTCAAAAGGCTGGAACCACTAAGGAACCCAAGCTCAAAGAAGCAGAGTGGGGGCGGCGGTGGTGCTCTCGGTGTCGTTGAAGCAAACATCGAGGGAGTTGTTCGGGCCTGGGTGGAAGAAATCCACCAGACCATACCTCACAGACTGGAGTCTGCACAATGCCCTGGGGGGAGGTCACAGAGACTCGCACTTAGGGTCCTCACTTTGGACACAATAAGTCAAGCACAACTTTCCAAGGCTTTTGTGAATGTAGTGGACATGGACGATGCAACGATTGCTTAAGCCGCCACACAAGCACGTCGAACAAACGTATGCAAGATCTATGAAGCATCGAGAGACCACACAGAGCAACGTGTCAACCCACGGAAAGCGCTCTCATCCCTACTGCAGAACCTGTCCAGCTTTGAGGTCCTGCCACGTTATCACTTGCCTATTGTGCCCACGGGATTTCGAGGTCCAGGGCCCGGAGCCTTCCAGGAGTAGGTTCAAGCTGTCCCAGGCTCAGCGCAAGGAAGGAAGAACCCCATCTCAGACAATTGCCGAGCAGCTTCTCGCTGAACTCTATGATGAACTTCTCACCATGCTGCGGGCGGGGCTTCCATGGTGTATGTTTACCGGGCATGATTCTTCTTGCAGACCTTCCGCCCTAAAGCTTGATTCGGCGGATAACGGTTGCTCTTAGGCTTCTCTTGAAGGTTTGGGTTCACTGCTTAAGGCTGCAGGCCTGGAAGCCTCAGAAGGCTCAGAAGGCTCAGAAGGCTCAGAAGGCTCAGGCTCCACGTACACCCAGCCTAGCAAGTCGATTCCTAATGCTGGCAGGGGATGACAAATGAGTCCTATCTCTTTTGCAGGCCTGTGCTGTCACTGCAACCTGGTGGGGTAAGACCCTCTTAAATCCTTCTCACGCAGCAGTGGCAGCCCGTCGTCGTCGTACTAATGGCAAGACCACCAACCGCGCAAGCCCTCACCAGGCAATCCGAAGCCAACCTCCAAGCCCAGGACCTGCACCTATCACAGGAGGCGACCCAAACCTAACTGGGAAACCAACGGCCGACCCCATTGCAATAGACGAAATGCAGGACGTCCTCACCGAAGCCCTGAATACCTTGTGACCAAAGCCCGCAACTTTTCCGGGTCCTTCTCCAAGGTCTTGTTCAGGCGAAGCAGCTCCTTCTTGTTTGCCTCCGCAACGGCCTCCTCCTCCTCCCGCAGCTTCGGGCTTAGGTCTTAGGCCAAGACCAACAGACCGGCTTCCTAACTTCAGATCTCAAGAACCTGAAAGGTTTGCTTGTTGAAAACATGCCTTGACACACCTGTGACGGAAACCCGCAGATTGGAAGTCTCCACCACAAACCCATGTACCGACAACCTCCAGTTCGCGACTTGGCACAAGGCTACAGTTTAGTGGTTGGAAGCGAGCGGGTTTCAGGGTACAAGTTCGGCAAAAGCTGAAAGACTGCACTAGCTGCGAGCCACCTTTCATCAAGGAGATGAGTGGGTAGATATGAAATGACTGGATAAGAAGAGAAAGCAACATACCGGTGGCAACTTAAAGGGATCACGTGCCTGTGGCCTTCGTTACCAAAGATGACAACAAGGACACTGAGAAAAGTACCGCAGATGAGATGCGGAACCGATCAAGGCTGCAGTCAGGAACAACAAAGAAATGCGACGAATTCTTGGACCCCTTGCCGAGCTGTTTCCACAGCTTCGGGGACCTAGGCCTTTTCCAGCTTTGCCACTGCCAGAGGCTCAGGCCAAATCAGCGACAGCTAAGCTGGGGTTGGGCGATTGCCAACGCAAGCACTAGGAGGGTGGACCTCGTTGCTAGGAGATAAGGGGCGTGGCATGGCGTGGCCATGTGAATTATGGGCACCAAGAGCGATCGAGGTACTAAAGGTGACGACAACTCCACGCTTTGCGACTTCGTGCAAGGGAGGCTCCAAAAGGCGATGACAGTTCTGTACTTCGCACAGTTTAGGTCCGGTGCACTTTTGGAGGCTCTTGGTTCACCGTCGCGAAAAGTTGGCGGGCACATACTTTCCTGCACTTGAGCTCTTGGGTGGGTTCACGGGGTCACTTCGTGTGTCCAGTGCGTTAGGGAATTTCTCTCGCACATGATGCTGGTCTTGGTCCCACATTGCCCTCGAGTGGAGGCATCGATGTCGCAAACACCAGGCACAAAGGACCGAGGCAAGAGCACGACTTGATAGGCCGAACAACTCATGCTGTTGGCGATGAACACCACATTTCGGGAGCCCCCAAAAACTCCGCGGGCGTGCCCACACCTAGGACGGAGCGCGAGGCCTCGACGAGAGCAAGTGCGATGGCAGACTGCCTTGGATTTGGGAAGCATCACGAAACGCCCCTTTTCGATGGTAGCACTTCTACAGCCTCGCCCTGCCTAAAAGCAAAGATGTCCGTGAAGTCCTGCCTTCGTCAGATGCACACCCTTGTAGAAGTCTTCAACATCCACAAAGGCTCCATAGAAGCCTTGCAGATCAGGTCAAGCATGGAGGATAATGAGCATCCGTTGTTGTACCATGCGCTTCTATCTCTTGCAGCAGTTCTCAGAGCTTGTCGAGATGCAGAGACGCGAGCATGAGTATGAAAAAACGACGTAGAAGAACCAACTAACATGGGTTAAACTGATTGCTTCCGACTGTGCCTTGACAGCCGGCAAAACCTGCACTTTACTGGTTGGGTTAGGTTGAGAGCGCTTCAGTTTAAATATAGCTTGGTCGGATACAAACTTGCCAAAAACAACGGTTCCTTTTCCTGAACCTTTCAAAACGTAGCTTCAGGTTCAAGCCTCTGTGCCTAGCCTTAACATGTTTGCCAAGCATGTGCTGGCACGGAAGTACATATGGTGAATAGGGCTTGTTTACGGTGCTTGCATTTCGTCAACTTCACGTTGGTTGCGCAAATTTCAGAGCTGTCATGTCTTTCAGAACAGCTTTGGAACACACAGGGCCGGCCTACGTGGCACGTCACACTGAAACTTGAATCTGAAGCATACAGAGCAATGCCACGTTGAAAAAAAAATGTCATGGCTGCAATGACGACGCTCGGGACAAGACGACATGATGGATACACTTCTGCAGTTTGATGAAGCAGTTGCCCTCAGTGTGAACTCCTAGCCAACTATCGTTCTATTCATTCCTACTCGGAGGCGCCTACGAGCACCAAACCCGGGCAGAACCTTCAGGTTTGCCCCAACCATACGAGGCTCCCCCAGTGGAACTCCAAGACCCCATGCCCTTCCCCCCTTCGGGTCTTGGGGGGGGCCTCCCAGGGACGCGGCTTGCAAGCAGGCTTCCACGGCGGGCTCCCCGCGATTGGGGTTGAAGTTGCCTCGGCTCAGCATCTCGAGTTTGTCTTGGGCATCGGGTGCCGGGGCATCGGAGATGAGGTTGTGCGCATGGCTTGGCATGCCAGGCTATCCGGGAACGGGGTCTTGCAAAGAGTCCCGACAAATCCCCAATTCTCTAGCGCGAGGTCTCCCAGAGCCTCAGTCTAGCAAATTTCGTCTTTGGCAAAGCTGACCATTTGGCTTCAACGTTGCCTTGGTTGAGGTAGTAGAGCTTCTCTTGCATCTTGAAGAGGAGGGCTGAGTAGGCCGGAATCTGGGAAAGGTCCTTGCTTTGTGCTTTGGGGCTACGATCTACCAAAGCTTACGGGTTCGAGGTTTGAGGTTCAGCCGGTTCAGCTCTTGGACCTCTCCTCGAGTTCGTTGGGGTCGTGCTCCACGTTGAACAGGCACCCGCCAGGGCCGCAGTCGCCCGCCTTCGTGAGCTCAGCCTGCTCCGTGGCATTGGCCTCAACTTTCATCAACTTTCATCAAAGAGTCAAACAGCCTCTGGTGGCACTTCGCCACGACTGAGACTCTGTTCGTAACCGTTTGCTCAGAGGCTGCCTGCTGTTCAAGTACGACTGTCATGTCCCCAGAGCTTCATAAGTCACAAAAGGCTGCCCGTTGGAGTTGCAAGCCACGCTGGGGAAAATGGGCGCCCCGAAGACATGCATGTCCGAGAAGACGGGCCCCTCGTCGGCCTTCATGCCTGCCAAGGCTGATGGCTGATGTGGGCTGGAGGAGGCTGAAGTGCGCGCGCGACTCTAACCAAGGGCACCTACGGTACCAACATACGCGGTTCTTTCTTTTTGTTTGCGGACTCTTGTTTCGGCATCTTCTCACACGGGGCTTGGCCTGCCACAGTGGTGCAGTTCGGGTACACGGGGCCCTGGTGGAAGCTGTAGGGCTGCTGGCCCGTCACCAACCTTACATTGGAATGGCCAGGCTCCACGAAATCCATGACACGCTGAAACCGTTTGAAGCTTGAAGAGCCCGGAACACAAGTAAAGTTCGGGCTGTCAGGGCAAGAAGCTTGAAGGGCCACCAAAGCAGGGCCTCCTGGCTGAGGTGCAGAGGGTCCGTCCGGCCATGGCCGCCCCAAATGATGTTCTCCCACTGTGGCCGGCCATCCACTGGGGGTAGCAAGGGCAAGCCGTTCCTCAAAAAGAAAAACATCAAGCCTTCCGGTCGCATGTCTTGGGTTGAAGCCGAAGCATTTAATAAGCTAAGCTAGGACCACACATAGCGAACATGGCTTGCCTATTGGGCTTCGCTTCTGCGCCAGGTACCGGTTGGCCTCCTCCGCCTTCTGGTCCCGAACAGGAACCCCGGCGATGCTGGCGAGTGTGGCATACCAATCCTCCGCCCCCAACAACTGTTCTTCAAGACTTCTACTTGGTCAATACAGAGAAAAACTTGCAGCAGACTTGCTTTCGAGAGTGTCGTATGATTCGTACGACATGATCAACAAGGGCCAAGGATCTGCGATGGAGATAACGCCAGAGAACCTGGAGCCTCTGTTCAACCACGGAACGAAGCCGCCGGAGACAAAAGCATTGGTCCGCACACCCCCCTCCCAGTCGCTGTATTTGCCTCCATGCGAGCAAACCAAGGCAAGTATGCTTTCTGCCAGGTTGCCATACAAGAGCACACACTCGCCAAAAGTGCTCTTTCTTGTTCTCTCTCTCTCTCTCTCTGGTGCTCTGTGTCTCTCTCTCTCTCTCTCTCTTTGTTGCTATGCTGTATAGTGCAGTACCATGACAAATTGTGTCAGACTGCAGAATGCAGAATGACGCTGCCTCCTTTCAGGGGCCAGTTGTTGGCGGAGCCAGGCTCGTAAACAGGCCCGCCGTTGTCCGCGGTGAAGACAATGAGCGTGTCGTGGTACATGTGACGGTGCTGAAGGGAGATGGGCTTGGGCTTAGGGTACTTCAGGGTCGAGGATCCTTGAGGCTGGAGATCAAGGTGACCTTTAGACTTAGGATTGAAGGTTCGGGCTCGCGGCTTACGGTACATGGCTGTCCTTGAGAGCGGAAACCAGGTTCCCAACCATAGTGTCCATGTAAAGGGTCATTGCAGCGTAGAGCCTCCGATTCTGCGTCCATGGGACGGATTGCTCGACCCCACTCTTGGCCACGATCTCGTCAATCTGCTGCAAATAGGACTCAGGGATCTGAAGCGGCGTGTGGAGAAGGTGGAAGGAGTAGAAGAGGAAGAGGGGCTCGCGCCTGTCATGCTCCTTGATGATCTTCAGCGCATAGTTGTTCAACATGGCCTCCTCGAAGCAGGCCTCGGGCAGACAGTAGCTTGGATCTTCCTTGTTGCAGCCGGTGGCGTTGACCTGCGCGCCAAAATATGGTCACCACCAAGCAGCAAACAAAGCAGCAAACAAAGCAGCAAACAAAGCCGCAAACAAAGCCGCATGCACAGCAGCACAGCAAGCGCAGCACAGCAAGCGCAGCACAGCAAGCGCAGCGGCAAGCACATGAGCTCTCAGATGTTCAGAGCTTTGCAAAACCGCTTTCCTGCGGAGAAATGCCCATCTTCTGGACATGTCTCACGCTGGCATCACATCCCAGCTCCGCAGCCACCTCTTCTGTCACACCAGCTCGGTATGTGGCGTTGTAGAGGGAGAAGTCCCTGTGCTGCGTCCCATGAAAGAAACATGACAGCTGACATAGAGACTGGGCACTGTTGCCTCATGCTTCTTTTGCAGGCACAATTTTCGAAAAGCATACGCAAGCACCCTCTCCGTGCCGGGCGCCTGAACTTGTTCAAGCAGATGTCGACGTCCCCGGTGGATGCGAGCGGCATGCTTTCTTGCCAGTAATCGTTGGCATGCTGGAAGTAGCCCAGCCATGAATCGTAGCCCTTTCCCAGCGGAGTGTGGGCAGGCATAGCCATGCCCACGTCCCATTTGCCTGGAGACAGGAGGCACTACATGTATATATGTATATATCGTGCGTATGTTATACACAGAATCTTGTCAGATCCCACTGGCCTACTAGATGCGTGCGGTAGCCGGCATGCTGCATCTTTTCGGCCATACCAGTCATGTTGGCTGGAATGCCTGCGAAGCCAGACACGTTGTCCTCAGAAAGAGGGACTCTGTTGGCAAGTGCTTCCAGCGGAGAGCATATGGAGAGCTCAACGTTCGTTCAATCTCTGAAACCATCTGTCATGTCATACTCTCTAACAGTCTTGTGTGTAAAGCCCCCGGCCGCAGGGTTCCAAAATGTCACGCCGGTGTTCACCGTGTTCACGTGAACTGGCAATCGGCCACTCTGCAGCGAAGACCTGGCAGGGCTGCAGAGGTGTGGACACGCGCTTCATGCCAACAGCCACCAGCTGACGCTTGAGGTTACCTTGAGGCTTATCTTCTCTGCGGCAGCTGTTGCCGCACAGGCTTGCTCGGCATTGAGGTGCAGAGACTTTGGATGCTGCTGGGGCTTCAAGAGTTGAACATGTCAGGAGCAGGAGGTTGCACTGAATTTGAGTTCTTAACACAGTTTGGGTCGCCCAAAGGGTCTTGCATCCGGTAGATCAGCTTCCCGCTTGAGATGGATCATAAAATCACATCAGCCCCCACAGGCCTGGAGGGGGAACAGATCTTGTAGGCGTAGTGCCGCTCCAGGAGCACACCCTCCCTTGGCAATGAGAAGTATGATTATGATGATAATTGTTTTATATATAGCTATGCATGAAATTAGTATATATGATTGTCATCATATTACTTGAGAAATGCTAAGGTTCAGGGTTTGGAGAAGGATTGCTGAGATTGCTTACTGCAGGCTGGTGGAAGTTTGCACTAGCCTTCAGAGAGACTTCTGCCATCACTATACAAAACCCTTCTCCCTGACGGCCTTTGCAGGCTGATGGCACAATCTGTAGATACTATATCTCCGCACAACTCGTTCCAGATCGCCATGTTCTGAGTCCAGGCCCACCAAATGCTACCCGGCTGCCGGATAAGCTTGTCCAGGTTTGGCGTGTGCGTCTCAGCCCGGCCTTGCGCCTCTCAAAGAACTATTTAGCGCATTTTTTTGGTTCAGGTGTCCAATCTCATGCCTGTCCTCCCTACCTCCCTGTCTGCCTACCGCTTGCCAAACTCGATTGCCCCATTCTTGCAAAAATTAGGATGCTTCTTCTAGGCACATTCACAGGCATCTATTGGCCGCCGTAGTTTGGCCCGGACCGCATGAACTTCTTCAACGGGTGAATGTGCCAAGCAATGCATTGACACAACAAGGGAGTCCACCGTTCTTGCTCTGCAAACACAAAACATTAGTCTGGCAACCTTCACAAGGTTGTGAACATTCTAGGATCTAACACAGCCCTGACCAATTTGCTGGAGCTTCCTTGGCGAGCACTTCTGGCTGGCATGGCTGTACGCTGTGGCGAAAGCCTTCCGCACCAACCCGTGAAGGCCTCGGCCCTGGCCCTACTTCATCATAGCCCTCTCTCCCAAAAACATAAAAAGTTGCCACATCTTGGAACATCCCCACCAGGCCTCGGCCTCCCCTCGCGCATGCCGGCGGTGTCTTCCCAGGTTTGCCCAGCCATAGTCGTCCGCCAAGATGAAGACGACGTGAGGCCTAAGGAGGGCATTCACCAACGAAAGGTTGAACAACTTCTGGAGGCTGAGCTCAAAAATTTGAGCAAGGCCGCGAGACTGTCGGGCTTCGGGTGAAAAGAGTTAAGTTTGGAGCCGACATGGGGAGAACATTGGCCTCGCAAGCTGGTTTTAACTGGTCGTTCTTTAGTCGCTTAAATTGAAAACTTCCAAACGGCTTGCATAGAATTTTTCAACTTGGGACCGCCTACATCCAATGAGACCGCGGCACGCATATACTCGCAACCCCAAAATTTCCAGGAGTTTTGCGTGGAGGGTTTGGTGAATTTCGGACTTGAGGCCGTAAGGTTCCTTGGGGTCTGGAGGTTGAAGCTCTAGGAGCCACTGCAAACCCCGCCCAGGCCCTCAAGCGTTCTTGAAAAACCCATCTAGTTTTCGGAACTTGCATGCATCCAGAGCTCTTCCTGCCCACGGCTGGCTGGAACAATAACGCCGCCAGGGCAAGAGCCAAAGAACCGAAAGCCATGGCTTTGGAACGTCCACGAGTGTAGAGAGTGCTATCCGCTATCCCCAATCTTTGAGCCTGCATCAATGACAGAAACGCGCATGTGGATGTGCCAAAACCCCCAACGGCCCAAAAACAACACTCAACGCACGCGAAAATAGAGATAGACTTATGTTCCTTTGGCAAACTCAATGTCATTTTTTCCCCGACGACAATCAGGGATCGAAACTTGCGATGCGCGCAGCAACTATTCCAGCAAAGCAGAAAGAAATCGGCGACGTGGACAGAAATGTTTTCGGACGAGGTCATGAAGAATAGAAGCAATGGCAGTGGTAAAAACAAATATCTCTAAAGCATGTCCACATAACGCCTACTAGTCACCAACAAATGTGTTCAGCCTCCTGTACACATCTCGATGTACTGTGAGGCTGACTTCGGATTGGTTGGATTTCAGTAATTCAAGAATGTGTTGCACGTTGGCAACCTCAAGAGACGACTCCAATGAGGCGGGTCGCAACCAGCCTGTGGTGATAGGCACCAGCCGAAACCGCAATCATGGAGGACCAGCCAACCCGGCTAAAAGAGTATAAGACATCGCAGCGCTCGCCATGTCGAAGCCGGAGAAATCCAACCCAGCTGTTGGAGCACTGTTTGACGTGTTCAATTTTGGCACGGCATGCCAAGTTCGTCTCTCGAGCCGAAAGCTCCACCACAAGCGCAGAACATGGCCATTTTTTGGCAGCTCGGTTTGATGCTGCAAAGGCATTGCCCTCCTTGTCAGTGCCAGGCTTAGAGTTGCACACTTGGCGCGCCGCCAGCATGAATTCCAAGCTGCAATCCGCTTCTTTGGCGCCGTATGCTTCAATGGCGAGCCCCTGGACCTGGTCCTTACAGGGGTTCGGGATCGCAGAAAACCAGCCACCAATGGCCGCACGGGTTTCCGACATTTTCCGACCCGCCTGCATCACTGGACCCGCTGCACGCCACGCCGCACCGCCACGGCCGCACGTCGTGCCACTCCGCCACGCCGCACCGCCAGGCCGCACCGCCAAGCCGCATGTCGCGCCACTCCGCCGCGCCACGCTGCGCCGCACCACCACGCCACGCACTCCGCTGCGCCGCACTGCGCCGCACTCCGCCGCACCACGTCGCGCCGCGTCGCACAAAGTCGTACCGCGACGCTGCGCCGCACTCCGCCGCGCCACACCGCGCCGCATCGCGTCGCAACGCGTCGTCCCGCGCCATGCCGCGCAGCACTCCGCCGCGCCGCGCCAAGCGCCAAATGTGTTCCAAGTGTGCCCAAAAATCTGGCATTTATGCGGCTAAAGCGCAGCCTTTTCGTTTCAAGTTCGCCCGAAATTGCTGCGTTGCACCACGCCGCGCCACCCCGCGCTCCCACTGCGTCCTCCAACCTGTGCTATATGTCCTATATGTCCTACCTCTACTGGGCGTCTAAAGTCGAGAACCTCAGGGCTGTGTGGTTTGAAGCAGCGTGTGCCACAAGTCGTATCTTGGGTTCTTCTTTACAACAGGGCACCATGCCGGGTGCATTTAAGGAGTAATCCAAACCAAAAAATCGCGTATGGAGGATGCTTGTTGCGTCCATGCCAGGGTACCTTGTTTTTAGAAGTCGGGCTGTGAAATCCTTTCCGGGCGTATGCCAATCCAAATTCCGAATCCTACTTTTCGACCTCTTGGCTCGGTTTCAACCTTTAAGTTGAACATAATGGGGGGTGGGGTCCTTAAACGAATCTAGGGATGTCCGGGGATAAAAGGAGAATTTATGGGGTCGATTCATACTAGGAATTATGTACAAACAATTAACCATGGAGCGGCCCTCCCTTTCTCGAAGCTCCCTCATCTATCCTTACATAAGACAATGGCTTTACGTCCAGTACACAGTCCAAGCGGAGTCCGAGTAAAACTGTTGAAATGTACCTTCAACTGCCTTTTGCATAGCCATCCGCACCCATCAGCTTTCATTCCTATGTGCTATTGAACTATTAGTTATTGGAAAGTGAAATCGAAACTATTGGTTCTTGTTGTAGTTGCCATTCTCTTTTGCGCGCCAAAGGAAAAAACATGTGCACTGCTACACTCTACACATGGCATGCCATAGTTTCCAGTCTTACGAAACACAGAACAACAAACATGCAAACTACTACTTTGTACTGTCTTCATGGAAAAAGAAGACTAGAAGCTAGTAGCATCGGTGTCCATTTGTCTTTCCCATCAGTCATGTCATGGAAGCAAACATGAAATTTGTACTTTATGAAGTAGCTTGGATTCTTTTGACCATGAACGATGGGAAAGACAAAGGAATCTACTGCATCATGTGGTAACTCCCATTCTCCTGTCCATCTCCATGACTAGAGGAGGTCAAAATGAAAATTACTAACCTGTAGAAGCCGCAGTCTTGCTTGCAATCGTTGTTCACTTGATGCTTCGGGAAGTTTGACAGACATTCTGCAGTCTTGTTCAGCTCCATCGGTTCAGGGATCCGGGCTAAACTTCACAGGGTTTAGGGGTGCAGGGTTAAGAGGTTTAAGGTTCAGGGTTTCGAAGACCCGCCAAAACTTTGACAGTGGCACGAACAGCGGTCTGGGCATCAGCGACACACCGAACAAAGTCTTGTGGTTCGGTAACCCAGTCTCCTTCGCCTTTTAAAGACGTCAGGAAGGACCAATAAGAACTTGTTTGTACCACTTCTGCCAGGCCCAAGATGCCGAATGGCAGCTTTCGGCAGCTGCTTTCTGCAACTTATGCAGTTCGACCTCGTGCTTCCTGCCCCTTTGGGGGAGAGATTTGCCACTTTGAGCGAACTCTTGCAGCACTTGCTCTTCGACTGGATGCCCCAAGCAAGAGTGAAACTTAGCACCATCACAAGACGGACAGCCGGCGCTAGGCCCCTTATGGGGCAACACCCCTGGCATTTCCTGATTGTGAAACTTGCTGCTTCTGGGGCATTTAAGCGTCAGGAGCATCTCTAGAGTCGTTGGAAGCTACATACCGTTCAACATCATCTCCTGTTGCAAACCTGCAACATCTTAGAACCGTCAGAAAGAACAAATTCGCGCCCAGCATGCTGCAAAGCAATTCCGTTTCCCAAACCACGGACTCACCACATGGGCCTCTTGCGAAATACCAAGCAATTGCGGCGTAGCCAGCAACCTCCATCCAGCGAAACATTAAGAGGCAGGAATCGCCACAGGAGTCTTCTTCCTCAAGAAGTGCATAGGCAGGGACAAAATGTACCACCAACCATGTCAGAAGCTTCCGCCACTCCCCGCTTGTTCTCATACTCAATGTTTCCTTGCCTCTCTCGCTGCGTCCAACAGCACAGCAGGTTCCACAGCAACAGAGGGAGATTGCGATGGGTAAGCCGACTACCCTCGGAACCTCTGACCAAACCATTGCATACGCCAAAGCACGAGAAGCCAAATCGGTAGACAACCATAGAAACCCTATAATTTTGCCACACATGCTCTGTGTTTTCCATTTCTGAACCGTGTTGCTGGGAATAAGTTTTGGAAGCCCTTGAATAGATGCAAGAGCAAGATCTCCAAGGGAAATCGCCAAGGAGGCTATTGCCACTTGTCCATATTGACCAACAACAAAAACTACATATCCTTGCAGCAGCATTTGCGGCAAACTTTCCGCCCACTTGGTGAGTAGATCTTTGTTTTTAATGCGACTGAGTAATGCTTGCAACTTGCCATCTTCCTCATACATTGCTTCACAAATGTCCGCAAATGATGGGCAACATAATGTAAAGACGTGCTCGCCCGTCGTCCCGTCATACTCTTCGAAGACCTCTTGGTGGCCGAGGCAAGCGCAGCAGGTTGAAAGAATTAGTATCGTCAAAGATATCGCAAACCACCAAGGATGCGGTACACAGGTTCCAGCAGGAAATCCTTCCTCTGTTGGCCTTGGCGCTTCTATATGTTGAACATCGATTGAGGTTCCTCATTTCAAAATATTAAATAGTTAAACTGTTATAATTAAGCAGCTGGAGATGAGTGGCTATGTGGTTCCTTGCATAGCGAACCATAACAAACACAATCCTCCATCTTCACGAACTGACTCACGAACAATCGAGATGGATTCACTTGATGAATGAGAAGATCCAAGACACCTTACGGTCGTCATCCAGGTCATGTTCTGGTCTTCTGAACGGTTAGAGATGTTCAGAGAGTAAACCATGGCTTCAGCGACTTCTGGGCAAACGACAGTAACAGCTCCATCCACGGCACAAATGTATTGCAGAGTAACCCATATGTCCGTGCCCCAGTCAGCCACATTCAAGGCCAAAGACAACAACGCAGCAAACACTGCCTGTTGTCGCAGGGAGAACATGGCTCACAAATTGGATGGGGCTCGAATGGCTCGGTTTGTGCATGCAAAGACAAGCTTCCCGGCGCTGACTTAATTACATTGCGCTCATTGGATGTTCACTCTGACTTTCAACTTAGAGCAACGTCTGTCGCAAAGCGAGTTGCGATTGCTGGCTGTCTGTGCGGCTTGGTCCAATAGCGGCAAGATGACAAAATGAGTCACATCCCCAATGTAGCAGGTAGCATCACGTTGAGTTGCCATGAACACAATCCAGACAGCCATGCCCCTCAGAAAAAAACACTTTACCTGGGGCTCCGCGGAATGAAAAAGGGATGTTAGTGCAATATAGCGAGCTATAGAGAATATCGCGTCTTGCCCACATCCGAACCACTCTGTGGGTGGGGCATCATACAAAGCTGCCAAGCTCGAAACCCAAATCACACACACTCACACTCACACACACGCACGCACGCACACAAACATCGAAGCTACACAAACAAATGCATTCACAAACAAACACGCAAGCTCTTCACACGCACACAGAAACACGCACAAACAGACACTGCAGACGAAAAAACTGCCGAAACTCTCAAAATTCTAACTTAGAGAGCCCCAACATTCCGACTCAGCCCGACGCAAACGAAATTACTCGACAACGCCACGTAATACTAAACGATCGTCAACACAAACCACCTGCTTTGCTGCGCCCAAGACTGTGGTCGTTTTTGCACCTACGTCCAAGGTTTTGCGCCGCTCTCAATAGCAGGCGTTTGCTTGTTTGTTTTTTTTGCACCTTACGGTAGGATCTGTTTGAAGAGTGCCACCCCGCTGCGTCTCGTAAACCTAGGATGTTGCTGATTTAGCAGGTGTTCAGCCATGAACGAAGCCGTCTTCAGCTCCTTATGGCATGCTCGCTGCACTCTGAAAGAACAATTTGTTGCTTGTCAACAATGGCACTTGCGCAAGGCTGGGCATTGCTTCCAGCCAGTACCATCGGGAACGCACGCATGTGAAAGATCAGTCACTGAGTGCGCAATCCGTTCAGTACCTAGGTGAAATAGCCCCCGCTGCGCGATGTCTGACTTTACCACAATATTCCCGCACCTTACAGAGATCGCTGCACAGGCGACTTTCGACGCAATTCCCCTTAGACGACACACACAGAACACTGCACGGACGGTGCCCGACTTTCTGCTGCAATTTCCTTTAGAACAGCTTAGGCATAAAGTCTAGTGCCCAATGGCCAACTTTACAATACACTTCTCCTTAGAATGGCGTAAAGTCCAACGCGTCTGAAAGAAAAGGTTTTAAAAAGTTTTCTTTGCACATTTACGATTTCCAGCGTTCTAAGGGGAACTGGAAAGCACAAAAGCAAGGACCTTTCCCAGATTCCGGTCAACCTTGGCAGAAAATCCATTGGGGTCCTATGTGCGCATTGAGATGAAAACGTGGCACGTCCTGGGACACCGCCAGTGGCAGCACTTTGATTCATGACAAGAGCATAGGTTTTGCAAGGTGTTCGAACCCTGGGTTCGAACTCCTGGGGGGGGAGTTGGGGGGGGGAACATATAACATATAACTCTCGAACTTAGGTTGAACCCAGGGTTCGAACTCTTGGAACCCTAGATTCAACCTAGGGTTCGAACACTAGAACCCTAGGTTAACTAACCCAGGATTCGAACACAGAGTTCCCGAACCCAGGGTTCGAATATTAGAACTCCAGGTTAACCAGGGTTCGAACACTGGAACCCTAGGTTAAGCAGGGTTCGAACATAGAGTTCCCGAACCCGGGTTCGAATGTTAGAACTCCAGGTTAACCCAGGGTTCGAACACTGGAACCCTAGGTGAACCCAGGGTTCGAACAGAGAGTTCCCGAACCCAGGGTTCGAATATTAGAACTCGAGGCCAACCCAGGGTTCGAACACGAACACAGAGTTTCCGAACCTGGGTTCGAATATTAGAACTCTCGGTTAACTCAGGGTTCGAACACCTCCCCCGAATACAAAGCCGGGCCTCCCCCGAACCCCAGGTTAATCCAGGGTTCGAACATCGAGTTTCCGAACCCAAGGTTCGAATGTTGGAACTCTAGGTTAACCCAGGGTTCGAACACCTCCCCAGAGACGACATCACGAAGCCCGGAAACCACATGACGAAGCCGGGCCTCCCCCGAATACTAAATTACGAAGCCGGAACTCTCCCACATTGGAACTAGGTTAATCCAGGGTTCGAACATAGAGTTTCCAAACCTCTCTTCTCTCTTGTACAGGCTTTGCAGGAAGACAAGGAACAAAGAGGGTGAATTGGGTGGAATTTAGAATAAGTCTTCTCTCCTCTAATAGAAACAAGAGGGGTGGAATGTAAAAAAACCTTCTCTCTTCTGGAATTTTAAATGATTAAAAATACCTGCTCACTTAATGTGAAAAACGCAGAGCTCTTTTTCACTCCACGCTTGAGCCAAAACACACAAGGTGTTCGGCAAGGCTCTCGCAGAGTCAGCGCAGCTTCACTTTCGTGAATTCCATCTCAACTTTGTTAAACAAAGGAGGAACACATGCAAACGTCCTAATGCTTCTCAGGACTTCAGTGCTTCAGCAAAACAAACACAAACACGCCAGTGCACAGCCACTCTGCTCGAACCTTAGTACGACGACACGAGCGAAGCGAGGGTCGGCGGTCAAGGTCTGAAGAGCAAACTCAGAGCAACACGCACTTCTTCAAGGATGCCCTACAGCATCTCCAGTGCTTCTCTGCTCATCATGCACACTTCAAGCAACTCTAAACAAGCTCAAAGCAAGCTCAAACCATGCCATGCCAATGTCTGTTCTTGCCAAAACACACAAAAGGTTCCAAACGTAGTTTCACACTCATGCAGAGCAAACTCATGGTTCATCCCACATGTGCAAGACGTCATGTCAACTGTAAGGGCACTCACAAGGAAGTCAAAAACTTTCTCACCAAGCGCGGGGGCGTGAGCAGAGCTCAGTCAACATGTCAGATTAATTAAACATGCAAGCCGGAGGTGAGACGGACGTGGTACCGGCTCCGGTCCGAAGTCCTTGGGACGCCCATGCCCAGGGGCAGGGACTGTGAAGAATGTGAGGTTTTCCAGACGTACCCACGCCTACTGGCAGGGAAATGACCCCGTCTTGAGTGGCGGTACTCTCCAACCTTGCAGGGCTTTTGGTTCCCCCAAGCACCCTTTTAACCGCGCAGCCGTCCAGGGTTTTTGGTTTGGCGACCCATCAGACGAGGGCTTTAGTATGCCCTCAGCCTTGTAGTCAAAGTCAAAAACTTTCTCACCAGGCGCGCGAAGGCGTGAGCTTAGCAAGCTAGCTCCACGAGTCAAATTAATTAAGCATGCAAGTTGGTGTGAAACGCCGGGACAACCTGTTCGGGAACACGCAGTTCGTTGCGGCCTTCCCCGTGGAGCGTGTGCCCAAGCATCCTTTGAGCGGCATCTCAACACGCTCGGGCGACCTGTGCCGCTTCAGCTTCAGCAACATGGAGGCGGACCGCGCGGACCAGTGTTTTGTGCACATGCTCAGCTACAATTTGTGCACTTTGAGCTCGGCGGGCGTGTCGAGCCTCGACTGATAAAACAGGTAAAAACAGTGTTTGTATGTGCATTTTTGCTCATTTTGGCGCCACGTCAGGTAAAACATGAGTCTTTTCTACCAGCTCGTGACGGTCTCAGGAGCTGCGGTCCTGCGGTCAGTTCCCTCGACTAGTAAAACATGAGTCTATTTGAGTCGACCATCACCGGGAACATCCTGAACGATGGCCAGACCCCCATCACCACCATCGAGATGCAGGGGATCTCTGCAGGCCAGCTGGCCACGGTCCTCACGGCCTACACCCCCCTGACCGACACCGCAGCCAACACCGCCTCCATCGGCACCAACTCGGCCGCCGTGGCAGCGCTACAAACGCAGGTGGCCGCCATCCCACCGCCTCCTGACCTCGCACCCTATGCGCTGGCCGCCGATTTGGCAGCCACCGAGGGCCTCATCGCTGCCAACGCTTCCAGCATCACCAGCCTGAGCACCAGCCTCACTACGGGGCTGGCGGGGAAGGCGAACCAAAGCGCACTCGACGCGCTGCAGCTGGACGTGAACTCCAATCCGGCCAACGCTTCCATGAGCAGCGCAATCACCAGCGCCGACAATGCAGTGCTCGCGCAGGTCGCAGCCACGTATGGGCTGAAGAGCACGCAGGACCAGCTGGCCCTCGACGTGGCGGCCCGGCAAACAGCCGCGGACGTCGACCAGAAAATAGCGACGGCTCTTGTGGACCGGCCCACAACTACCGACCTCAGCAGCACAGTGGCCCTGCGCACCACGCCCGCGGATGTCTCGCAGCTCATCGCTACAGCCCTGCTTCCTTTCGTGCAGCAGGCGGCCCTGGACGCAGCCCTGGCCATCCGAGACGGGAGGCTCGACGCCGCCGAGGCGGCCCTGGCGGTGCTGCAAGCCGCGGGCTTCCAGTCGGCTGCCGACGTGGCTGCAGCTCTTGCCACCGCACTCGCAGGGTACACGGACACCGCGGGGCTCAGCGCACTGCTGGCCGTGCGAGATGCGCGCCTGGATGGGCACGACGCGGAGATCCTGGCGCTGCAAGGTGCGGGGCCCTTTGCGATGGCGGCCGAGCTGTCGGCTTCCGAAACAAGTCTGCAGAGCGCCATCGACGCGCTCAACTCGGCGCTGGCCGCGCTCACCACCGGCGGGGGCACGAACCTCGCCAACGCCCAGGCATGGCCCGGGCAGACGACCTGGGACCTCCTCGTGGGCACCAACACCATCCGCAACTGGCACTTCAACGCTCCCCTGAGCATTACCCTCGAGAACGACAACTTCACGCTGAGCCGCTGAGCCTGGCCTGCGATGCGTACACGCAGGGAGAGGTCAACGCCCTGCTGGCCCCCCTGGCTAGCGAGTCCTGGGTGCTGGCCACCCTCGGATCCTATTAGTTCACAGCTAGTTCAAGCCACACTACCAAAGCCACTACCGAGCCCTAAAAAGTCC